CATGCGTCACACTCATGTAGATGTGTTGAAAACCTTTGGCCATGAATGGAAGTCAGGGTAAGGTGGGTAAATAGACACGGCTACAGCATCTCACCTGTAAACATTCAACGTCTACAAACTTCTTGCTCTCAAACTCACTGTTGTTGGACCAACAGGAGTCTGTTCCTGTGAAGGTCCCAACACTGAATCAAACAAGTACTGCAAGGACACGGTCAGGAGTTGAACAGCTCCTGTAGATACTAACGTTTGGGTTTTTCTGGTTAGTTCCAGAGAATGGCAGCACATCATGGTGAACTTCTCTCTCTCCCTCCCTCTGTCTCTCCCTCCCTCTCTCTCTCCCCCCTCTGTCTCACCCTCCCTCCCTCCCTATCTCTGCCTATCTCCTTCTGTCAGCTCTCCGCACAAGTGTCAGCAGCAGGGCGCATTCCTGTGCGCAACAAGTTGGTGGGTGCGAGATTGCGACAGAAGCCGATGACAAATTTAAACAGAATCTTCTTATCAAAACATAAACAACCCATGACTGAGAATATGATCGTGCCCAGTCATGGTGCTGTGGTGGTAGCAGCAGAGGCGTGCGCGTTTGTTGCGCCACAAATTTGTTTTTTTAAGAAAGGATCAGAATCGATAAACAGTTTATTAAGAGATACTTACGAATCCATAACCCCGAGACTTGCCCGTCTGTCGGTCGGTGATGACCACTGCCTCTTCAATGTCCCCGAAAACCTCGAAATATTTCCTGAGACTTGAGTCTGTGGTGTGGTAGGGCAGACCCCCGACAAAAATCTTCGTGTAGGTCGTGTCCTTTTGCGTGGTGTGCATCGTTAGTGCAAAAATTGAAACAATAAATAAGGACAAAATGAAAAACAAGGATAGTGCAACGTCTCCTTATCAATAGATCTTTGGATAAGAAGAGCAGAGAAGGAGATATCAGCTGGCTCTGTGTCTCTTCTTCAGAAGATAAAACAGAAATAACTTAGACAGAAGTGGAGCCTGGAGGTAGATTTCTCTTCCAAGAGTGGCGTGATATGGAGCGGATTGTCCCACAGAGATCATCAGGTGTTTTCCAGCTCTTCTTGGTGACTCTGCTGCCTTCACCAAACAGCTTTAGGACCCATTCCTAAAAGCGCTGCTGCTATCAACTAACTCCACCCAACTTTTCAGCCCATCGCTGCTGCCCGCCCACCAGGGGACACAAACAGCTGGGAAGCCTGCACAGTGACTGTGAAACACTGGAGCTCCTTCACAGGAACTGTGGGAGGGTGGAGGGTGGAGGGAGGTGGAGGTGGGGCTGATGTCTTGGCTACAATCACGTTTAATTCACCATGAGGTCTCAACCCTATCACATCTATAGAAATGACGTGTAAGAAGTGTAAGAAAATAACTCGATTGTTTTTCACAGCCATGCATTTATATCTGCAAAAATATGAACGCCCTCTCCCCAAAGATTAGACTCCTCTCCTGTCGTCATCCTGATTATTTTCATCCCAAAACCTTTAGTTGGCCGCTGGACTCACTGGAGCGTCCTGAAGACATTTCACCTCCCATCAGAGAAGATCTCTGATAAAAAGAAAAGCCTCTTGGATCAGAAGTCCTCAAAGACTCTGTATTCAAGTGAGCTTTTTAACTTGGCCAGGGTTTTTAACATTTCCTCACTCCTCTGAGTTAACAGGCTTTTTCACTTTAACTCGGAGATTAGAAACATCCCTAACAAACCTTGGTAAGTCCCTGCTTCTGAACGTCCTCATCAATCTTACCCTGTTTGCCCCAATAGTTGCACCAGCTACAGTAAATTCATGTTATTTTTTCAGCCATGAATTCAATCTCTATTCATTTTATTCTTTATCATTATACAGTGTGTACGTTTCCATTCTATCATCTGTCATTTTACTTGACTTTAGCCGTCACCATGTTTTCATCCTTTCTGGTCATTTACTCTCTCCAAATCAAATACTGTCTACTCTTTTTGGATTGAACTCTTGCCCTTGAACAATAACTATTCAACTATTATTTTGGAACGTTAATTAGGTTTTAATTAATTAGAAGTGAACATATGTGTACAGTACATGAAATGATCACATTTCATGAGTGAGCCAAGGGACGACCATGTAGCTGCTTTTTTTTTTTTTGCCTCTGTCTCTTCTTTACATGAAGCTCCAGTTCATCAACTTAACTGTTTCAACAGCTTGTTTTCTTTCTTCAGATCCTTAAAACCCGGAGCTCTTTGCTGAAACAGTAGTGACAAAGGTGTGTAAATTGATTTGTCACACCTATCATTATGAGCAGAGACGAGGTGAAACAGGCAGAGATTACCTCAGCTGTCCTCAGAACATTAATGATTTAGATTAGCAGGGCAGCCTCCTCTCCACTGAGCTGACTGCCTGCATCCCTGGATCTTCCTCTAGACTGCCAGGATTAAGCAGTTCACCTCCAGTAATATGAGCGGGAACCCTGCTGTTAATCATTGATGGCAGCTCCACTTCTGTATGCTCTCTGGCCTACATTAGTAGTGACACCATGAGTTAGCACATTAGCTGTATGGCCATGACTTAGAGTCACTGGTTTTGTCTTGACTAGATACTAACTAAACTTTATCTTAACTCTAATCTAATCTCAGAGGAGCAGCACAGTATATACCATGTTACAGTACTGCATCCAGGTTATTTATCTGAGTGTAAACAGTCGCTACAGACCTACAGATCACAATCAAATGCAACCTGATAGAGTGTCTTTCTATGTTGCCTCTGTTCACTCACTGATTTATTAATGCAGCCACACGCCTGTTAAAGTCTGACTGGAGTCATGATAATGGGGGCCGGGGGCTAATATCACGTTTCCCTGGCTAAATAATGGTGGTCTGATCAGGTTCCATCCCCCTGTTGTCTGTGCTCATGAGCAGCATGTTGATGAGTCTCAATCCCGTCTGTGCTACATTTAAATCTTTAATTAGACTCTGTCGCTGCCTCTGACATTTACACAGATGAAAAACAATCGTGTGCCAGTAGTATTTCACAAGCTGTAGTCCCTCTGTTGCTAGTTTATGTTGTGCTTTAACTTTGTGTTGTTGGCCATTTGGCTGTAGTACACACCTGTTAGCAGAAAAAGGTCAAAGGTCATAGGTTAGTGGAACAGCTGAATACTCACAGCTACACTACCAGGAAGCTCAACAATACAGAAACAACATAGAACTGACGATTGTTGTGTAATAATCAACTTTATTAATGTTGACATTTTTACATACATTTAATCATATTTCACCTTCAAGAGGACAATCACGATTTTTAATGATTATTAACATTTTTTTACACTTCATAAGACAGCCTCCCACATGCTGACCTTACTGTATCATTAACCCTGCCGTTGAGGTAGACGTCACTGACTGCACAGCTGCTACCCATTGAAACATCGCCATCTTGTGTCCAACAAACCTAATGTCCAAGGTAGCAGACAGTTAATGTGCTATAAAAGGATGAATTTTAAACTTTAGTTCACAAACACCACGCACAACGCAAAACATTCTGGTGTTGGCAAGTTGATTAACTGTTATAGGTTTAAGAGCATTCGTTTTGTTAAATATTTTATAACAATTAAAACCTTCACATTGACGTTGTAGAGTGATTATTAACAGTACTTCTTCATATTCAGCTCATTTAAAACAAGAGACTCAGTCAACTTCTTCATATTCAGCTCATTTAAAACATTATTTTGAAAATGGTCCTAAGAGACTCAGTCAGGAGTACAGATTATCCTTGCTTTTCTAATGTTAACATGATCAATGTAATAGAAACTCTGTGACTGTATTTGTTCCTACTATGACTTTAAGACTTACATAATGTGTCTTATAAGGAACATTTTGCAAAGCACTTGTAATAATATTTTGAGCATTGTAACAGCTGGTTTCTGTTATCAGCATGTAGCTTCATCTACATCCAACCAAACACCTGGAGTGGTGACCTGGAATAACAGAGCTATGTGCTGACAACAGACAGATTTCACCTTTAAAACAGTCCCTGTTCTCCTGCATTGGTGTATTTTTTTTGGCTTACTATGTGTTCTTTTGTCTTTGTCCATTGGTTCATGGCTGCGGTAACTTAAAACGTCTCACTTTTATCATCTACACGTTGAAAGCTAGAATCACTCTCCAGAACCCCTGAGGTTGTGAGGAGCTGCTCCTCCAGGAACTCTGTTACCTGTGTCAACTCCTCTTGTTGCTCATCACCATCCTCACTCATCCTCTCTGCACCTTCCTTTCTCCCCTCCACACCCTGTTCTTCCTTCTCTCTTCTTTTTTCCATCTCTGCTCCTTTCATTTCTCCTCCAGACTCCCTGTTGTTAGGTCTAGCCTCTCCCACACTCCCCTCGCCCTCGGCTACATTGAATGTGCCCTGGCTGTCGATCTGTTGAGGTGAGTCAGATGTGTGAGGTAAATGGAGAGGTTCCACGGGAGTGAGAGATGTGTCTCCATCCTCTGTGGTACTGGAGACAGGGACGGGGACACGAACACGCGCTGACTTAGTCCTTAAGCGCGTCTTCAGTTCATCTTCCTTTGACTGGGTTGACAATAAAAGAAATGTTGAATTATGATAACATTCCTGGTACTATGTGGTGGAAAGACAGCTATAAAGGCGGATGTGCTGTACAAGCTGTACCTTGCGTCGCTCGTCAGCAAGTCTCATCTTCTCTTCAATTTCTTCCTTGCTGTGGACACTTTGCATCTTCATGGCCTTTAGAGACTCTAGTCTTGCCGGAGGCCGTCTCCTCACGACGTCACTGTCATCAAGCTGAAACGCAGATACACATGAACAGCAGAGGACGACATTAAACAAACAAACCCCATATTAAAAACCCTGGCTAAAATGCACTGGTCAACTTCTCACTGATAGATGAACGCAACAAAAATCATTGACCTGCTGAAGACTTGACATTATATAAATTATTGATTCTAAAACCATAGATTGGGGTCCAAAATGTTTTAAGAGAGGTGTGAAATGTCAAATTAGATTTGGATGATGTTTTTGTTTTTTTGATCTGATGTGTTTGCAATTAAGATAATAATAAAATATATAATAATAAAAATAATCAAAACATTGTAATTATAGGACAATATTAATATTTATAGGATGTTACCTCTACTTAAAAATGAATGGTGATCTTTGTGTGTATTGAAGTGATTACAGCACCCACCATGATGCTGTAAGCCTCTCCTGTCATCTTGCTCTTCTCCTTTGTCTGTCCTTCTGGTATGATGCCCTGATTCAGAAGTTCCTCCAGAATCTCACTGGACTTTTGACGCTCCGGCACCGTGCTGTCATGCTGCAGAAATCCTGCCATTTAAAAAAACATGGAACATTTTTTTTCGATAAAGAATTTCTTTTGTATTCTATTCAGTGGATGTGTTAACACCTCACTTTCACCTTCTTGGTTAATTGCTCCAGCCACACTTTCTCCACCACACCCTGACGATAGAGGAGGGAGTTTTCTGGGCACCACTCCAGGTAAAGTGGGCATTTCTTTGTTGTCCATCCCCACACCGCTGTCTGAGGTTTCCTTTGACACGGCAGAGTCTCCACGATTACCAAGTTTACTTCCTGTCTCGTCCTAATAGGAAAAAATGGTCAGAGATGAAACACTGCCTGGTAACGCAGACACAATGTTGTGATGATGATGAAATCTTTGTGTTGACTACTGCCAAATGTTTGATTATTTAGGCTTTACGTTTATAGTTTAACTTTAAAATAGAAATATTTCACTTTAAATGTTAAAGCATATTGTAGAGAATAAATGACAACAATGATGATCACATTAGCAATTTATTTTTATGGTGATTCTCACTTAGGTGTCTCATATCATCATAACATTATAGTGACAGTGAATTCCTGGCATGTGGCCTACTTGCAAATACATTATAAAAAAAACAATATATGGCAATATTATCATTCATCTACATATATAATTTACTACCGAAATATTTTACCGAAATAATTCATTCAGGGTGTTTTTTTAACGTTCCTTTTTTAAATTAAGAACACATGTATCTTTAAAATAAAACAATTGACATATGAACTTGTTAATCTAAACATCTCAGTAATTCATTCAAAATAACAGTATGCTTATATTGTAAATGGTGAAAGTCATGTGCGCTTAAGTGCAGTTAAGTTTCGTCAACAATCTTGCTGTGACGCTGGCAACTCACCTCTTCTCCATCTGCGCCCCCGCGTGACAGCGTTTGGACGGCGGTGTTTGTTGAGCTGCAACATCCCATAATTACCACAAAGTAACGGCATATACTAAAATCACTGGTGTGCGGTTTGAAATAAACCCCTGTGCGTGTGTGTTTTTCTGTGAATTGACCGTGTAGCCGGACATTCCTTCACACACTGACAGTCTCCATGAGCGCGCAGGATCGTCGCTAAGCGCGGTTGCTACAATAAATGTGACCCGGTTAAAGAGACGACAACCAGGAAACAACAAACTGCTAACTACTAAAACCACAACAAACTCACAACTACCTGAACCACAATCCGGACACAACACACTCACAACTACTGGAACCACAATCTGGACCAATCTACAGTAAAGGACCAACAAACTACAAAACACTGCACAACCGTCAAATAACGGACATCTGTTAACATATGCACGACTCTGGTCAATATTAAAGCATTTTGTAATATTACTGGAAATATTTTATTCTATGGGATGCGTCATTAAGCATGTTTTAAAACCTGCTTTACTTCTCATTTACAGTTCAGTTACCGGTATATATTTACTTGCAATCATCATTATATCTTCCTATGTACCTTATTTACTTGCAATCATCATTATATCTTCCCATGTACCTTATATAATTTCCTATATTTTCATATCCTATTTTTGGTATAATTTTCCAAATATTTTCCTCATATTTTTACATGCATTATATACCTCATGGTTATTTAAAATACATATGTAGTAAAACCTTGTATTTTTTAATTAATGTGAAAATCTGTTTTGTGCACAACTGTTTATGTGAGGCGTCACAGATGATTTGGGGAACGTTTTGTGTTTTCTAATAAGTTAATTTCTGGTTATTTAATCTGTTCGTTGGTGATGTCTGTTTATTAAAAAGAGATAATGGGATAAAAGGAGTATAACCAAAACCTAACAGCAAAAGGTTGCTTATTATTACTGTATTCGCTAACTGCCTTTAAACACCACAGCCGTCAGTCGTGTGTGCCAGGATAAAAGCTCTCTGTTACGTTCTACTACTACATTACCCATGACGCCTCAGACCGTGGCCCCAGTGCTGGATGACAGCTATCCGGCGCCTAAACACCGATAGACGCTCAGACGAAAGAGCCATGGCGGCCACGGGTGGAGGGAAAATTAGAAGCAGGAGATATCACATTGCCTCTAAACCGTACGCCAAGAGCAAACAGGTAAATTTTATAAATGTTTTTAGTATAAGACGTCCGTGTCAGTGTCGTAATAGGAACTGCAGCAACAGCATTTGTCTGCTGTTATTGTTTTGTTGGAGGTCTTTTAAGGCCTGCTGTTAGCGCTCGTGGCCTCCACGCGCTGCTAATGTGTCCGGGAAATGCTAGTATATTAACAAACTAGATTATATTTAAACAAGTCAGGCTAAGGTGATAGGTGAAATCGCAGCACAATAAGTCGTTTATATAAAGATGTCAGTCTTTTTTAGAGCTAGTTGTGAACGTGGCACATTGCAAAATGAGTCGTATCAATGTTGGCAAATACTTTGCTGATGGCTAAGTTAGCAAATAGCAAGGAAGTGGAATTCTACGTAGGAGCTATCGGGCTAGCACTGACGAGTAGCGCATTGTTGTCTTTAATTTACATGTGTAAAGAGTTCGTGGCGCCGATCGAAAAAGTGACATCGTCTGTTTGACCCAATGTATAGCCGTTAGTCGCTTTGATAACTACTTTGTATCCCTTGATGTTATTTAAAAGTGTTGGACAACGTTTGAACGTTAGCTTAGTCTTCTCCAGTTGAATTGCGCAGAAAGCGTTTGCCCGTATGTGAACCCACATGGTTGGCTGAATGGAGTCAAACAGCGGCTGAAAACTAAAGAACACTGATTTTAAACCCACTCCACGGTGTTAATATATATATATGAGTCCGGCGACACCATTTCTACCATTGTGGACAAAATTTTTGGGTTTTGCTATGTCCCAAAACATGTTGAAAAATGACAAGTGCTATACAACATTTATTACTTTTTAGTACAGCTTCACTGTATTGTATGTGCTATTCATCTTTAGTAGAAACAGCATGAACATGATACTAATGGCACCACTATTCGCAACAATTAGAACCTTGTAAGCTGCCAAATGTAAAGCAAATATGTTTCCTCCAGTTTATTGCATTTCCCCCCCTCTGTTATGTCTTCACCAGCAACAATCCGGCATCATCAGTCGAGTGGCGGACACAGTAAAGAGCATTGTTCCTTCCTGGCTGCAAAAATACTTTAAAAATGAAGATGCTACTGAAGAAGGAGCGGCTGCACTGCACACACAGTTCACACAGTTGCCTCCCCCTCCCCCCCCCCCTCCATGGAGGGGGGGGGGGAGGGGGAGGAGCGGCTGCACTGCACACACAGTTGCCTCCTCCTCCCCCTCCTCCTCCGCTTAATGGCAGTGAGGAGGGACCATCCATTCTTGATGGACGCGATTCCCCTGAACCTAGCACCAGTAACACAGGTGAGGTGACCATTTATGTTAGCCTCATTTTGTCTTTCTAGATGTACAAGGTCTGAGCAAAACAGGCGTTGTACGTCAAAACAGGTTTTCTTATCCTGAATTTTCCTCACATACGCAGAGCCTTCAACTAGTCGAGCAGCCCTAAACTTTCAAGACTACGTGCTTTCAAGACCCCCGCTCAGTCACTCCCACCTCCATTTCTCCCCCCTGGACACCTCCTCACCCACATTAGGGGCTCCCAGCAGCCTCTTCTCCCAGCCCTCCACCTCCTCAGCCCCTGGGCCCTTTTCTACTGGCTTTTCTCTGGTAAAAGAAATCAAGGACAACCTCTCGCAGCACGAGGATGATAACATTTCTACCACCAGTGGGTTCTCCTCCCGAGCCTCTGACAAAGGTAGAGTGGAAATTTGTCTTGACCACGGCACAAACGATTATTTAATAATTAAATCACAGTGCCAGAAGGCGACTCTTGTTTTAAGATACAAGTTATTGGTTTGTCCTACGAATTAGGGGTTATGGTTTGTGTCGTTGCTTAAATCTACCTCTGAGTTTTATTTCTGTGAGATGGTCTGAGATTTTCTCCCCTTTTCCAGAGATTCCTGCTTCTAAGACGGCATCGCTTCCCCAGCTTTGGTCCCCTGAAACGGATAGAACAAACTGTGGTCCCCAGCCTTCACAGTCCAGTCTTAAAAGGCCTGCCTTCAACTTGTCTGTTTTCGGGTCTTCTAATGTAAGTATTCTGTCCTTTAGTATTCAGTGTATTTCCATGTAGCCAAGTGATTCTGTTTTAACTGTTTTTAAGTAAGCTGCACACAATTTGAAAATCACGGTTATAGACTGCTTTGGTAAGGTAGAACTAGCACATATAAGTACTGTCAGCCTGTCTCTTTCTCTACATAGCAACATTTCAGACGTGTGATAATTAATCTACTTCACTGTGTTGTGTCTGTGCACTAGCTTTCTAAATTTAAAATAGTTTATGTTTGATTGTAAAGTAACGATAAACCTTTGCTCGTCCTTGTCCTTTCCACAGTCCACCTTAAACAGCACACTGTTCAACTCTAGTCACTTTGGAGATTCACCTTTTTACCCAGGGAAGACTATGTATGGTGGGGCAGCTGCTGTCAAGAGTTCTCGTGTACGCCCTGGAACGCCAAACCAGGTGAGAAAGTTAGCTTGAAAACTGCACACTTGGCTTTACTCTAGGCCTATTGTAAGGGAAAGAATAACCAGTCTCTTATTTCTTATGTCAGTCTATAAAAATGTATTTTAATATTAACAATTTGATTAAATCTAAGGCACCAGTAAGGAGAAAGATCAAGGCCAAGCCTGCTGGAGCTCAGCCCTGTGGGGTGACCAGTGCCACAGCCAGACGCATCCTGCAGTCTCTGGAGCGCATGTCAAGCCCCCTGGCTGTGAGTTTCCACAAAAGTACCATCTCTACTCCTCACAGCTGATGTCTGTGCTGTAGTGTACATTGTTTGTACTTTGAAACTTATTTTCCTTATGTTTTTTTTTTTATATAGGATGCCAAAAGGATTCCAGTAACAGCTGCATCACCTCTTTCACCAGTATGGTTTCTTTTGTAGGCCAATACACTGTAAAATACAATAGAATGTAATTGTTTTAATGGTTGTTGTTCTCTTTTTTAGTCATTGGATGGCACAAATCTAGGTGGATCCCATTTGCAGTCAAAAAGAAAAGCGGTTGGTATAACAAATGTGTTGATTTTACAGTAGGTTTTTATTTTCTTGTTGTGCTTATTAGCTTTTCTATTTACATCAGCAAACAAGATTCAGTTGTTTTCTGCTTGAGTTGGGAATGGTATCTTAAGGCTCAGTGATCAGAATGAAACAGGATCATCTTTGTACAGACCAGGCAGCACATGTTGTCATTAGTCTTCCTGACGTATGCTGGTTGTTGGTTTCCATGTTGGCAGTTGACAGGATTCTCCACAACTGGGGCACAACTGTTCACAGCCCTGTGTGTTTTCAGTGCACTGTTCAAGCTTGTATAAAGCATGTTGGACAGTACGTCTGCAGCACTTGTTTTTCATCGGCCTTATTATTTCAGATGGATTCGACCCTCCCACCGGTACAGAAATTGGTGGTTCCTGCTGCAGCATCGCTGTCAGGAAACCGATCTGTATCCTTTAGACCTACTTTAACTCTTGAAGGATTGAACCGATACCTGGACAGAAGCCTGGTCAGCATTCACTAAATCACACTAATCCCATTAATGTTAAACGTCTGTAGTGGAGATAAACATGAGGTTTATAACTAATTTTACTTGTGTACTCTTTTTTTTTATCTAGCCTGCAAGACAATCAACTCAACTACCTAAAACAACCCAGGAGCTATCACAAAGGTAACGATCTGAACTTCTAATGATTGCATAAAAACATTATAGCCCCAGTAGACACATTGAGCTTTTGTCCTTCAAAATTGTAAACCAGGATCTTTGAATCTTTAGAAATCCAACCATGTGTACTCATGGTGCTTCTGTTTCTGCTTCTTTGAAATTTTTTTTTTTTCCCTTTTCCCAGCACAATGGGTACCAGTGTCCCAGTCCACCCCCTGTCCAGCACACCTGCTGTCAGCAGTCTCAGCTCTGGAGGTGGCAAGATGAAGAGAGAAAGGACCAGTGCACGGCCCTCCAGCAGACGACATGAAGAGAATGAGGTGAGAGTTTGATTCTGTCTAAGTTGTTTTGAGGTTTTTTGCTTGTCAATTTGGCTACAGTGGTGCAGTAGTAGAATTCCACCTAGTCCCTAAATCCCAGGTTGGGTTGCGTCAAGAACTCTTTATGGAGTAACAAACACATGTTATTTAATGTTTTACAATTTAAAATCACAATATTCACAACATTTAGCCCATGGTTTTTATACCATTTGTACCTGACTGAGGAGTCTTCTTTTTTCACAATGAAATATCCACACCCTGATTTTAGGTCATAGAAGTTCCTGACCTACCAGCAATTTCACTACCCATCAGCACCTCCACGTTGCCCACGTTCAGCTTCTCCTCCCCTCTTCCAACTCCTACCACATCCACGGTCGCCAAAGTCACCACTGTCGTTACTCCTGTAAAGGAGTTGTTTGCAAACAAGGTTTGTTCTCAAACTGAGGCTTCTTACTTACTAGTTACAATATTTTTAGCTCTAAAAACACTGTGGAACTTTTGTTTTTCCCAGGAGCATCCAACATCCTCGACACCAGCCTCCGTACCTTTCACATTTTCCTCCCCCATTGTCAAAGCAGCTTCTGCTAGTCCACCTAGTTTTTCCCCCTCTGTATGTATATTTTTGGTATTAAACCCAGGTGTAGTTGTTTACAATAAATATTGTTACTAATTTTCCCTTCATTTTTGCCTTGACACCTTTTTGTAGGCTGGATTTACCTTCAGTGCACCTGTAGCAAAGTTGGGTCCATCAATGTCAAACGGGAAACCAGTCACTCCCATCGCAGCAGGTAGGATTTTTGCTTTAGTTATTAATCTTGTAGCTAATTAAAAAAAGTTACCAAAGTCACCAGTGAGGTAAAGATGTACGTACAGCCAAACCTCTCTTCTTTTACGTTGTATTAATTAATTGATTTATTTTCCTATGTTTGCAGTGGAACAAACATTCCCTTTAATATTTAAAATGAGTTACTGATAAATATTTACTGAATAAAGACTAGCAGAGATGTATGGTATACATCTGTCAGTTTTCACCTTTCTTGCTTTGTAGCAAACACCTTTACTGTTTTAATGTGTTACATTTTAATCTATGCTTTATTTAGCAAAGAAAAGCACAGAAGACTTTGATGGACCATTCAAACCAGCCAAAGCCCTGAAGCAAGGCAGTGTATTGGATATCCTCAAACCACCAGGTTGGAGACACTTGAAACAGATTTAGCAACTTTTCTTTTTATTTGTTTTCATCTGTTCAACCTCACCCCTACACACAAGCACACAGTATATAATTTGGCTCTTTCATTTTCTCTTCAGGCTTCGCCTCACCTGTCTTCAAGTCTCCTTCAGGCCCGGACAGTTTTCCCAAGCAGACATCTACACAAATATCTGCTCCCACCTCCACCCTCTCTTCTTCAACACAGTTTGGTGATGTGGTTAAACCTCCTCTGGGCTGGTCTTGTGATATGTGCTGGGTACAGAACAAGTCGTCAGACACAAAGTGTGTTGCTTGTTCAGCACCACAGCCCTACTCCTCCTCATCAAATTCTTTGGACAGTAAACCCTTACTCGAGACCGCTGTCAGGTCAGAAAGTGGCAGCAGCAGCATCACCACTAACACTACGACAACAAAAGGTTTTGGCACAATGTTTTCCAAACCTGCCGACACCTGGGAATGTGACACGTGTCTTGTGAATAACAATAAATATGCTGTGAAGTGTGTGGCCTGCGAAACTGCCAAACTCGGGACGGGACTCAAACCCTCATTGACTCTTTCTTCTGCCTTCTCAACTGTCAAGTCTGCACCAACGTCTACGGCCCCTGCATCTACAGGCTTCATTGGATTTGGAGACAAGTTCAAAAAGCCTGAGGGTGCATGGGAGTGTGACACGTGTATGATAGAGAACAAGGCAGAGGACACAAAGTGTATAGCTTGCATGAGCTTAAAACCAGGTAATTAAAGTATGATCAAAACCAAATCCAGCCTCTAGAGGCATTTGTTTCGTTATTGACTGACTGATTCTTCATGTTTTAGGAGCTACTACAGCCAGCACTGCTCCATTGCTTGGACTAGCAGAAAAATTCAAGAAGCCAGAAGATTCATGGGAGTGTGATGTTTGTCTTGTACAAAACAAGGCTGCTGACACACAGTGTGTGGCTTGTACGTCTCCTAAACCTGGAGCCACTGTAGAGCCCAAAGGTAAAATAACTGTTTAATTTATATACACTTATATCCAACATATAACATTTTGTCCAAACCTGTAATTCTTCTGTTCTCTTCAGGTTTTGGTTCCTCTACATTTGGCTCTTCAACTTCTGGTTCTGGTGGTTTTAAGTTCGGAACATCTGATAGCAACTCTGTGTTTAGTTCTGCTGGTTTTAAGTTTGGTACATCTGACGGAAGTGTTAAGTTTGGAACCTCATCTTCAGAAACATCCTCTTCATCATCAGGTGGATTTAAGTTTGGAATCTCGACAGAAACCACTTCTAAAGACACTTCTGCCCCTCCAGGGTTCAAATTTGGAAGCTCATCTGAAGGCTTTAAATTTGGGGTTGCCTCTAGTGATGATAAAAAGTCAGAACAGCCTGCCACTGGTTCTGGTTTTAAGTTTGGTTCCACCAGTGGGGTGGCATTTGGAACTGGATTGAGCAGCACAGAAAACGACACCGCGAAGGCTGGTTTCACATTTGGGCTGTCAAAACCAGAGGAGAAAAAGTCTGACACCACCACCACCACCACCACTACTACCACTACTGGGTCTTCCGTTAGCTTCAGTCCTGTTGCCTCAGAAGAAAAGAGCGACAGCTCTGCAGCTCCTACATTTGCCTTTGGGAAGCCAGAAGAAAAGAAGGATGTTGCTGCTCCCTCTGCTCTGTCCTCATTTGTCTTTGGTGCTACAAGTAAAGATGCAGATGCTCCAACATCAGCTGCACCCACAAATTCAGGAGGATTTTCTTTTGGCAAACCAGTCGCTTCATCTGAACAACCTCCTCCCAGCTTTACTTTTGGAAAGCCAGCAGACAAGAGTAAAACATCAGCTGCTGAGATCCCAAAACCCACATTTACTTTTGGAACAAGTACTACAGGTATTCTATTAGTAAATACTTTCGGATTTTACATACATATGTTTGTAGAGCTGATCAATGAGATAATTAATCAGTTTTCTAAATATTTCTTTCCAACAGATTCTACTGCATCCCAACCAAAACCTGCCTTTTCCTTCATGGCTAGTAATCCTGTCAACTCCAACACATCAACAAGTGTATTTGGCAGCAACAGCAGTGACAATTCCACCCAGTCCGCAGCGCCCCCTGCTGCTCCCAGCACTTTCATGTTCGGTCAGCCTGCTGGAGCCTCTGGAGATGCTCCTCCAGCTAAAGCCTTCCTCTTTGGGCAGAACCAGGAGAGCCAACCCCCTGCTCCATCAGCAGCTCCTCTCAACTCCACCCCTGCTCCTAGTCCAGCTCAGCCCTTTATCTTTGGAGCTTCTGCAAGCACGAACCCACCTCCTCCTGCTGCTACTTCAACCTTTTTTGGAGCTGCAGCCCCTTCTGCTGCCCCATCAGGTCTGTGCCTTTGTAGGTCTTTGAAAAATGTATGAAAAGTGGAAAAAGAAATCAGTTCGGTCAACCCTCAATCTTTATCCCAACAGCACCATCTGCAGCACCCTCTCCTTTTGGATTCAACTCTGCCCCAACCAGTGGGTTTGGGTCCAACCAGGCTCCTTCTTTTGGTACATCCTTTGGATCCTCCTCTTTCTCAGCCACACCCCCTCAGGCCCCTGCCTTTGGGGCCAAACCTGATGCACCTCCTGTCTTTGGACAGAAGGTCAATTCCACACCTGTGTTTGGGACAGCTGCCAATTCTGCACCAGGTAGACATTTTATTTTTTCATGCTTTTTGAGACTATAAAAATATTTGCAACCCTGACATATTCATAATTAAAGATGTTCATGTTTGACAGGTGGGGGGTTCCAGTTTGGAGGGACTAGTGCATTTGGAGCTACAAACAACACCTCAAGTGTTTTTACTTTTGGAGCTGCAGCTCCTGCTCCTGCTCCGGCTGCCAGCCCCTCCATGGCACCACAGCCAGGAACACCTGGAAGTGGATTTAACTTCTCACAGGCCCCAGCATTCAATATCGGGTCTGTTGCACCGCCTTGATAATCTACTTTTTGGCCTATTCAGTGTTAAGTCAAATTGAGGGGAGTAGTTGTCCACATAATGTGTTGTGTGATGCAGTGTGACTATTTACTAATTATTGATAATCATAGTCTAATGATTATCAATAATGATGTCATATTGTCTTGCACAGGTCTGCAAAATCCTTCACTGCATCTCCTGCTGGACAGCCTGGAATTACAGCACGCAAGATTAAGACAGCGGTGCGGCGCAGGAAGTAGCGCTCTGTGGGACTAGGCTTTAAAACAGACATGACGTTGACCACTTAAGGCTAAAAGAATTCCTGAAAAAAACACAACTTGACAAACACTGAATAGACATAAGAAGGGCTGAGACTTGGTGCCACTATGTGCTCCCGCTGGGTGAATGTGTATGGTTCTTCCAGAGGATTTCACATGCAGACCAGAGCTGTTGATATGATATGCTGATATGCAAGACCATCCCACAGGACTTCTCGCGTTTAATAAAACTGACTGGACTGATAGGTGACACTGACTTCAAAAATAACAACAATCCAGAAGGGGCGTTTCAACCCAACACACAAGCAAGACAGTCATATCTTCTTCACTTGGGTCTGCTTGACTAGGCATGACAATTTGTAATTCAACTACGAAGGCAACGGCTGAAAATCTATAAAGAGTCACAGGAAAACAAAATCCTGGTATAGTTAGTCTGTGTGATTAGGTTGTGAGCTGTGAGGTGCAGAGAGGTGATGTAAGCGCTGTGGTCAACTTCCTGCAGCAGACTTGAACATGATCAGAGGACTGGCTGCTGCTGGAGGTGCAAGTTTGCTGTATGTACAGGTATGGATTCTGTGTGGTGAATGCCGTGTGCTTGTTGCCCCCGTATCTCCCCTTTTCCTCCCCTCTTCTTATGTATAGACTTGTTGTGTGAGGTAACTTTACATGCTGAGGTTTGCGTGTTGACGTGTGTATGAAAACTGAATGATGGAGTTTTCGTCTGAGGTGGACAGGACCCGCCGCAGACGAGCGAAAGCAACTGAATGTTTAAAGACAAACAACAAGGGAGTGTGGAACGAGGGCAGAGTTCAGGAGAGAGGAGCAAAAACTCATCCATGCACTGTGGAGGCTGGACTGGTCGGTCGCTGACACCCTTGTTCAACTCCTTAAGGTTTCTTTGTAAATTTCATTCATTCAAAACTGTTGTTACATCTTTGAGCTCTCTCTGGTTCGCTCACCTTCTCTGCTTTCCTGCCCTGGTTTCTCTCCTCCTCCCCATCTCTTCTACTCCTTTCTCTCGAGTCCTACTCTCCCTTTACCTCTCTGCCTCCCCTCCTTTATCTTAATTGGCCTTTGAATATTATTAAAAAAAACTGTAAATAGTGATATTTTTTTTAATCTGTGAAGTTGAATTTTTTTGTGTCACCAACTCTGCATTCAGCATTTTTGTCTTTAGAATTTATGTAAAATTCCTGCATTCAAAGTTGCCCGAATCCATTTAAAGAAGAAACTTAAATGCTAATTGGATAGCCTTTGATGACTAAAGGTATATTGGCTTTTCTGATCCACTTTTGTTTGGACCAAAACCAGTATTGTACAAAGTATTAGGTATATATTTTTCTATTGCGTGTTTAAATGGACGAGGGTGACTTTGGATGGAAGAGAAGTCAGTTTAATTTTAAAGCCATGATTATTTCTGAATGAGTGATTATAATTAAAACATTGGTAATTACCATCAATAAAACTATTAAAAAAATATTCCTTGTTCCTCTTTTGACTATATGAAATATTTTGCAAAATGGAATTTGAATCTCTGTTCACACTACACATTTACAGTCAGTGTATTAGTCTGATAAATAGGAAGTACTTTGAGGAGAACTAATATTTAGTCAAACGTATAATATTGGTGTAACAAAATGACAGTTGCATCCACCTGGAAAAATAATTAAATAATAATTTGTGCATAAATGTTAGATTTGATTTGTTACCAGAAATATTCTCAAATTTTTCAGGACAAAGTGATCGATTTGATTGAATCAAAACTGATTCACATACTGTCGTTAAAGAGTTGTAAGGACATTCAATGCGCTGGGCTGTTGTCAAACAGCATTCGGCATATAAAATAATAAATTACATTTTCTTGTAGAACTTTTTGGCACATTTATTTATTTTCTCACCCCTTAAAAACCAGTATGGTACGTACCAGTACGACATTTCCGTTTTTACTTCCGGTATCAAACACATGTAAAGGAAAGCGGTTGACATTGCGAGTCTCCTGTTGTACCGGAGGTGGATCAAGTATTATAGCAACTACATTTACATCATGTGAGTGAATCGCATTTACTCAACTAATATATTTGTGTGAATTTTCGATGTTTTACTTTTGTGGTCAACGTCTTTCAGGGTACTTTTCCACAATTTAGCGTTCCGTCTCAACATAGCTGCCCTTCCAATGCCAGAACTAAATTATGATTATTTTATTATTATAGTTCGATATAAGGTATAGAGCAGTATATTTTGAGTAATGAAGTTAGGTAAAACTAAAACTACCGTCTGTATCTGTATTCTCGGCTTATTAACTTTGTTACATAGAGGATGTGTGTTTTTTTAAATGTGTTATAGTATGTAGTAATAAGTGTAGAAATTGTCCTGTTTGTGACTAAATGCGTATGTGAATGAACAGTACAGTTTATGAATAAACAGCGTATTGAAGTAGCAAGTGGGTTTTTCTTTGCATCAACTGCAACTTTGCATCTACAATCTATTTTTGTTAGTAGTAAGTAAGATTTTCAAACATCTCTAATGTATTTTTTGTCTCTGCAGTCTCCATGACTTCCTCCTGTGCAAGGCTGTGTCTGAGATGCAGACGTTTTCTTTCCTCCAAGACACTGACCCCAGTGGTGCAGTATTCCACACAAGTTTATAATCGCTCTTTGGTCACAAGTGAAATCAAGAATGAATTGTTTGGGGGGAATATGAAAACACAGCAGGCCAGACAGAGTTTAAGGCAGCAGACATTTCATTACTGTGACATCAAACATCTGGTAACTGGATCCAATGAAAAGAGGTTGGCAGTGGAGTTGTCTACAGCAGATATTGTTCCATGCAAGAACCCTCTGATGCCAGTGAATGAGAGAGAGGTGCAGTCAGGTAAGTTTAAGTTTCATGTTAACGATCCGATTCAAATACATACACCTACTGTATGTAGTATTTTTTTTCTACTTGGTCAGATCCAGATGCTGTAGCAGAACCTTCTGCTTTAAGGGAGCTCACTGAGGAGGAAGCTCTCAGTATAACTGTTCCTGCAGCCTTGCCTCCAGCCTCCACATCTCTTAGAGACTATGTTGACAAATCTGAGACACTCAACAAGCTGGTGCAGCTAGGTAATCAGTTTATACATTTATCGATTTTTAGGGGAATAAATCTAAACTTTTCAAGGATGAGGTCATGGAGATATTTTTTAATTTCAGGTGTGGATTTGTGGAAGCTAGAACAAAGGCCCAATGTTGGAACCATGCTGCTGAAACTGGACTTTGACACAGATGTGGCCCCAAGGTTGCTGTTTCTCAAAGATAATGGGGTGGAAGAGTCTCGCTTTGGCTACATCTTAACACACAACCCTTTTATTCTCACTGAGGATTTGGAAAACCTGCACGCTAGGTGGCAAATCAAAGAAACATTTACAAATAAATATATTTGTAACAACTGTGTTGGTTGTGCTGTCATATTCTGTCTAAAGGTCTCTACTTTTGTTGTTTTTATAGAGTGAACTATCTCCTGTCAAAGAAGTTCAGTTCTGAGGAGGTTGCATCCATGGTATCCAAAGCGCCATATCTGCTGAATTTTAGTGTCAAGCGGCTGGACAACAGACTGGGTTTTTATCAGCAGCAACTTAAACTCAGTGCTGTTAATGTAAGTTTTCTGTAGTCTGTACGGTTTAGATAAATACATTAACCACTACAGTATATTACAGAAGGTTTGGTTTCCTTTCTAGACCCGGAACATTGTAGCTCGTCTACCCAGACTCCTCTGTAGAAGTCTGGAGCCTGTCAAAGAAAATCTGAAGGTACTTGGTCAAAAACCAAGACATAATTATAATGTATTATTTTGCAAAATACATTATATATTATATATTTCTATTATATTTTCTAAAATATTTCCACTTGTGTTTTTGAATTGTGATTTGCCAAGGTGTGTGAAATAGAGCTCGGCTTTAAGAAAAATGAGATCCAACATATAGTTCTTACCATCCCTAAAGTGCTGACTGCAAATAAAAAAAGGCTTATCCAAATATTCAACTTCCTTCACAACACCATGAATGTCCCCCACCACCTGATCACCAAGTTTCCACAGGTATGTTCACGTGTTGCTATCTACTTAATGAAGAGAGTTTTTGTTTAATTATTTGTTTTGCAAATATGCACAATCTGCAAACAAAATTCTGTTTGGATCATATTTACCACTGCAGGTCCTGAACTCTAAATTCCTGCGAATAAGGGAGCGACACATGTTCCTGAAGTATCTTGGAAGAGATCAGTATGACCCTGACCTGCCCAACTACATCGCCCTGGATCGTCTTGTATCTTTGCCAGATGAGGCCTTTTGTTCTGAACTGGCTTCGACCACATTGGAAGATTTTTATTTGTTCCAGAAGACACTTTAACTTTAAAACGTGACAATAATGACAGAATAATGTCAATATGTGAACAATAAATGTCATGAAACATGTTGAGGGCGTAAACAGTATGTCAATAAATGTTTTGATAATAATAAATGTAAATAGTTTACATAAATGTCTTTCTGTCTGTCTCAAGTCATTTTTAAACAGCTTTTGTATTAGAGGGTGTAAAATAATTTTACTTGGGTCAAGTGTCTTACTGTTAATTTGATCATGAACTGTACAAAAAACAAAGACGTTTTCATTTTAGAAGATTTTATATAGAGAGAATATTTTTTATGGAATATGCTCTTTAAATAATTATCAGTATATTGGCACCTATGGATATTTCAAGATTTCAATATTAACAATAACAATATTTCCTTTGTTAAAATACTAAATTTATGGGTATGCCGTTTGATATTGTGAGCATATGTGCTGACCAACTTGTGTTTATTCAATTAAATGTGTTTTAGTTATTTATGCCATTATTATATTAAGGGAGATTTTAATGTTCTAAAAAAGGAAGGGGCGTACGATGACGTTTGTGTGAAAAGAAATATAGGAAATGTTCAGACCACGTGACTTACCCATAATCCTGCGCGTACGCGTTTGCAGCGTTCAAGATGGCGACCAGCATACCACGTAAGGTTTTCCCTTCTAAAAATAATTTCAAAATAAACCGTAATTCTTATCTTATAGTAACAGATTCAAACGAAATGATTAAATGTGTAAAAGTAACGTTTTTTCTTTTCTTTATACGTCACGTTATTACCAAGGTCGTCTTTGACTTGTTTGTCCTTAGGTGTCCCCGAGCTAACTGCTATCCTATGCTAAGCTTACACTTTGATTAGCTAAGGTTTTTTTTTTTTACGATTTTCAATGGAGAATTGTTATTTTTTGAATATTCACGTGGATTTTGTAATTTAATATAACATTTAGATTCAATTTAAAAGCGTTAAATAGTACCCATCAACTATTAATTAGTTATTCAGCATATGATGGTTAAATGTCTATTATATTATGGTGTTATCATTTGGTCTAAAATTACTTGACTGTTTTGTGTTTTTGCCTTTGCAGCTTTGTCAGTCAGAGCTATGCTCTCAGTGCGAAAATGGTATTATAACCTGAGTGGTTTCAACAAACTGGGTAAAAACACAGACTTGTCTTTGGTCAGAAATAGAAGCTGTTTGTATTCAATACAATAATTTGGTTTTTAGATCACTGCATGATCATTTTTTGTGTTAGGTCTGATGTATGATGATACAATCTATGAGGATACAGATGTGAAAGAAGCTCTGAGGAGGCTTCCTGAGACAGCATACAATGATAGGATTTTCAGGATAAAGAGGGCGCTGGATCTGTCCATGAAGCAACAGATTCTTCCAAAAGAACAGTGGACTAAATTTGAAGAGGTAAGCACGTTTTATGGGTGTGTAATCTGTATTAAAGATTTGGAGATTTGAATAAGGTCATGTCTATAATCATAATGTACAAATTTTAAATCGAACTAAATACTTTGTTTCCTACAGGATTTCCGCTACCTGACACCGTATGTAACGGAGGTGATCCGTGAACGGAAGGAAAGGGAAGAGTGGATGAAGAAATAAAATTCTTCCTCCTAAATGTTGTTAATCCGTGTTGTCCATCAACGCATCCTTGTCTGCTGGTGGAATATTTAAATGAAAATGACTTATATAAGACAATAAAAAATATGAATTTCCAAAAAACCCTCAAACTCCACATGTTGTGTTTTAATTGTTTTTGTGATTGGCTGATAAATGATTGATTTGTTGATGGGTGAATGAAAAGATCTTATGTTCACTACGAACAGTTATAAATAATTGCTTTATTTTTCATGTACAATAGATACAGATATTAAAATACAATATCTAGAAAACTCAGTGCACCTGCCATAAATAACACTGGAAACAGAATGTTAAAAGTAGTAAAAGAAGTATTTTTTTTCTTTTTTTAATTCTAGAACAAATCTGTAAACAAACTATATGAAAACAAACTCTCCTTTAGTTTCATCATGTGGGTGGTTGTTGGTTTTTTACTGTGATGGAACATCAGCCTCTTTGGTGTTTTCTGTCTCCACTGACTTGTTGACCATCATCGCATCACAATTCGTCATTATATTGAATCTTTTGTAACTCAACCTCAGCTTTCCTTCTCAACTCTTATATTAATTACCATCTTCATCATCATCATCATTCTGTCGGCTCACCATTGTCTTTGGAATTGTCCTTTTTTGCTTTGCCTTTCTCCTGTCACCTCACCCCTGACACTTGTTCCTCCGTCTCCTGTTGTGCACATGATCACATAGATAATGACTCTGTTAACCATCAGTCTGAGCCTTTGATCTCCTGTTGTCCACGTTAGCTATAGTGTTAATGAAGTTCCCCACAACGCTGTTAAAGGACATTAGCATAGACACTCCAAGCTCGTTGCTGGTCTCACTGATGTCTGGATCGTAGGCCCCTGTGAGAGGAGTACAAACCTTTACGTTTCCTCTTCCCCTGACCTGTAGGATGTCCATTAGCTGGACCCTGACCTCCTCAAACAACTCTCTATTGTAACGCAGCAGGACAGAATCATCAAGAGGATAAGAAGCGTCCTCAGAGTAGCACTCCCGCGGTACTGGGACTTCAATGTACCTCAGTTTGGGAAAACTTGTAGACAGCATGGAAAACAGTCCACGCAGGGCTGCAGAGGTCAGAGGGTTTCCCAGAAGTTTGAGCTCCTCCAGAGCCTGACAGCCGGTCAGAGCGGCGGTGAAAGCGTCCACGTGGTCGTCCTTGAGGTTGCATTCTTCAAGAGTGAGAGTGGCCAGGGAACCAGAGCAGTGGCTGAGGAGTTTGTGGAAAGGTGTAGAGAAAAGGCCAAAGATGTCGTGTCCGCTAACATCCAGGCTGACGAGGGTGTCACTGTGGAGGCTGTTGGCCAGGTATGTCATGTCCACTCGGTTCAGACAACAGTACGCCAACTCTAGGTGCTGCAGGGGAGTGTTGAGTGGACTGTCAGAAAAACAAACAGAGTTTCAACAGTTTTAGGTGTTTAATTGTTCTTATCATATCTTTCTGCCCAGACTCATTGATGATGCAGTCAAATGGGGACAAATTGTTGTCCATTTTTTACCTCAGTATTCGGCGTAGGTGTCCAGTAAGTGTGGAGAACCCCATGTAGAGCTCAGTCAGGCTGCTCAGCTGTGCCAGCTGGTTACCAATGGTCGTCAGCAGATTTTCACTGGGATCCATTCTTCTGATGTCAAGCGCCCCAGCTGGTATAGTCAGGGCCTGCAGTTTAGGGAAATCCACCCGAGAAAACAGCACCTCCAGGTGTGAGGCCTCCAGAGGAACATTGTGGACCACCTCCAACTTTATCATCGACTCTGGTTCTGCCAACCGGAGGACATAGAAGAGCTGCTTAAGGTTCAGAGAATCAGCCCTGAAACTGACAAAATGGAGCTTTAGTGGGCAGTAGGAGCGGAGGAGAAAGGCCTGAGACACAAGGTCGTAGTTGCGACCTGTGACAAAACCATGCAGACAGATGTCAATTGAAATTTCGAAGGCAGAGTGTGGGGCATTAGTGGTCTGCATGGCCACCATAGTCTCATAGCACAGCTGGGTCAGGAGAAGTGTTCTTGCCCATCGACCCAGGGTGCAGCGACAGGGACAGTCCTGTTCCTCTACATCTGTGAGACAAGTAAGGTCCACCACATGGAGAGACTTTGCATAAGTCCCTGGTGGAGACAATACATAATCCTGAAGAAAAAGACAAATATAACACTGTTTAAGGCTCATTTGTGGTAACATCAAATAAACTATTATTAATCACAAGTTAGCAGTCACTCCTACTGTTTAATATCATTTTAATCAGTTGCAGTGATCAAGATTACCGTACCTTTAAGCCAGTCAGAACCGCTTCCAGACCAAGTCTGCAGGTGCGTGAGGTCAGGTCCATCTGACAGTCCGTGGTCTTTCCCAACAGCCTCTGAAGGTTGAGCTCAGGGAGAGGCCACGTCTGGACCAAAGCCTGCAGCAAGTCTGCCTTCTCATGGAGGTAGCTGGCCTTGAACAGCAGTGGGTAGAGATTAAAAGACAAACATTTGAGGTTCTCCAGATTGATTGGACCAGTTTGGATAAAACCCTCCGCAGCGAGGAATCGCAGGGACTTCATGTTTTCCAGTTTTGTTTCCTCCCTGTTCGCTGTTGCAACAATTAAGGTATCCCAGTCAGAGCTGCTGTCAAACAGCTGTCTGTGTTTTGTTGATGTCCCTTTGTTGTCTTCCACCCGAGTGTGGTGCATTTGAGTGGAACAGGAACTGTTGCAGCGGGGCAGAAACAAGGCACGAGGGTCTCAGTATTTTTAGAAACAGCTGTCTCACGTCTTTCGTTGGGACATGGTGTCTATTTGTAACTCTGTCCACAGAGATAAGTAGGAAGAGACGCTGTGAAGCCATCACCATTCCACCATTCCAAACACTTTGTGAGACTAATCCACGTCGGAGCTGGAACAAGAAAAAAGGAAACAATGAGAAATTAGAAGTAAAATATGATTTTAATTATAATATAATTATAATTATTATAATTGTAAACAATGAGCACAGAAAACAAAGATGGCTCCTGGGATATTTTTGAGGGTCAAGCAAATGGTTTTCTGGATTTGTTTTTTTATTTACTACACAGTAGAGGAAACGGTTTCAGCGTGTCCATTTGATCAGGGCTCACCACAGTGTTGGTCAACAGTCATTTGGAACAGTCTGTAGACGGAACAGTCGCTATCAAACCCTAAAGTTTTCTGGCAGGAGTCCATTCCCTTCATCTATTACACAAAATATGACTTTGAAATTTGTATAACAGGTGTTACACTTAATTTGTCACTTAACATGTTTTAAAAGTGCCTGGCTCATCGGTTCCACTTACAGTATGAAATTTACTACCACAAGTTAGTACTAAGGACTTGACAAGTTCTGTCTCTTACCTGCTGCGACTGTATGTGATAGACTGATGTCTTTATGAAGGATGGTAGTGGTGGTGGTGGTGGTGATGGTGGTGCTCATGGTGATGATAGTGTTCATGTTGCTGTGCCACAGGGGGACGACAAAGAGCATGATGTTTATCTAGCATGTTCCTGTCATCCCTGGGTTGGAGCTTGAAGCTTGGATCTCTGACGAGTGTGTGAGCGTCTTGTGTCCTGGAACGACTCCTCTTGCTGTGGGTCAGTGGCAGGACACCCGGTGCTAGGGGGCGACACCTAGCAGGGTGGCACCATGAAGCAGGGTGATGGACCTGCAACCTGCAGGACCTCTCCACCGCCCTGCTACTGTCTCTGCCTGCTGACCGGGGAGATCTAAAGGAGGTGCAGCGCCTCTTTTCTGCCACTTTGTGGTGCTGAAGAACAGATTGTGTTTGTTCTTGTGTCTCTGGAAAGATGGGGTAAAATTAGTTTAGTATCATGAGTTTTAATGAAAACCCCCCCCAGAGAAATTAATGAGAAAAATATGTATTCTTGAGATAGATTTAGGTCTTGAGGTGCTTTGAAGAAAAAAAAAAGTATATTTTTATTATTATTATTTTATTGTTACCCATATTGTCAAATTTGGAGGCATAGTTCTCTATTCCTGCCAGATCCAGGTAGTGGTTTCTTCGTTCTATGTTTTCATCAGCACAGTAGAGTTTCCTCACTGGACTCGCCGACTCCTGATCTTTCTCGGCTGCTTTTAAACAAACGAAGGTTAGAAAATCATAAACCTTAAAATGTGTTACTATTCTCTGGATTTTCAGTTTACCTTGGAGTAAAATCTTTTCTTGGCAAACTGATGGACACACTGCTAACTTGATCTTCAGAGGTGCATCCTGCACACAGAAACAGACATGTATATATATATATATATATACACAGAACACAGTGGCATGTTGTTTCTGTTTGATCAGTGAGGTCACCTTGTTTGTGACCTGGCTAGGTTTGTTGACATTGGAAAAGGTAAACGTCCACTCCTGCTGAGAATGATCCTCCAACGCCACATCCCATTTTGTGTCCTGCGAATGCCCAGAGGACAAAGAGAGGGTTAAACTAGTAGAGTGACATGTAATATTTAACACTTAGGAAAGAAAATAAAGGAGCCACACTCACAAGGCTTTCCTTCTTCCTTGTCTCTTTGTCCACCTGGATGTTCTTGTCCCAAACTGTTGTCTTCTTTGGTGGTAAAATCACTATGCAGCACATATGAAGAATGCACTTCAGTTTTCATCAGACTCAAGAATTATAAACAGTGGTAGTTGTTGTCGTCAACATCTCTGTCATTTATTTATTTTAACCTGACTTCAGGTTTTCTGGGGTAAAGTATTTCCCCACAGATGATGAAAAAAAGGACAGAATCAACACTTTAAGGTCACTGCCGTGTCAGTGTGAGGTGTGGAACTCTGTACTCACCCTGGAGGTTGCAGATATGGTCAGACTTGTTTTTCTTCAGCTCTACACACAAGTTCTGTGAGAGGAAGAGTGTATGAATGAAGAAGGTAGAAATTCACTTTCAGTCTAGACACTGATCCTGAGTAATGACAGTAGACAAAAGATGACAGGTACAGAGTCAAGACAGGGTTGTGTGGGTGATATTTGACGGAAGAATAGGAAGATTAGAGTTTTAACACAGCAGTGACAGCAATACAATAGCTACCGAGTTACAACCAACTGGGATAAATGGGCAGGTTAGACAAAGAGTGAAGCTGTGATGGCAGGGGACATGGGTTATATAATAAGTCGTATGAAAGGCAGAACTGTATAAAAAACAAAACATCACCATCAATTAGGACACAACTGGAAATGTACTTTACTTGACTAAGCAGAGTGTGAGACCAACCTAGAGAGACAAGGTTGACACAGAACCTCGCGGTAATACAACTGGTTGTCTTCCAGAACAAAATGAGGAAACATGACAATGTTTGGGTTTCCAGTCAGTGATTGCAATAAAGCGTGTAACAGAAATCTCCTCAGCCCACAGAGGCTTCAGTAAAGGACCTCCATCATCAGCTGACAATACAAAGATGCGGGTGTTGTTGGTGGAAGAATAGCTGCTTTTGTCTCCATACAGTCCGACCACCTTCTTAACATGATACCGCGACGTCAGAGCAAATACTTACAGAAAAACGACTGAGAAATGACAGGTACAGTGTGGAAGATTGAACTTCATTGTATCTTTTATTTGGTTTTATATAGAGTGCATACAGCACAGTATGCATAACTGCGTACTGACTATAAAAGAAGTCACTCATATAAAATAACCAGACATGACTAATAGAGTGTGTGGGTGTGTCGGTGGTTAAGGTCTGAGTTTAAGTGTAGATCTTTGAACTGGCATGTTTGAGTCTTTTTCTTCTCCACTCTGTTGGCTGCTGTCCTATCCCTTACTTGTTAGCACAAAGTTTCTGTTGTGCTCCATATTTCCCCCTCGTTGGGCTTGATGTAAAATAAACCACTTCCTGCACTCAGAACAGAGAGACGTGTGTGAAGTTGCCAGGCTGAAGCAGTGCGATGATGTGAAGAGATAATATTTTTTCATTTAAATGTCACACACCACTGCTTCAAGCACATACTGTGTATGATTTAGCAACATCTAGTGGTAGACCTACATGTGGTAGATGACCAGCCTGCAGCTCCACGTTCACTGTAGAAATTATACGTAAGGTCACTTATCATTAAAACCCACCAAGGATTTAGTTTTTCCCTAGAATTCAGTAAAACATGGCAACCCAACGTGACAAAAGTATTCATCCTGGGTCAGAGATACAAAATCTATACCGGGAAAGTTGGCAATAAAAAATAAAACCGGTCATTCACTCAATCCTCTATCTACATTAAAAAGTCATTTTTTTGATTGATTGTAAATACTATACTAAAGTATGAAAATACATGAGTCGGATGATTTTTAAGTGCTTGTCATTAAAATGTTTCTCTCGTGAAAAACAGTGGTTTAAAGCCACAGCCACAGAGTAAGGTATAATTAATAATCTTCTTGTCAGAAATATAGAACCTTCTTGTGAAAATGTCAAAGAGACGCAAATTTTTGACCTGCCACCAAAAAAATGTTTAAAACGAGAAACCTGGATAAACCAGATTACACCGGTTTGCACCTGAGGAGCAGGTATGGATTTAAGCCAAGCTAAACACAAACACAACTAATCATATAGTGTGCTTCAGATGAAACAGAGCGTTGGACTGAGAGTCCAAGACAAACAAAAAACTTCAGTTGAATCAGACAATAGGAAGGTGACATGAGATGAGATTAGTCCTGGCTGCTGAATGCTACGTCCTGTGTTTGTGATCGCTCATTTGTTTTCATTAAAACAGGTTTGTGATTCTTTCGAAAAAAGAAGGTGTTGACAGCTGACTATGAGTCAGGTGACGTGACTTACCATGTTCAGCTTTAACTCAGTGGTTTTTAGGCATTACCTAGAACGTAATTTACAGTTAACAGCTGCCGTGTCATGGAAAATAAAAGTATAATTAAAAACAGCGGACAGTCAACCTCAAACATTTTAATAACCTGGCGAAGGTGGAGTTTTTCCAAGATGCTGACCTCGAACTTTGTTACATTTCTTAATTTGCTGTGTCAAACCTGCCAAAGATAAAGCTAAGAGTAACCTACAACTCTGTTAGATTTAAATTAATTAACCCCAAACATGCTAAATGTTAGCAAAAAAGACTAACCATTTACTAAATATTAGCTAAAATACACTGCAGAAATTGTTTACATTTGCGAAAATAGATAAGCCTCCGTGATAAATTAGTCAAATTCTTTATTTTTTGTCTAAAAGCAAAAATAAAATGTTTAACTCAGTGACAAGGTAACAACAGCCGACGCTCTCCTTTAGCAGTGAATCTGAGTTGACTCTGATAGAATCAGTACGTGTGTAGTTACAGGCAGACGGAGTGACTGTTTCTCAGGCTCCAAAACGTGAACACCTCATTAACTCTAAGAGTCCACATGTGACGCCATTCACGCAATCAAACACCCACACCCACACACACACACCCTCCACACTACCACCACCAATCCACACACACACACAGACACACACACGCCCTGACTTTCTGTCTGGCAGCAGAAGTAAAGCAGTACCAGATGTGGAGACTTTTCTGGGTTTTTTTTGCTGAGGTTCTGTATAAAGAGCTGGCTGTTCGGAGGAGGTGGTTTCTGAGCCGCACTTCACACACTTGGAAGTCTCTTTATAGAGAAGGAGGTGCAGGAGCGGAAGAAAAAACACAGGAGTAGCTCCAAAAACACCTTTTATGTCTCTTGGATATGATGTGAGCAAACACTGCTTTTCCCTAAAAAACAGCGTTTGGCGACATGGAACCGTTGGGTTTGGAACATACAGGATAAATATGGTGTTGGTGTTGTGCAGTATGAGATATTTGATATTATTATATGAGATATCTAATTATTAATATTATAATTAGTATTTACCCAGGGTTTTTATGTATTTATGCTATAATAATTTTGGATTTATTTTATATTCTCCTTTTAATATTTGTGTCTTTCTGTTACCTTTTCTAATATTATATTTTTAATATAAATGTGTGTTTATGTTATATAATCTCTGCTGCTGACACAAATTCAAAAAGCAAATATGCAAAAAAAATGTGTGCATTACAAATGTGTAGTCCAATATATATTGCAGTACTGTGTATACACATACTTGTATGCAGTTATTTCATCTTTCTAGTTATGTTACTTGTTACATATTGATTATTTCACTACTTTCTATTTTGCGCATTGATTATTTCACTACTTTCTATTTTGTGCTTAAAGGAGAGCAAAAAAAGAAAAAAAGATTTGGTGCACAGTACATGTACAGTGACATCAAGGTTCTAATGCCCATATTGTGACGAAAACACAGTACGTTTTTTACCTCTGTGAGCTGTGTTTTCATACTTGTCTCGTGTTCTTTTTGGCCAGTCATCACATTGGAAGCCAGACTATCACCTGCAAAAACATTAAAAACGTTTCATAAGAGATTTAAACACTTAATAATACTAAATCAAGGCTTTAATATAAACGTTCATACCTTCAGGGCTCTGTCTACGCTTCACAGCTGAAGGAATAAAAACAGTTAAACTTAAGTATGATGAGTTTCATGAAGTCAGTCCAAATAAATGCAAATCTCACCGAGTTTAGACTGTAGTTTCCCCATTGTGCTTTTGTCAGTCGGTTTTCCTAGGTTCAAATTTATATCTGACAAACACCCCCGGATTAATGAGCATCACGCTTCTTCTTTTCCAGCACTGAGGGAATTTATGAGACCAGCAAAAGCTCAGTGGTTTGACTGACGCGTTTGTCAAAGAGTGCAGTCCTGGTTTGAGAGGCTTCAATTCAACGCACTTCCTCTGGCGACGCTTTTCCGGTGAACGCTTAAACGCGTACTGGAATTCGTGTTTTGTTTCGGTGTAAAATCGTAATCCCAGTATTTTAAACATGCTATTGGTTTATTTTTAAAGAAAATAAACTGTTTCCGCCCGGTTTCGAACCGGGGACCTTTCGCGTGTGAGGCGAACGTGATAACCACTACACTACGGAAACTCATGACGAATTGTGTCAAACATATGCTTATATTGATACAATAAAGTGGTATACTGTGTAATTCTTGCTATAAACTCTTGTACTTTTCTTACCGGGACTTCGGTATCTAATATTGATATTGCTTTCATTTACTTTGGCCACATCTCGTTTTTTTTAACCAGTCCAGAAAAACGTGGAGTCCCATGTGGATGAAAGGCCGCAAAAATAAAATACTTTACGACTGGATCTAATAACACTCCTGTGTTGACATAGTCTTAGAATACAAAATATCCACATTTCTGGTGTATCAACGTCGAAAAAGCTGTTTCCACCCGGTTTCGAACCGGGGACCTTTCGCGTGTTAGGCGAACGTGATAACCACTACACTATGGAAACCCGTGACACGACCAACTAAACCTGTAGACATATAATAACGTACATGTTTATTATATGACATATTTAATGTATGGTGTCACAACGGTCAACCTTTCTTGCGCCATTCCTACATGTGGCATCAGAATTAATGATCAAATAACAAACAGCAACTGCGTCCATTTTCATAAATGTTCGTTCATGTCTTTTGCTATAACAAAGTCGCCCCCTGGTGGTCGACTTCTCACATACACGTTATTCTCAGAACAGAAACTGAATATACAGTATCGTGTAAAATATAAAAATGATGTTGTTTAAGGTTTATGCAAATGATTGATATTGTATGATTAGGAAAGACATAAAATGGTCCAAATAAGTTTTTTTGGTTTATTACCAAATACAAAAGTAATACTGCAATGCTGCAGTGTGAACAACAGTTTTCTTCCATTTGTTTCAAACCACAATTCACTCTATTCATTCTTTTTCTTATGGTACATAAATATACACAAATCTGTTAAAAATAACATAACAAGTCCACAATAAAATACTGCTAACTGCTGCCACATGCTGATTCTTTGATGGTAACAGCTGGTGTGGGTCCTATGTGGGTCCATATGTAACCCTTTTCCGGTCGGATGGGGATGGTTGGGAATGGAGAGCTCCTTGACTTGAAATATTCAGAGGGAGCGTGGCACACAAACTCCAGATACTCCATTTTCCGGGGAAGATCCTCCTCTGGACCTGGAGAAAAACAGATGCTTTTAAAGTCGATCCAAAACAGCAATAGATTATGCTGAGTCTGATTATATAATGCTCACCAACAATATATGTTCCAGGATCAAACTGGTCCTTTGGACTAGCTTGTGTGGGAATTAACCAGGTCAGTGCTGCACTCTTTTCACAATACTGGTCCTGAACAAAGCCACGAATTTGTGCGTAGTACGATTTTCCATCGTCTTCATCTGTGACTTTGATTACATCTCCTGTTTGGTAGTAAACACCCTGTTGGTACAAAACAGTGGATGTGTATAAATACACTGGGCACATGTCTCAGGACAAAGACCCTACATTAGAATTAATACAGCTGTGGGCAGACGTTTAGATCATCGTCAAGTGTGGTGGCTTTGTAAAGTTACCTTATGAAACACAGATTCTGAAGTGATGATTGTTGCAACAGATTCTGGCGCTTTGATTGGCTGAGGATGTAAAGCACACACAAAATGGTCCAATGCATAAAGTCATTCTGCAGAAATCCAAACTGCAGATATAAAATAATAAACCCAGTGAATTAGCTTACATTTTTTAGTTTGAATATGTGTCTTCTGCCCTTTCCCTTTGTAGACACTTTCTTTTCTGACGCAGGAGCTTTGTACTTGGTACTCCTCAGCCGTGCTGACCTCCGATGAATCTCCTGCTTGGTCTAAAAAAAGGACAACATGGATCAGGTGGTGAGATCTGGTTAAAGGAATACATTTGTATGAACTATTAAAAAACACTTGACAGTTTCACTTGTTTTTAATAAAGCCAAACAACAATCTTACAAGTGCTCATTTCATTGTAACCCCGAATTATCTTCTAAACATCAAGTTTTGAGGTGGGCTGCGTCCAGATGTTGAACGTAGACAGTATGAAAAGAAGACCCGTGAGGACATTTATGGACTGAGACATTAAATTGAACATCTGACCTGTTTAGGTCCGCCATTGCTGGGCTGTGAGCTGGAGGACATTACAGCGCTTACTGAACCTCCTCCACCTCCCCCTGCTCCTCCGCTGCTGCTACTCTTTCCTGTGCAGTTGTTGCACAAAATTTCTCCCTGGTTTCCTTTTTTCCACATGGACGACGAGTTCGTCTTGCAAACAGCACAGCAAGGTTTCAAACCCAACGGCATCGTCGTTGTCAACGAACAGAGCCCGGGATTTTACAAAGAAAATTAGATCAGTGTTGAACAATGAAAGGACCCGTTTCGTCTGGTGATTTTGTCTCTTTTGAGAGACTCGCCCGAGAGACGCAGCTGAAGACACGAGTGTCTCCTACACTCCAGGTAGATGTCCACAAAATTTGTCCTGTAACGGTGTAAGTGAGTCCGTTAAATTTAGCTGTGGTTTGTTTACGTATTTTTCGCCATTGCTGAGCGCCTATGATTCTTCTTCGCCCTGTCCTCTGTCAACAATTCTTCTTCTTCTTCGGTTGAAATTGTGTCTGCTATTGTGTATACTGAAGTCCAGCGCCTGCACCGGTGTGGCGGACTGAAGGCGTTTTGTCATCATGTGACAGCAAAAGCAATGTCGATACAACATATAAAAACACACGAATTAAGAGTATTTTGTCATTTCCAACTATTTAAAAACAAAAATAGGGGTATGGAACTAAAAAAATATTCGTCAGAAGAAGATTGTGGTCATTTGTACATAAAGAGTCGCAAAAATGAATCATGATCATCAATAAAAATATTTTTTTTATTTTTCAGATAAACTTTAATGTTTTATATAACTCTAAGGTTAGTGAAACATCTGATTAATGTAACAAAAACCGTTATAATGTTTGAACAACACATCTTAATTGTTGCTAATAGCTAGTGTCTCCTCCAAGACAGAAGGTGGCGGTGTTTGTCCTTTTCCTCGATTTTAACCGCCGTTAAATGAAAACGAAGAAGTTGTAAGCCTGCACTGCTGTGCTGTTCTCAAAACAATACTTGAAGTTCCTTGTTTTTAGCATCGCGTCCTCATGAAAATGTCTGAAAATAAAGACGAGCAAGCGTCCGGTAACAAAAAGGGCATCTCCCTGCCTATCTCCAGGGTGAGGCTGATCATGAAGAGCTCTCCGGATGTTTCCAGCATCAACCAGGACGCACTGTTTCTCACCACCAAGGCCACGGTAATCTGTAATTTACGGCTAAATCTAATTAGTTCTTAACGGATCCAGCTAACTGTCTGATCAGCTGGTTTATACCTGTGCTTACAGCGGTTAGCGGTCGTGGTTTCATCCACAACTGCTCTCTGTCCCCGTATAATGTGGATATTTCTTATTTAGGAGTTGTTTGTGCAGCACTTGGCTCTTTCCTCGTTTAACAACGGATCAGGGAAAGAAACGAACACATTATCCTACAGCGACCTAGCTAACACCGCAGAGGAAACGGAGACCTTTCAATTTTTAACAGGTGAGACACATACAGACAGACAGACAGACTACACATCAGAAGTTCTGAAACCCAATGAACGTTTTTCTGGTATTTAAAAGATGATTGTAGGAATACTGTGGTGTACTATCCTTCATGTAAACGATAGATGACGAGTCACACTTTTGTTCCTGACAATTAGATTGAAAAATGTACCCTCAAATGATTCCCACTATTTTGGTCCAACAGCTGTGGTTCTGACAGAGGATGGTGTTACCTGCTTTGCATTCCACAGTGACTAACATGCTCTTATAATCTGTCTCCAGATATTCTGCCCAAGAAGATCCTGGCTCGAGATTACCTGAAATCTTTGGAACAAATGCAAGAAGAGGACGGAGACTTTTAGAAAAGAACTTGTTACTGTCATGTTTCTCATAGACACAGACTGGAGAGACACTCTCTCTTTTAAGTATATGTTGACCCAGTTCAACAGTTGGACCTGTGGGCAGACAGTAGTCACCGGCTGTGGATAGGAACATTAAGCCACACAGGACTAATGTGAACACACACAGTAATACAGACTTTATATATAAAATCCAAACCTGACCACCTGCTTCTTAGAGTCTGTGGAGATATGGCAGATTGAGTGTTGTTACTGGTTTCTACATCAATCAAACATTATGTTAATTTTGTATATTTTGGTCCCATTTAGAGGAGAAAAGTTGATAAAGCATGTGACTGCTCTGGTGCATGTCATTAACAGTCCCACTGCAGCCCGGCTTCAGGCTGTCTAGCTCCATAGATGTCTCATTAGTTACGTTAGCGTGTGTTGGCTGCTCACTCCAGGAATGTTGTCATACACTGATGTTGTGCACGGTTCCATCATCTGTACAAGAAAGTACTGTAAAGTTTTGAGTTTTACCATAAATACTTGAACGTGTTCTGAACTGATACCTCGGGTTTGTGGCCTCGCAGCTCACAGAGAGACTCACACTCAACCTTAGCCAGTGTGTAACCACTGACAACCTGTACAGTTAAATTGCGTGTGTGTTTGCAGATTAGTCATTTAGTTTTGATATTAAATTGCAACTAGTAGTTTAACATGTTTGTGTCTTGTTGTTTTGTAATTTAATTAAAACAATTAATGGGAAACGGTGGAAAAAAAACCCAACAACAACTTTGAAACCTGCTGTGACGTGAGGTTTATTCATTTTTGCAGACCAGGACAAACACTTAACTTCTACACGTCAGTGACATAATAACAATGATACTGTGGTTTATTATTGTGCTACAGCTTTCCTGATCTGAACATGTCTGCAACATGGACATTTATTCATAGAAAAGCAGTTCACTAAGTGTGGTGACTGGTCACTGTTGGTTGAGTTTACTGAGTCTCAGCTGCATGTTCAGCAGATTCTTCTCTAAAACAGAAAACTGTGTCTCCAGGTGGTTTGCTGTGTGTTCTCTGACGTCCATGGTGTCTCTAGTGTTGGAAAGACGCTCCTTCATTCTGTAACAGGAGATCAACCAAATGTAAAATGTTTTTCCACACATTTGTACTGTGTTCCATCAGCACCGAACGTGTTCTCTCGTCTGAAAAAGGAAAAAAAATGTAGGAATGCTAACACACTTTTCTAGTTCCAACCAGATGTCCCATGACTGTTCGAAAACTGTTGGAAAAGTACTGAAAAATGACACATGCTGCTGGACTGGACCTGGTTGCTGGCAGTGGTTCATTTTTATGTTTGGGCTAAACGTGTAATGCTGTATTACCTCATCAGTTAGACCCACAGCTGCATTCTAATCTAAACATCTGTTACCCAGGCTCACAGCTGTGTTCTGATCATTGAAAACACGGTTCGGTAAAAAATAGTTTTGCAAATAAAACTTTGCAGTGAATAGCAAACACCTGGTGTATGGTATGGTGCCAAGCATAAGTCTTAAGTCTTCTACCATTTTACTCACAGAGGTGTGAATTGTTAACAGTTCTTTTTAACAGGCTTTGGCTCCAGCAAAATAGTCATTAGTTAATAGTTCTGTGTTTAATATACAGATTAGTGTAATTTTTCCTCTTCCTAGAAGCCCCTTAAAAAAAAAGCAGATACGAGTTTTGAATATGTGGCACAGCTATAAATAAGATGGAATCATAATGTAACTGTCTTTTCTGTGTAAAAAAGTAGTAAAAAAAAGTTTCACCTTGTTAGAATTCCTTGCTCTTCTCCTTCTTTCCTCTTTTCCTCCAGTGCAGCAAACACTCTCTCCATGAACTGCACAGTTTCTGTAACATTGAGGTGATCTGAACGGATCCCCTCGACCTCCTCTCTGGCCTGGAGGTCATAAGACATCCCTCCGTCCTCCACCCCACTGGAGGCAGACACCGCCTGCAGTGCTGCCCTGTTCTGCAGAACAAGCAGACGACACTTGGCAAACTCCTCAGGTTCTGCCAGGTTTTCCCAGCAGGCTGTAGAATATGGTGGGAGCCAGAAGCGCTGGGTGCAGTTGATGGGTTTCCCCGAGGTCTCCTTGGTGAAGGGGCTGTCAGCTGGGAAGCTGTGGAACAGATGGAAGGGTGACGATCCAGAGCCTAACTCCCAGTCCTCAAAGTCTGCTTCCACAGATTCCTCAACCGGAGTAAAAGAAGGAAAAGGACCGACTGGACTGACTGGACCTCCACCATCTGCTGGTGCGCAGACCCATAACAGGAGGCAGCAGGACAGGCCGAGCATCACCCCGCTCACTGCCCCCTGGAGCATCTCTAGAATAGCTGAGACATGAATAACAGTGAACACAGGGGACTAACAGTAGGAGAGCAGAGACTGGAAACATGTTTCCGTTCATACAGATACACAGATCTGATCTCCACGTGTCAAGAAAACGGTCTTATTTATGGGATGAACATTTCTAAAGTTTTCAAACGTATTATATTTAACCACCTCAGCTCTGGGGTTGCTGGTTTTCTATTATTTACAAACAGTTAAAAAACCTCAGAGAAAACATTACAATAACACGCCTTGTACCTGGATTAGAGAATCCCTGTTAAAATAAAGCTGTCAAAACCCAATCATTAGATTTTACAGGAATTATTTTACCTTGCACAGAAACCCCAGCGTCAAAGCAGCAGCAGCAGCAGCAGCAGCAGCAGCAGCAGCAGCAGCAGCAGCAGCAGCAGCAGCAGCAGCAGCAGCAGCAGCAGCCTGTGTCCTGGAACACTGGTGTGCTCTCTGAATGAAGTCGTCGGAAAAAGTGAGTCGTGGTCTACAGGCTGTTACATGCGATCTGGATCGGTGTTTAACTGCAGCAGAGAGAGAACATAGTCCCTCAGACTCTACAAAGGAAACGAGGCACATTTATTTTAATGACTGTTAAGAGACACTGTCTGCTCATGTTCTTACAACATCAAAGTAGAATCAAAGCTTCTGTTTGGGACTTGTGTGTTTGTCCTTCTTCAAGTGTCGATTTGCAGTGTTTGGCCGAGCCTCTGCTCATGAATGTAGAGGTTTGTAGCCGTAGGAGGAGTTCTGCTGCTGGAATTTATTAGCCATTTTACAATGTCCTTAATAGAACCAATCAGCTCTGCTTTTGGCTCAATCTGAAACCTTATAACTCAATGTCATATTACATTCACAAAGGCTGGATTTAAACTTTTAATCATTACACAAAATTGAACCAAAGAATCTGACAAAGAGCTAACTGTTGGCCAAAGAAGATGACCTTAGAAGTCTGAATAAGTCCAGACAAATATTAGATATAAAAAAACAAGGTAACAATCCATATATTGTTTGATAAAAATGTAGCAAATATATAACCAAGAACAATCTTAATAACAAATAAGAAACAAAGTCAGATGTTGTATAAGACTGGAACTCAAATTTGCCGAAAGATAAATGTAGCAAAAAGTTACATTTACACAAAAACACATTGAAAACACAGGAACCACATATTAAACAAAAGGATGGCTAACAGCTGGTACCATGTTAGAACCTATAAATACCATCCAAAAAAACTTAGTTAGAACAATTGATACAAACGTTGATAAAGTCATCAAATAAAATAGATCTTTTTGAAACCCTCATTAAAATCCTAAAAATGAAGCTTAAAATCTGACATCAGCTTTAGAGGAATGGAATGGAGTCAGTGTTTTGGCACAAACAGAGAAACATGTGTCAACTTCAGCGGTGAACCAGACAACAGGCTCACATCACTAACCTTCAAACATGGCCACAGGCTTTGGTGGTAAACAGATGTTGTTTTTGCTGGAAACCTATGATGACATTCAGACCATCCGACAAACAAAGAGGGTTTGGTTTCAGTCAGATGAAGTCTGAGTCATGATTGGAAAAGTACATGAAAGGAAGTGTGGTTTGAAGACTTAACAGTTACCATAAGCTGCCGAATTTAACCAAAACATGTTAGAATAGCATTTAGCGAGTTTTACTTGCTGTGTTTCAAGATGAGGAGGATTTAGATAAGTCATTATAGTCACACTGTAATAGTAAATAGAATAATATTATATAAAATAAGTATAAACAGGGGATCATTTAGATTAAACATTGGTGTGAAGTACACTGTAATGTAAAGATTCTGTGGCCCTACACTGCCCTCTTGTGGCTCACCTTGGAAGTTAGCATACTTTACCACAAATATGGCTTTTCTTTTGAAATAATGCATAAGAATGTACGCCTTTTAAAAATAAAGACCCAATATAGCTGCGTTAAAATCCATTTCGCAATGATGCAATCATGTTAATGTGCATAATATACTGAAAACGCACTTTTAAATAGGCCGAACTTCTGTTTTCTCCAACCTACAGCATTCGAGCACCGCCCACGCCCCGGGATGTGTCAGTGAGAGGCGGGTCCTCGTGGACCCCCGCCTCCTCCGGTGTGTCGTCGGCAGGGCAGCCTGACCAGAGCTGCTCGGCCCCTCCAAACAGCAGCTGGTTGCTCCTCGGTGCAACCCGGAGCTTCTCCGCCTCCTTTACCCGCCATCTCCCCTCGGTTCTCGGCTGAAGACATGGCCTCGGACGGCATGGACGAAAGATCCCCGCTGCTGTCGGGCCCCAACTCCGAGAACGTGACCCCCACCGCCCCGCCCCCGCCCCACCTGTGCCCCCCCGCCTCCTCCGGTGTGTCGTCAGCAGGGCAGCCTGACCAGAGCTGCTCGGCCCCTCCAAACAGCAGCTGGTTGCTCCTCGGTGCAACCCGGAGCTTCTCCGCCTCCTTTACCCGCCATCTCCCCTCGGTTCTCGGCTGAAGACATGGCCTCGGACGGCATGGACGAAAGATCCCCGCTGCTGTCGGGCCCCAACTCCGAGAACGTGACCCCCACCGCCCCGCCGTACCTGCAGGATTCCAGTCCCCGAGGTAAACAGACGAACAGCCGGAGCAGGAGCCTCCGCAGCCCTGCATGCTGAATCATTTTTGGGGCGTATCGGGTTCGTGCAAGAGCGTAAATAAAAACCGCAGCAGAGCGAAATCAGTGGTGGAGAAAAGAGCAAAAACAGAGAAAAGGTGGAGCAGTGGGTTAGAGACCAGGGGCCTACAACAACAGCAGCCCCTGGGTCTGACTGCAGAAATCAGACATCACGACCCCACACAGGTTAAGATGCTGATGTGGCTCCAAAAGAACTGGGAGCAGGAGCAGCAGCATCAGCAGCAGCAGCAGCAGCAGCAGCAGCAGGCCCGGGGCTGTTTTAGAATAGTCTGATTGTAATACAGTGTGTCAGAGAGTGATGTTCTGGTGTTGTTGTTGGTAGATGAGGACACTGAGACTCTGCAGACCAGGGCCCTGGACAGTCCTTTGTCCCAGCTGCCCATCAACTCAAATGACCATCGATGGACATTTTAAAAATACAGTGATTATTGAAAATGAACCTTTTTGTCATGAAATATGAAGCTGAAGCTAGCTACAGGACAACATCATGGACCGTACATATGAAGTGGGCAGAGCTGTCTCCCAGTCCAGGCTACAGTGGTGCTACAAAAATGTCCAGAAGAACTTCACTGATTTCAAAAGTAACTCAGTACTTTTCCAGCCCATGGAATATTAGAATACTTCTAACTGTGTATAAAGAGACTGTGTCTCATTTCTAATGATTTGAGCTCTGGTCTCTGGTCTCTGGTCTGCTTCGCTTCCATAGAATGGGATGTAAATATATTGTGTACAATTACATACAGAAATATTTTGGGGTAGTAAGTGGACACCAGGGTTTTTCTTTAATACTCCTGAGGAATCTGAGGTAAAGTCATTGAGTTCAGTTAGTAAGTCAGTCAGTTGGTTCGATCAGCTGTTGTTCAGCAGTAGGTGTGATGGTGTGTTCTGTCACTGCTGATGTTGGTAGGAAGCAGAGAGAACTGACCTTGGCTGCTGTTTGTTCCTTGTTTCTTGTCCTTGAACGTCACTATAAACTGACAAAACTGGCAAAATGGAGAACCAGGGACAGAGAAATAATCACTTAGTTTTGGTTTCACTAGAAAAACCAACGCTTTGTGATAAAAAAAAAAGATTTGCTGATGGAGATCAGTCATTCAAAAGCATTAGAAAAAAGAAGAGAGAAATGGACAAAACCGAAACGTCGCACATCCCTCATCCACCAAACCATGACAGCAGCTGGAGGCCCTGCTGAGTGCTGTGCTGTGCTGCTTCCTGGTGGTCGTATTCAAAAGCTTTCTCATCTTACGTCTGCGTCTGAGGAAAGCAAGTGAAAACCTATAGGTGCTGTGTTCAGTTTCAGGCAGACATTTGGTCGACTCCGCTGCAGAGAAGTGAAAATAGAAGCGAGGTGTGTGGTTCGTGGTTCGTGTTCAGAAGTCCAGGAGTGCAGCACTTTGTCTTTTTGTTGTTATGTAGGACTGTCAGCCTAAAGAAAACTGTAAGATCAGAGCGTTGTAGTCTGACATGTCCAACAGCACCATGTCCTGACTACAGTCATTTCACTGCAGCAGTGTTTGGCCCAGCTGTGGGACACTGAAAGATTTGTGGTTTCAAACCCTGGCTTTAACCTCAGTCTCGGAGCCAAACCTGATTTTCCTGATGAGTCATGCCATCATCATGATTAAGAATGCAGATACTATGTAGTAAAAGTTGACGTTTATCTGGAGAGGGAGTTCACACTATGGCTAAAAAAAATTACAATAATAATAATTCATACAGAATTGGTCATTGGTGTCCACCAAGTTATTTTAAAAATTAGTGGCAAAATGACCAGACTGTGGAGGTGGATGGAAAATGAAGGGATAGCAGAGAGGAATTATGTCAATTCACTGCAGTCTTAGTTTGGATGATGGGAATAAAGGAGAGGTTGTAGCCTACGGACTCTTCAAGAATGTGAAGCATGCATAAATACTGCAGAAGCAGTGGTAAAGCAGCTGCACGTCTGTGGACTGAGTGTTAAAACCCTTAAACTGGTGGAATGTAGAATTATAATGGCAGGTTAGTGTGGGATTAACAGGATTAACAGGAGTCCATGTGAACAGTGGATGTTGGTGTAACACAGAATACATTAAAGACCGGCCACTGATACGGTGTTGCTGTGGATGAGTGTCAGTTCACTGGTGTCGTAAATATTTCATGGACCTTAGTAAGATTTACAGGCAATAAAAGGTCAAGAAATTAGAAGAAGAATCACTTAGACTCTCCATCTATACATTTGAATCTGTGTCTCACAGATGGTTATTGGTTTCATTTCTTTGTCTCACGTGTGTGCGTGTTGTTGCCAGAGTTCTAACCGACAGCCACTGTAGCTGTTGACTTCTTCTGCACGTCCTAACAACTCATGTGTCTTGTCTTCCCAAAGCTGAACTACCTCCTCCGTACACGGCCATCGCCAGCCCGGACACCGGCGGTGTGCCTGTCATCAACTGCCGCGTGTGCGAGTCGCTCATCAACCTGGAGGGGAAGCTACATCAGCACGTGGTGAAGTGCACCGTCTGTAATGAAGCCTCGGTAAGTGAATGGAGTGCTGTGTTGACATCACACAGATCCTCTCTGGCCTCTTACTGCGGGGAGTTAAAGAAGAGCTGTTTGTTTGTTTGTTGGAACATTTCACAGTCTCTGTCAGAGGTTTCAGTCTGGTCTTAGAAGAAGGACCGAAGCAGAGAATAAGAATAAACAAACATTACTGTTCATGGACAGTCTCTGTAAATACTGCAGTACTGTTAAGTATTCTGTGGGCTGAAGTACTTTGGGGTAGTCTACAGACACAGGGTGGTATATACTTGTACACACGAGCTGACCTTCACTCTGTTTCACCTCTGTAAGCCGATCAAGAATCCACCAACAGGGAAGAAATATGTGAGGTGTCCCTGTAACTGCCTGCTCATCTGTAAAGACACGTCCCGGAGGATAGGATGTCCTCGACCAAACTGGTAGGTAAATGTTGGTCAACTTCTCACTGTTAGAGACTCTTTAATCCCAACGAAATAGGATTCAAACTTTTTTATTTATTGATTTCTTCATATAAAATCGGGTTTGTGATTTGTTTGGGATTATGTCATTTAAATGTCAGCTCTGATGAGCTCAATCAATCTCTGTGGTCGGGTTTAATTTGACAGCAGACGCATCATTAACCTAAGCCCAGTGATGGTGATCCCTGAAGAACAGCCTGCTCAGCCTGCTCTGCCCATCCAACCCCAGGGGATGAGGGTGGTCTGTGGTCACTGTGGCAACACCTTCCTAGTAAGACAATATACCATGTATCCCTAAATCAGGTTTTTTGGAGTGAAATGTTATGAAAAGTGACCCCGGCTAACATGCTTACTGCTAACAGGTCAACCAGAAACGGTATCATACAATACCATAGAGTTTATCAGATGTTATCACAGATCTAACTTTCTCTAACGGGTCTATAATGTACACAGACTTGGTCACGCTGCTTGGTCCTGTGAAGGAGTCTGACTCATGCAGCATTTCCCTAGTTCCTAAGGCAGTCTTGTTTTATTTCAGAGACAGGTTAGTCTCACCTGGTGGGCACGATGTTGCCTACAGTACTGTTCATGATTGAATACAAGAGAATGGCAGCAAACAAACAGTGAATCATCTTTAGGTTTTTTTATTTATTTATTTACCATTAAACACAACAGTGAGTCAAAGGTTCAGACCAGCGACACTGACCTCCTAACATGTCCACATTGTTGCCTGTGGCGTCTGTAGGGCAGTGAGGACGCCAAGTCATCCCAGCCCATGACTACCTTAACCAGTGATGGCTCCACCCCAGCACCAGAACAGGTGGATGAAGCTGGACCTTCTGGTGGACTTATTACCAACAGCCGCTAACACAGCTGCCTTAGACATGAACTGCTGCTAATATGACACTAATATGACATCTGGCTCTGAGGAAGGCTGTTGTCACGCTGCCTTGAAAATTGTGTTTCAGCTTTAAAACCACTCTCTCTCTCTGTGTGTGTGTGTGTTTGAACTGCTGTATCACAACTTGGAGGTTTTCCTGTCTTCACTACAGCCAGATGTCAAACGTCAGATTTTAATTTTGCTTTGTATGATTCAGTAGAAACTCCTAATGTTTTGATGGAACATCTATAACCTGACAGTCAGACTAACAATATAGGAGTGATTTCAACATAACCTGATAATATATCCAAGTGTGGAATGATCTTAAAGCAGAGCAGGAAGAGTGTGTGTGGTTCTGTCTATCTGTATATTTATCTATTATTTAACTCTGGTCTTTACTTGTGTTTCTCCCACAGTGGATGGAGCTTCGGTTCAACACACTAGCCAAGTGTCCCCACTGCAAAAAAATGTGAGTCTATCCAAAATTCCTGTTCACACTTTATCATGTTAACTGACTTGGTTGAAAGTGTGAATTTTGTCATTTTGTTTTAAATACATATTTTTTGTAGAGTTAAATATATATATATATTTGTGTTGCAAACATAAAGGAAACCCGTCAGTTTATCAATGTGTGTTTAGCCCAGAAAAGCTGGGCAACAAATATCCAGCTAGACCCCAAATGCACCTCAAGACAAATGTGGATGAGATGGTCAGGTTCAACTGATGTAAACAGTAAACAGAAGGTCAGGTGGTCATGTGACCAGGCTCCCATAAGCCATCTGTACAGCAGTCGTCCCTGAGGAATTCTCTGATTCCCATCACATGAGAGGCATGTGAGAGCAGAGGGAAAGAAGTAAAAGTGTGTGTGTGTGTGTGTACAGTCTGTATGGAGGTGACCATGTGACTGCTCTGTGATGCCTTTATGTTTATCCCAAAGTGGGATTTCACAACATAGTCAGTGTGATTTTCATTGAATAATTAACACCAAAGCTGCAGCGTCTGAACTGGTGACTCACATCTTTGTAGCTGTGGCAGGTGAAGAAAGTTCTTTTCAGGACCGTGTTTTTTTCCTCCTTGTGTGTTTTTGTTTCTCTCACAGATCCTCTGTCGGTAGTGCCCTTCCCAGGAGGCGGTGCTGTGCTTATGTTACTATAGGAATGATCTGCATTTTCATTGGAGTGGGTTTAACTGTGAGTCACCTTACCAAACATAGTTTTTTGCATCATTTAAATATCTTTATCTTACAATACAAATTCTTTCAGGTTTGCACTTTATTTTACTTGTTCAGTTCTGTATTTCTCATTCTTGTTTGGACAGGTTGGTACCCGGGACTTTGCCAGTCGTTACAACGCCACCTATGTGTCCTGGGCTTTTGCCTACCTGCTGGGCCTCATCTGTCTGATAAGAGCCTGCTACTGGGGCGCGATCAAAGTGAGCTACCCAGAGAACAGCTTCGCCTAGAACGAACGAGTCACGTCTGGAAGAACCACCCCCGGCTTTTAGTTGTTCTTTTTTTCTTTTTTCATATTGTTCTGATTACAAACCAGTCATGTTCAGGAGAGTGGGACACGTGTGTGTGTGTGTGTGTGTGAGGGAGAGTGTGAGTGTGTGTGAAGATGTGTATATCAATGATATATCCTGCTGCACTTGTGTCTGGAATGTTTTCTAACTCACCGAACAAACTTTGTGTACGTCTGCTCCTCAGACACTCACGCCGTGCTCTGGCCTTGCTTTAATTCCCAGAAATACAGAATGAATCGTTTACAAAATGTGATTTTTGTCTTGATGAATGCTGAGTGATTGTTTCGCCTACTGGCTGGATTTGGTCTCTTTGAATCAGCTACTACTACAGGAACTGCTCCGACCTGATGGTACGGTCATGATTTCACACCAGAGTAAGACGAACTCCTGACAACAGTTTTCCCATTGCACTACGATTATATGCAAATGTTCATTTTGTTTTGCTGCTAGTTGAAAGTCCAGCCACAGAAAGCTGCATATTATATACTGTAACGTAACCATTTACTGTACTCCTCTGCCTGTGAACACTGACATACTATTACTACGTGATTTTAACTCTGGAAATGATCATTTTTTAAAGAGGAAATCATCCTTGGATACCTATCTGTGCCAATGTTACTGCCCAGTATTTGTCAAGAGTGACGTCAGACCTACAGGAGCTTGTTTATTTGTCAGTGCCATGCAGCTCTTACCTCACCACAGAAGTTACCCTGCAGTTTCTGGAACTCTCTGTCACTGTGGTCATGTTGGTAGAAACGTGAGACTAGCATCTGCATGTGTTCCTTCATTTTGTTTCCACAGTGAAATTATTAAACTGTTTCTGTGAGGTAGCTAATGTGTGTGGTGATGATCATGACGATGATGATGATTCGTCTTTTCTCTTTCTGAAATGTGCATAAGAATTTAAACCCTCCTCTTCCTCCTCCTCTTCCTCCTTCCCCTGCTTTTATCTCTGACCTCCAGTGAACTCTGTGCTAGCTAGCATTGGTGTACATTTAACTCAGCATCCTGTCTCTTGACGTTTACCAGTGGGCACAGTTCAAACTTCTAACTTTGTTTTGAATGTGATGATAATAATAATGATGAGGGGAATGATGATGAGGATGATAATAATAGTAAAGCAGGAAATAGTGTAAAAAACTTTGTACATAGTTCAGATTTAGGACTAGGGTGTGAGCTGGAAGGATATGTTGGCTTGTGGATCTTTTTAAACATGATAATTTATCAATAAAATCACAAATCTGAGCATAACAGTCTTTTAATTTGATTTATTTTAGCTTGAAGCGTGCTTGCAACTACAAAATTGATCCAACAGAGGGCGGTAATGCATCTCTAAAGAGAGTCTGCATTCAAACCAAGAAGAAAGAACTGATTTGCACTGGAGGGCGTGTGAGCTCGAGGTCAGGAAGAGAGCCATTGATGTAAGTTATAAATCTCTAAATTATAATTTCATGTGTGATGAACAATGTTATCACGGGACCATTGGAATCCCATCATACTGTAAATGTTATTTCCAGTAAACGATGTAGCAACATTGTGTGAAGTTTGCAGGTGAGACAATAAACATGATGCCTACACAGCTATAGATATTCTTTATTAATGACCAACAGATAATTCTTTTCATATAATTCAACACATAAATATGGAATATCAGTTTAATGAGCTGCTACAACTGATACATGTTACATTGGACCTCCATCTCTCTCTGTCTTTATCTCTGTCTCTGTCTCTCTCCCTCTCCCTCTCTCTCTCCTTCACACACACACACACACACACTTTCCGCTGTCTTCACATGAGCTCCTCTGAGCTGTAGCTGATGTCACGTCAAACTCAGTGGTGATGTCAGAGATCAGGTCATTGCTTCTCACTGGGTCAGAGCTTTGTGTAAACAAACACATCTACTACCAAACTATGAAGGAACACTGAGGTCGTAAAACCAGCACTAATCACCTTGACTTCTCTAGTTGTGTTCTGGCATGTTTGAGTGTTTGCGTGTGTGAGTGCGTGTGTGTGTGTGGACAGCGTGACGACTTCCTGCTGTGTTCACAGGTGACTGCTCTCTGTACAAGTCAGTGGTGATCGGTGATGTTTCAGTTGTTGTTGAGGACCCACCATGAGGCTGTGAAGGAGATGCACCACAATATTAACACACACACCACAAAGTGATCAATCAGTCACACAGGAACCTCTGCATTTAAGTAAGTACGTTTTTATGTGAGTTTTCATGTTTCTAAAAAAGTCTTCTTCTTTGGTTTGTGCACCTGTACAAACAGCTTTCACCGCGGCTAAAGAACTAAATCTGTGTGAGACTGAAGGAGATGAAAACATGTTCTCACCTGGAACCAGCATGGTGGTTATGGTCTCAGGTGTTTCCAGGAAGTCCACATTCCCCCTCTGGAAGGTTTTACTGTAGTTGGTCTGCAGGTGACTGGACAGATTTAAACAAACAAACAAACTTGACAGGCAGACTACAAAGAGTAGAGTAGAGCTGAATATGTGTTGATTTGAATGACAGGATGGTCAGGGTGAGAAAGGTTAGATGTACTGTACACTCCAGGGTTTGACAACAGAGTTGATATATTTGTCATTAAGCTCAAGAATGCTAACTGCAGTATGATGAGTGAGTGTGGTAAAGGCACAGGACTGGGATTATGATGAGGCAGAATATGTGAGGAAATCAGCAGGAGTTCTGTATCTGAATATAGATGAAACTGGAATGGATGCATGGCAGGTTAGGGTGATAAAGGCAGCTGATAGCTGGATAGCAGTGATTAGAGTGTGTCAAAAGGTAAAAGGAATACTTCAGTAGGTGAAGTTGAGCTGTAGTACTGACAGACTCTTGAGTCTTGACTGTGTAGTTTTATCCCACTACATTCCTATTTTCATCATCTCAGGTTAATTTTCTTAACATCAGTTTCTTCTTTTTGTGGTGTCTCTTTTTCCATTTAATCATTTTCCTATTTCCAGCTCAACTTCTCTCAATCAGTTCAGACTGAGCCCAGAAAACACTCCGAGATTTGTGTGTGAATGGGGGATCACGCTGCATTAGTCACCGTGCATATGGTGCAGGGAGAAAACTCACTTCTTCCACACGTTGTTGTGCTCCCAGAATTCATAGAGAATGAAGCGTGACTCATTGGCCAGCCGCTGAACTGCAATGCTGCCAAATGCAAAACAAGACAGGGCACATGTCATGCAGTTACTAATTAGTGTGCTACATCAGGTCCCCCTACAAAGCCCCCATCGGAATTCTTCTCTGGACTCGACCATGAAAACTCACTAACATGGAACGCTTTAAAACCACTGTCTTTTAATGAATTGGAAGAATTTTTCTTGCATTTTTTATGGGTAGGTAATTAAGTGTGAAGGCCTCAGAGTGAACATGTTGACAGGATGAATCTTAAATTTCAGCTGAAGAAAAAAGTTTTGTTGTGTTCCAGGTTCCTATACTTTAGGGTATTTTAACTATAAATAGATATCTTGAATATATGTGTAACTGCTTGTTTAGCTACAACGTATCTAATCTAAATAATCCATGATAATTCCATGTCTCCCATGGTGATGTTGTTAGATATTTTTACATAGACATTATTAAGCCCCTGTCATGAGAACTAAAGGGTCACATTTAGATATTTTTGCCCCAAGCGCTAACTCATTTTCAAAGCTGGTCTATTAAAGTATTTACACGAGAAGCCAAGACTCCAGCGGGCATGAGACACGCTGGGGGCTCAGACTCTATTTTCAATGTTTCATCACGTTAGACTCAATTTTCTTAATGATGTCATGAATTTTCCAAATGAGATTTTGATACAAATGAACCAATTTGGAGCCTGCAGACGGAGTTAATGGAGTCATTCATAAAGAGGAGAAAGGCAGTGGGAAAAAAAAAAAAGATCCTAGATCGTAGTGGCTTTAACTGAAGCTCCACGTTACCACACTGGCTAACTACCAGCTTATAATAGAATTCAGCTGTAAACATGCAGTCTCACCTCTGATGAATTCATATAGAAAGATTCAAACATTTGAGATCGATGTTCAAGAGTATGTTTGTACATTTTACATTTCCAATTAGTCCTTTAACTGTGTGGTGTTTTATGTTTTATACCATTTCTTGTCAGAATACATCCATGTGTTTCTGAGGGAAAATAAACCTGGTAGAAAAACACTCAATAATGTATCTTTCATAAATGATTATATTTCTTAATATCCGATATTTGTTAATATTCCAGTTGTGATTTACCAGGACATACAGTTCTACACATCAGATGATCACAGCAGGAACACTTGACCCTGTTGTCAGTTCCCACCACCCTTCATAAATAAACTGTTTTTGCTTTTCTTTCTTACTCAGCAAACGTAGCAGAAAACAACAGAGATGAAGAACGTTTTAGAAAGAGTTCTACTGACTGGAGACTTCCAGTCTGGGCGCAGGCACACTCCATGTACTGTCTGAGGGCCAAACGGAACTCCTCCAGCTCTTCCTCCAGCACTGAGAGCTGCCGCTGGACTATTAGGATGTGCTGTAAACACACACACACACACACACACACACACACACACACCGTGGGTCAGATTATTCTGGTTGTGAGAGTCTGACTGTGCTTCTTTTTCTCCAGCAGCGTTTCACATGGACGAAGTGTGTGATTGGACGTCTGCTGGTTAGATTGGTAACATCTGCCACTGTCTTGGCTCAGGTGTGTCGTCCCAGTGACACAACATCAGAGAGAGAGAGAAAAAAGCACCATCGTCTGTAAAGGTAAAAAAACCATGACAGAAGAACGTCTGCTTATAATGTCCTCTGGCTGACAAGACGCTGTTTACTGAGGCAGAGAGCATGATGGGAATGCAAAGTGAATAGTTTGGCCTAGAGTGTGTGTTAACAATTCATGTGTGAGCCTGTGACTGACAGAACACCTCAGGTCTCTGTTTTGGGACCACTTCAAAATGTCCTCCTAGAGGAGGTTCTTAGACATGTCTGTCTCCCTGTGGTTATGAGGACTCAGAAAGAGGGGACCTGTGTTTTCATGCAGGGAGTTGGTGTCTGGTCTTTTTTTCTGTGCCCAACTGTCCATGTGGAGCTCTGAGTTCACGTCTTTCTGAGAGTGGAGATCTTGTCTTAATTCAATTCTAAAAGAAACTATTTTACACCTAACTGTCCTCATGTTGACCAGTTTGGTAAATCAGAGGGAAAACTACCCTGAACCTAAACCACTGTATGGTGAACTGGAATCAATTTTACATCAGAACCTCCAAACTTCCTACTTCCTCAAAAACGAAGACTAAATATAAAAACGTTCTCAAGGCCTATTTGACCTGACTGTAAGTGTAGACACACTGTGTCCTCACAGCCTGTTAAAGACATGTACACGCTGTCTCTCTGTCTCTCTGTCTCTCTCTATCAGCAGCCCACTAATTCCCAGTGACACAGAGTGATTAACCAATTACATGTTGATGGATTTCCACACAGACTGTGTCGTATATCACATTACTAATGAGACATGAGTGACATGTTCTATTCTTTATGCCTGTGTTCAGCCATAATCACTGATGGGATGGGATTCTAACCGGCCTCTGTGAAAATGTCAGGTTGATTAGCATCGAAATGAAATGAAACGAAATGAAAAATAAACTCCTGTCAGTGGTGCTAGAGGAGTGTGTTAGTGAAGCCGTTGTATACAGTGCTTCAGCCGACGTGTCACTGTCTAGAATACATACATAAGGTGTGTTAGAGCAGGAGGATTAAGATGGAGATAAAGAACAGGGTTAAATTCAACAAGTTCAACCCTGGCTGTTGCCATGACAACCAGTAAAGTTGATTATCACTGTGGCCTCCTTTTATCACTGCTCCATCGTACCAGAGAACAACAACAAAAAAAGTAGTCACTGCAGATAGACAGTAAGAAAGTCTTCAGACGCACCGATTTGCTTTCCAGCACTTCCTCCTCTGCAGGCTCCAGACGAATCTCCTGAGATAAGAGGGAAAAAAACAACAATAACGGACAATAAATCTTAGAAAATGGGTCATATTATCCTATAAAGACACAAACAGTAATTAATCCTCGTAGATGAGCATAAGACTCTTGGAGGCTATTCCTGTCCTTCTGTTGAAGCCTGAACATGGATTCATGTAACATTTAGTAACACTTCTGTAACTGTTCGCATCAAAGGGTTTGTGTCTTCATGGTGTTGATCTTCAGATGTTTGCAGTGGAAACAGGGTTAACACTGAACTCACCTTTTGTTCTAAACGGTCAATGAGCTTCTGCAGTCTGTTGACCTGGACCGTCCACTGACCTTCATCCTCATAAAGACCTGGAGTAAAACACACAGTTGGAAACTGACACAGTAGACAATACACTGACGGAATCAGAGATGCTGCAAATATTTTTTCTCTAAGTCAAATACTCAGTGGTTGAGTATACAGTGCAGGTCACATGACACACGACGGTCCATCAGTACAGAGCCTTTGAGGAATGTGGTGGAAGTTTTTGCTGCCTCTGCTGTTGTTTCGTGGATTGCCTAGCAACCACAGCTAGTTCTTTGAGGACAGTGTAAAACTGGAGAAGCAGGTGAAAATATTTCTGCATTTGTCGAGGCTGTTTTTTCATTTTTTGACACGCTTTTGGAGGAACAAAGGGAGAGTAAAATTGATGAGAAAGAACAGATGAAGCAGAGGTGGAAACGGGGGAGATAAAAAAAAGACTTGGGAGAAAACAAAGTAGATCAGGGGTTTTCAACTCTCCAGTCTCTCAACCAGGAAACCTTATCTTATTTCATACTTAATACCCATCTCGGCCTTAACTGCTCCCACGTTTCTCTTTCTCCACCCACCTTTCATTTTTTTTTATAACCACACTAAAATTGTTGAATTTCGTTCATTTCTTCCTAACCACTTCATCTTTTCTAAAGATTGCGGGGGAGCTGGAGACAATCTCACATGACATGACTTTCAGTTTTACAATTCATTATTATTTAGTTTAGAAATGTTTTAATTATGAATGCCACTTTGCAAACAACAACGACTTTGAGAACTTTTTACATGAAATACATAAGTACATAAGTATTCCATTTTACTTCCTTTGCTCCTTTTTTAAAACCAAGACCAAACACTGTGAGGCGCTCTACCAGGTGGACGCAGTCAAATCTAACTGAACATGTTGTACAAACGCATCATTGAATTATATGCTCACCTGAGTTGACAAGACTTAGCAGCGGGTTATTGGGAGACAGGCTGTTGTTCCTCTGGAGGCGTCGGTTGGAGCGACGACCGGACCATTGGATGGACAGAACCTCGGGCTTCACTGGACCCAGTCTGTCATTGAAACAGGACAGTTAAAAAGAGCAGTGTTGTTCCATCTTTACAGGTTTCACTGGTTGTCAAATTCATATCAAAATGACCTCAATGTTCTAGAGTTTGCTCATTGAGGTGCAACAATGGCACCGCAGATGTGTCCCATAATGACTGTCAATAATAACTGAAAAGCTGTGACTGAGGGAAGTGAAGCACAGTAATTGACCTTGTTCTCTGCAGTTTGTGCGGCGATCATCGTACAACAGATGTGGCCTACAAATAATGATTAAAGAAAATGTGCGTAGAGAATTAGAGCTCTCTGGAGTGAATGACTCTGTTGTGTTTGATGGTACCTTTAAGCATCATGACCCTGGATGTCAATATCACTGACGTTGGTTGTTAGCAGTTAGCTGAGACGACAGACACATGTTTTTTTAGTCACTGCTGTGAAGTGCTGCACATTAAAGGAGAGGTTTCTTATGCAAGAGAACTGTGTGAGTCACAGCGACCATGACACGTCACTGTGAAAGTGGAGTTTTATTGTTGGTTGGTTGTTGAATGTGAAGCATTCACATTAGAAGTCTGGATAATGACGAGCGGTGTCTGTGTCCGTGTGTGCAGCAACATGAAAATCAAACTTAGGGGCACAAGTCTGCAGCCTTGGGACTGAATAAGATTGTTGAGAATACATTTAGAGATTCTAAATGTATCTTGTCTCTAGATGTGCACGCCATGTTGTCTGAGATCAGTGGAGATGCCAGTGACCTGCTCCATGCTGCCACAGGGGGACGCCACCTGAGATTTCTCTTCCCTGCTGTCAAGTTGTTCGGTTTCAAAGGTTTATGAAACCTCAATGTCACTGCAGGGATGTGGAAGTGGAAGCAGGTGAATTCCCTCGTATACTGTGTGTTAAATTATTTGTGCTGTGAGTGCTTGACATTATTCTGATTTTATGGAGAAAACTACTATTATTGCTCATTATGCTTAAAAGGCAAAGGAAGTTAACTGCAGGTTATTTGTTTGTGGAAACAAATGCAAAATAGTCCACTGTTATTATCTAATATTTTGAAAATGAGTCTAATTATTAGACGTTTTTCTTTCTTGTACTGTTTATATACAACACCTGGTCTTTGACATCTGAGACAGGTGTAAACACTATAAAGTGACAGGGTGTCATTAAGTCCCTGCAGCAGGAAAACATGTTTTTATCTGGATTCAGCACCATGGTCAGCACCACCGTGCTGATTGGAAGTTTTGTATGAAGTATTCCAGGTTCTAAGGATTGAATTGGGGGTAGAACTTGTGTTATTTACTTTGCAAATAATATTGGTTGGACATTTTCTTATTTTCAAACTACAAAGTGAAAATCGAGATCTGCAAAAAAAAAAAATCATTTCCTTTCATCTGTGCAATAACAGCTCACATAATAAACTGTTAATTGCTTCCTATGCCTCCATTTATTTACATCTGAGAAGTGAAAAGCAGCCTGTGCTGGTGCAGCCACTTCACACATTCACTGCAACTTTACCAGGGAAACCAATTTAAACCCACAAGAGAAGCAGCACTACATCGAGATGTGTGGCAGAATAGAGTGATTGCATTCAGGCGCACGGGGGACTTTCTTGAGAGTGGAAGGTCAAATATGGATGCTGCAGGAGATGGAGCTGCTCTGGGAGTCAGGGACACAAACAGTAGAAGAACATGATGAGAAAATAAAGGGGAGGGGGGGGGGATTCAGAGGAGGTGAGAAGAGACAGGGATGGTGGAGAGAACAGACTCAAAAATCGGTCATTTCAAATGAAGCTAACACCAGCTAACTTGGCATATTTGATGTATCTGTTGTCATTGGGTCACTTTCTGACCCAATGATAACAGATACATCAAATAATTGTGCAATAGATGAAATAATGGTAAAGAAAGTCAAAAATAACATCGGCCAATTGCAACTGTTATGTAACAGATTAGGTTAGAGGGTTAGGCTCAGACGTAGCAAAACTGATAAAAGAATAAATATGTACAAGTTAAAATGACTTAAAACAATTAAGAAGATGTGTTAGAAAAGATATGTAGTTAAACACCACCAAATCTGTTGTTGTTGTTGTTGTTGTTCTGTCAGGATTTGGATCCAGGTGTGTTCTGTAACACTTTGTTCTTCTAGCCTGTCTTTTTAATTTTCTGTGTGATATTCTCACACCAGAATGCATCTGCACAGTGATATCTGCTGGATTGCAGTGGAACATTTGTGTCTGTGGAAAGTGTTGTTAAATGGCACCTTGGACAAAGCAGCATTTAATTCTCCAGTGTGAGATGTAAATTAGAGCCTAAGCTCTGGCCAACATTATTAAATGTGATGGATTTGAGAACTGTAATTATAGATGCCAGTTTACAGTACATTCATTTCATCTGCAGTGTGTTTTTAAAGACCACTTTTGTGTGTGGTTTTTGAAGGTCCTGAAAGGTCTCTGCTCTTACTTCTCCTGCCGAGTCTGCTCAGCTGTGGTTTCCATCGCACACTCCAGCGAGCTCTGAAGCGAGTGAAGCTGATTGGTCGTCTCCTTGAGCAGGAAACGGGTTACGAACTGCTCCAGGTGGGTGGACTCCTGGTAATCCTGTCAGTCAACATGAGCACGAGGGAGAGGTGGAGGAGGAGGAATAGGAGGAGGAGGGGGCGGAGGAGACATTAGAGAAGGAAAAATAATGAGAGAAAACAAGAGGAGCTGTGACAAGATTCACATGTCAGCCAGGAGTCAGTCAACGTCCAGACGTCTCCTGCTAATTAAAGATGTCTGCATTCATTTAGAAGAGATTACATAAGACTGCTGCAGAGGAGAGGAGGGGAGGGGAGGGGAGGGGAGGGGGGAGAGAAGATGAGAAGTAGAAGAGGAAGGTACGTAGATAAGAAGAGAGGAAAGATAGATTCTGTTCCCAACACCGTGTTTGACCAACAACACGCTCTGCTGTCGATCAAATCTGTGAATAATTTTCTTTTTATCCAAGAAACATAGAAAAGCCTTTGAGTTTTGTGGGGTTTTTTTTCCTAAAAAAGTTCTTGATGCAGTGAATCTTTCTTTTTGCAGCTTCAAAGACAAACATGTGAAGTTGTGACTGTGGTAAGAAGTAGTCCATGTTGTATTGCACTTCTAGTGATATTTTGAGGAAGTCATAGGGGAATGACGCAGTCTAGAAATATGCTCCACATACTGTACGTTTGTGCTGGAACAGATGGGCTCATCTCAGTCTGTGTCGGACCAACGTAAATGACTCACCGACCTCAAACCAGGTCTATTTGTATATAGGAGAAGGAAAGGGAGGTCACCAGATATCACAGGATCACTAGTAAATGATCAAGTCAGAGTCTTAGGCTTTAACAAAATGTACAGTTTTCAGAGGTAGGAAATCTATTTAACCAAACAACGTTCTCAGGAGAACATACAAAACTGACACCAATAGTCCACCCTATTGGTGTCAACTTGTGTTGCCCAAAATAGTTTTATTATTCAAAAGTGAGTATAAGGAATAATCAAATACTTTATCAACTGATGAAATAAATTTAAAACAATTTTTTCCACCTTTTTCCAAATTCACATCTAAGATAGAAAACGAGGCCAAACCAGCGAACGACGACTGCATAGAGCTGGAATAGAAGCACAGCCTGATGAGAGAGCCGGAGTCTGAGCTCCCCCAGAATACAGAGCAGATTGTTAGTGTCATGTTTTCCCCGGGGTCCGCGTCACGTCATTTGACCTGAGAATGAACAGCTCGTTCCAAACTGTGACAGGAAACAACCTTGAATAAAGACAACAACACTCAGGACCTTCTCTCTGCAGTTTAGGAACCCCGGATCGTTACCAGTCCTAGGGTTCGTCTGATCCTCTGACATTGTTACGGCCACACACACACACACACACACACACACACATACACATACACATACATATTCATTGAGTGAAAGTGAGTCACACACAACAAAAGTGGTAAAGGTCGTCTCCTGTCTTTGGTCTGAACATAGATTACCTCCTGTGATCTGCACCAGTGTGTGTGTGTGTGTGTGTGTGTGTGTGTGTGTGTGTTTTTTTTTCACCTGCAACTTTTACTTTCTGTGGAACAAAAGGTCAAACGTGTGCTTTGTTAGAGGCACATTTTGATTTTTATACCTCTTCTGATCTGTGTGGCTCACTTTACTGCTGCGCTGGTGGAAGTCCAACCTTGTTGGAGAAACACTCTTCATATGAAGCGAGGGAAAACTATTTTTAGGCTGTAAATTAGCTTTCTTCAACATATTTGTTCCCCAGCCAGTATTTATATGTGTAATCAGTGTGGGTGGATGTGGCCCATGTCGCCAAGTAAGAGCACATGACTTCCTACACAGGTATGCTGACTGGAAATCTACACTCTTTTAAATTCATGTCATCATATATATATATATAATGCATATACACACACATATATATGTATATGTATATGTATATATATTCATTCAAATATGTATCTGACTGTAGTAAATTTACAAATTAAATCAAGTAAGAAGCACCTTCGATTAACTTCTCCAATGTCCAGCAAGGTGGACCCCTGGTGGTCAACTATTCATTTTAAATTATGGTTGTACAGTTCTATGGCTGATCTATGAAACCCAGTTCTGTTGCTAATTAAAGGCCACCTCTGACAAATGATTGATGCGACTCCCACTCTGTGTTTGAAGCAGACATGTGTTCCCATTTTCAGCTTCACATAATGGTTCGTTTTTACCCTTTTACCCAGATGAGATCTTTACCTCTTTTGATCATACACCATTATCCTTGTTTGTTTGCTTCTTTTTTTTATCAGAACAAGATTCCAAGAAAACAAACTAAAGAGGAAAATTTAGCCTGGCTTCCATTTTCTCTCTGTGAAATATTTATCTTGGTGTTGTCTTGGATGCTTTCCATAGAAGCATAATGATAACGTGATTGTATGTGCCAGAGCCCACGGCTGAGTTCATTTAATGTTTGGACTTGCCCACGAAATGATTGCTTTTGCGCCCTCTGTGGCCATTATGTGCAACTAGAGCTGCATTTTGAATGCAAATTGAAGTTGAGTCCAGTTCAGCATGTCTGTGTTTCCTTTACAATATGAACCAGTAACAAATATAATAAGTAAAATGTAGTAAACATCCATTGAACTTTATGTGTACTTCATGTGTACTTTAGGTTTGTTGTCTGAAGTCCTTCTTCATTACTGTGGCTACGACACAGATGAGGAGAAACTGATGTAACTAATGTTTTGTCCATGGTTGTTCACTGGCTGGAGGGAGGAGCCCTCGGTCATCCTTGCTCACTCTGTGATGAAAAATGTAACTAATGGGTGATCTGAGGAAACCAGCTGGGCTGCACAGAGGCATGCTGGGAGAGAAGTGAGTCGTAAAGCTCAGGCCACAGTGTGAGTAAATCAAACATCTCTCATCATCATCATTATGTGCACAATGTGTGATATCAGTGTGATGCTTGACACACGTGTGTTGTGCAGTACGTACCGGACTAAGGTGTAAATTCATATAGTATTTCAAATGAAATGTTCCTCCTGTGATACATTATAATAAAATGACATATAAAAGTAATTACTGGGTGAAAGAATGGGTTTGTTTTACACAATAAATCTAAGCCATTCAGCTTTGAAGAGTTTTCCACGTCAGATAAAAAGGTATTGGTATGCAAATATGACAACATAAAAGAACATGCTACTGTTGGTGCCAATGATGTTATACCAAAAGACAGCCACGTGTGCTAATTTACTTAGCTTTGAAATTAGCAAAATAATTCAAAATATGTCGTGAAAATAACTGGTAATTAGCACAGAATAGGCTCCAGTTTGTCTATATGCAGTTGAACTTCTTAAAACAACTGAAAAAAAGCAAAGCAAAACATTCTAGAAGTAAACATGTCAATACAATGGAATATCTACATAGGAAAAATAAACACAATAGGGAAATGCTAAGATTAGAAGATAAGCTGTAAATAAATGCTAATCTCACGTGTTGAGGTCTTACCTTCTTTGTCTTGTCCATGGCTGCCAGTATGGATTTGTTCAGGTCCTCTAAGGCAGCCAGCACGTTCTCATATTCACCGAGGTGCTGGGAGAAATACTCTTCACCACGGAAAGACAGAAATAAAACAGGGCTTTTGATGTTGTGTGAGGCAGCGTCAGTTTGACACTTCAGTGCCACCGCCTGTGGCAGTTTGGTCAGCCAGCATTTAAAATGGATCAGTGCTTAGGCAGGGAAATGTCAAGTATCATTCGAGACTATGCTGCTCTGGACTGACTGTGAAGTAAATCCATTGAAAGCTCAGTTTTAAGGTGAAGGCTCAACTTACCACAGAGTTCATCTGTGTCCACGTTGCTGGCAGAGAGATAAGAGAGAGAGAGATAAAAACGACCGATCAAATACAGATGCTTCTGAGGTGATGAAAGTGGCACAGTAATATTTCATCTGAGCTGAATTGCTCCTGGACAGACTGGGATTTGATGAGTTCGTTTGTGAAGACGAATGGGAGCAAGAGAAATATGTCATGAAAAATGTTCCTGAGTTGTCTGCCTCCAGGGGCATCAGCCTCGATGAATTCTTCAACAGAAACAACTGAAGAGATTTTGGGGGCTGTTTCTAATGGACGTCTGAGGGCTCAGACGTCCAAGGAGTTTGAACAGAGGACAAGTGAGGGAGCCGAGGAGTGGAACAGAAGAAAAACCCACGACAGCGAAAGAGCAGAAATACTAAGTAACTAACTGGTGCTCTAAATTTAGATTACACTAAGGCATACTAAGGTTCATTTAGAGTTTCCAATTCAACAAATCAATCAAACCTGTGATCTTCTTGCTGTTAGGCAAGAACGCATGCCACTTTTACAGTGTGTTGCCTTAAATACTAAACTATTCCTGGAAACCTTTTAGTCAAAGATTTCTACAAGGTTTGCTTGTAATTCAACTGCCACCAGTCAGCAGACTGCAAAGGCAGATCAATAATTCAATTAAACAACAAAGAAAAGCACAAGAGAAAGAAGAGAATTACAGACTGCCGTCAAAAGAAACGCTACTGACGAACGGAAATGAGTATCTCAACCACCTCACCTGACTCTCCTCAACTGTGGTGGAATAAAGATAAGACCTTTCATTGACTTACTCCGTGTTATGGGTATCGATTGTGTGGAAGAGCTCCTTCAGTTCCTCAGCTGTCAGGACTCCGTCAGAGAAGTAGGCTTTGAATTCATCGAAGGAGAGTTTTCCATCGTCTGGAGACAGAGAACAAACAAGTCAACAAAAATGTCAGGACGGTCGAGGTGCACGGAAACATCCTCCAGGAAAGAGGACACCTTCATCCTGATGCATTTTCAAACTCTGGATTCTTCTGACATTCTTTCCAATTTTCTGATCAGTTAACCAGTGAAATGGAACACATTAACACACGACTGTGGATCAAGCACAAAGTCACTGGGAGTCTAAAAACAACCATGTGGAACTAATCGGAATCCTCTTTAATGAGATCCCAGTACTCTCGTAGCGCGAGACATTCAATTAATAATGAAGTGTGTCGGTCATGTTGATAATGAATTCCAAACGGCTATTTTTAGTCATTTATAATAAATATCTGTATAATATGAGCGTTAGGTCTTTACAGACATCTTCAAATGTCTTTGAACCTGGAGTTACTGAGTCACAGTCCACAGTACGTGACATTTGTCAGATGTACCACTGTTATTCTGGATCAAATGTTGGTCCTTTCATGGATAACAGAACCGTCGGCGTTTACTACATAAATATGACTCACTCAGTTAATTCAAACACGACACCTGTGAGTCATGAAATCTCTCTGTTTTTGACTTTCCTCATATTGACTGCAGAAAAATAAATCAAACAAAAATAAATTAAATTCAGACCCTCTGGTCTGGCCCTGGTTTTGTTTTACTGGAGTGGAAGAGCAGCAGCAGGTGGCTGTGTGAACTGCCACAAAACTCCATGATAAAAGCTAAGTAACGACAGACAAACATCAGCGTCTATTTTGTCTATTTTGTCTATTTTGTTAAAGCTCACAAACTGAGCCCCACTGGGCATGGTCAGTGGCCTGTTTCCATGGCAACTGACAGAGTATCAGCAGAGAGTCATGGTCAGAATTTCATTGAGAAAGTACATTTCATTTCATTTCTCAAAGACACACGACAAAGAGAGACGTGCGACTCCAAGGAGCTGGGTGGCGGGATACACTCACCGTTTTTGTCAGCTCTCCGTAAAATCTGTAAGGAGAAGGAAGACAAAGCAAGAGTGAGAACAAAGGTTTCACATCATCAAAGCTCAAATAATTTGGTGGGTCGGTGGAGCTCATCGATCCCACACACTCAAAAAGCAGCATGTGATTAAATTATTTATAGTCCTGTGCCACACATCAGAGGAGATGAAAGGCAGAGTGGACCAAGGGTCTCTGTGTGAAATCCAAAGATTTGCCTTATTTTGTCAAATGTATACTGTGTTTGGTCGTTCAGCAAGTCAAGCCGTTTTATCCTATTTTTCTTAATGCAAATGGAGACTCGAGGATCTGTGAGAGTACGTCTGTGTGTACGTGTGCAGAGTGATGCAAAGAAAAAAAAACACATTCAGCAGATGTCGAGAAATAACAGAACCAAGACCCTGTGGATCTTCACTCCTCATGTGGATGGAGCGCCCTGTTCTACCTCAGAGAGACACCTGATGTGTCGGGTATTACGCTCTACTTTTATCATAAATCTCTCCTCCCACGTGTGCTTCCACTTGTGTGTCTGGAGGCAGAGGTTTCGAGGTGAAGGCAAATGTAATGAAAGAGTGCAGGCATGTGGGAAATGCAATTAGGAGGCAGATACACTGACAGACATCTGAGCACAGCAGCAGCAAAGGAGACGGAGCTCCGCACAGAGAAACACCTGAAGAACCTCATTAGCTGCACTGACTGATGCAGCAGCAGGTCCAACAGAAATGCAGCCATGATGGAATCTTTATTCCACACAACTCTTTTAGCGATTGTTGTTCACATTCAACAGTGATATTTTCCATACAATATTTACAGGGAAAAAAAGTAATGTGCAAAAACTGGCCACTGGACCAGACTGTGGACACTCCTCCTTTGTTGTTTTTTGAAATTAAGTTTAATTTAAATTCTTATATTTCTTCAAATATCACTGACTTTTCTCCATTTTAATTTTTGACTTGTTTTCATACCACAGCCGTTGTTGTCATTGATTATAAATAAACCTTATGTGTTGTTATTATTGGTATTATTACTAACATTAGTAACAAGTATTGAAGAGCGAAAGATAGTTGGAAATATTTAAATAGTGTAGTTTAATTAATGTTCGAATTGACTTGTCAAATTAATAAATTCCATCAGATAATAAACTCTGCCCTGCGTAAACTGAAATAAAATGAATTATTCTCAATCCTATATAAAAAACCAAGTACTAAGCCTTTTGATAAAATATTTAAATATTTTACTCGTATGAAAAGAATCACATAAATGCCATTGTGAGAATTCCTGGTGAATATAAATAATTGTAGTACGGACGGAACAGTTTATACTTACATCAATGAAAATGGACATTCCCTTTTTTAGCTCCAGCTCAGTGCTCGCCTCCTCGGTCACAGACTGAACCTCCTCTGAACAATCCATTCTTTATCCACGGTATGTCTTCAGGAGTCAAACTGCGGGGGAATGTCACTGTGTGCGCTTTTTAAATAGGAACAGACACACGCACACGGACTCGAAGATGAACTGTCAAACTAACCGTAACTCAAACACACTACGTTTCCGATGTAAAAATGCATCAACAGTAACATGTGCTAAAACAAAGATGATAGTCAGTGTTTTACCCACACGTGTTCAAAATGTAAATAATTACTATATTTTTGATAATTAAATGTGCTCTGTAATAAAACGGCATTTAATCGCTTACTCTTTAAATGCGCTTGCTTTTATTTTGAAGGACTATCATTATACTTCCTGTCTCTAACTTTCAGGAACCTTTTTAAAAGTCTAGCAAGTAAATGGAAATTGTATGTATTCTGCATTTTGTTTATCTGTTAAGCAGAAATTGTAATTGTATTCTATATGTCCAATAACATTGTGTGGAAATCACACTGTAGGAACAGGCATCATTACAGCTCATAAATATCTGCAGCTCAGCTAAGTGTTACCATTCGAGTCACTAAGATTGGGCTGCAAAAGGCGTATAACAGTGCCATCCTGCGGCATGTGCTGAGAAAACATGTAATAAGGCAGCGAAATATTTAGAATAGTTATAGATTATGACGATAAATGTTATAAAAATTTGACGTCAGTGTGACAGGGACGATTGCATTGTTTCTTTTTCATTTTTACGTTCACAATCATTTGAATATGTCTTCTGCATTACGCAGTTGATTTTAAAAACCTTAAAAACACACAATTGTGTAAAATTTAAACTACATAAAAATAGGAAAGTGTCGTAAGAATAGTCTTCTGCTTATGTGGCACTGCATTCTGTTTGAACAAACAACGCCGAGCAAATATAAATGATCCAAAACAAACACAAGTCCTGGTTAACTCTCGCGATGACTTTCAGGATGGCTCCGATTGGTTGAAAAGGTGCCACGGTCGGTCAGGTGGGCTGGAGTTACTTGGCATTCTGGGACACAAACAGTTGGTCGGAGTGAAAGAGCTTGAGCTACCGAGACATCAGTAGCTGCAGAGAAGAAGAGTCAGAGGGACGACACGAACACTCTGGAGAAGGAGTTAAAATACGACTACACATCCGACTGTTGCCCATTTTGTGTAGACGAAGAGGAGCTGGATGTAGGCGCTTTAACTCTCCGAAATGCATCCGAGGACTTTATCCATTCAGCGAGCTAGTTAGCTATCGACGGTAGTAAGTTAGCCTTGCTTTATTTTTGCCAAAAAGAAAACGCTAGCCCGACTGTAATAATAATAATAATAATAATATCGTTATATTGGTACGTTTCTGCAGCGTTTGCTTTAGCTACACCATATTAGGAATACGGAAGAAATACAGTGACGTTGTAAATTATTTTAATTAAAAAACCCGTACAATAATAAAAAACTGAGTTACCAATGCTGCTTTGCATTCGTCTTCCTATATATCACAATCTCTGTTTTACTAGTTGAGATATAAAAATGCCAGTTGTTGGACTTTAAAGTGGGAAAATGTATTAATAGAAACGACCTTAAAGTGATTGCTGATTTCTCTTTGCTAGAAAGGGAATGGTAATCCAATAGCCAATGACAAGCTGTGTAGTTGCAGGGGTATCTATTAAACAAATACCACTGTCGATGTTATTCTCTACCTTGTTTACACTGTGTCACGATGACAGTGAACTTTCCTAATGATGCCCTACTGCTCTTGTGTTTAATTTGGGTCACCACACTGACTGACTGACTGTTTTTTCTGCTGCTTTCACAGAACTCGTACACTGCCCTGTCCAGGTGGTGAGGATAGAGTTTTTAGAATATGGGGACCATTTCGAACAAGGACGATAAAACTGGCACTTTGCAGCTGGTGGACTTGCACATTGCCCATCTATTGTACCCAAGATAAACTTCAAATCATAGGACCTGTGTAATGGCCACGGAGAGTGACAGATTTCATCTCAACACCTAGTCCCACACAAACTCTGTCAGATCAACACCACAAACCATGGACTTGTGTTGGATTTAAAGACTATCTGGACCTAAGACGTCACATCTGTCTCCAAGACAGACACTCCCCCGTCCTTATTTAAGGGCCACTATGTCAGGGTCAGGGGCCACGACAGTACAGCTGTTCTCCAAGCTGGTCAAGCATGCAGTGGGGAAGGCACAGATTCAGCTGAATCGCTGGCTGCAGAGGTCTGCTACAGAGGAATGTGACAAGATTGATATTCTGATTTGCAGTGCTTTTGATGAGAGAGGGGCTTGCCCAGTAAAGTCAGATGGAGACCTCCAGGTCAGCGAAGCAGGAGGGCCTAGCTTCGGCAGTACAGAGTTCAGGCATCCGTGCTGCATCACCACCTTTTGCTTCAAAAGCGCTCTGCTGGCATGCGTCCTGACTGCTATTTGCTTCTCCTCCGTCGCCCTGGTGCGCCAATACCTCAAGGATCTTCTGCTGTGGGTAGAGAGTTTGGACAGCCTCGTCGGAGCCTTCCTCTTTATAGTCGGCCTGATTATTGTGTCCTTCCCTTGTGGATGGGGATATATCGTTCTTAATGTGGCAGCTGGCTACCTCTACGGCTTTGTGCTGGGTATGGGACTGGTCATGGTGGGAGTTTTAATAGGGACGTTTGTAGCGCACGTGGTGTGCAAACGCTTATTGACTAACTGGGTTTTGAACAAAATTGGAAGCAGTGAACAGCTCAGTGCTGTCATACGAGTGGTGGAAGGAGGGAGCGGACTCAAAATCGTGGCCTTAGCAAGACTCACACCCATACCATTTGGGCTTCAGAATGCAGTTTTCTCGGTGAGTATGAAAATGCTATTGTCCAACTCTATAATTACATAACCAACAACGTCTTCATCTCTGCCATGAGAAGAGCAGGAGTCATTGCTATACTTGAGGATAACAAAGAAAACAAAATCAAACCTGCCAGGTCTAATTTGACTTGCACTGTTGTTGCAGCACTTCCTGTGTCTCTGTCTAGTTTGCCTTTACTGTGAAAAGAGGAAAACAATCACTCAGTGAGACGCTGCAACAACACTGATACTATTGTTAATAAAGTCAGCTTAACCTTAGAGCACAGGTTTAGTAATATAATAATATATATTATATGTGATATTATATTATTTAGTATTAGTATTATTTTAGTAATTTAGTTTTTAAATCAAGCTCAACATAAAGAACCACTTTAAATGTTGACTGCCTTAAATCCAAATGTAATACTTTCAATTGTGTCTTGCATTTAACCCGACCTTCAATCTTACCATGAATAATTTACACTGGTTGGTTAGTTGCACTTTGCTTTTAATGCCAAATACCAAAGTGTTGTTTGCCATGTTATATAATCTTTCTATCTTTACTTGGACTGACGTTTAGCAAAATATTTCAAACGGATATTACATGTCATCTACTAATAGTCCAACATAGTACTGTAAAAATAGACCAAACATTATATTATGTGGTAAAAACAGCAGTAAAATCTGTTAAACTTTCAAAGTTGGTAAGACCAACTAAAAACTGTTGGTTGGTAATATTAAACTGTAAAATCAGACCAGTCAACCTGATCTTCACCTCTTACAATTAAAACTTCCCCCCTTGACATGAATCAGATTTAACTAAAGATAATAATTTCATCATTAAAAGAAAGTTAGGATTAGATATAAAATCAAACAAGGCATCATTTGTAATGACTATATTTGTATGTATTTACAGTATGTTACAGTATGTTTAGGGTCAGAACAGTGTTGAGGAATGTTTTTGAATGGTAGTTTCTGGAACATCTGAGGCCCAGGCCAGAGGCAGGAAGCAATACAATACAAATAAAGAAACCATGCAGCCAAACCAGTTCTGTCCCAGGGCCTGTGGCTCTGAACATGTAGTGGTGATGGATAGTTAGTAGTATTAGTCTTGTTCATTTAAATATCAGTGCAGAATAGAATAGTTGTTCAGTCATAAAATGTTAAATGGGACTTGCATTATGTTTGAAAACCATTCTGTCATTTTATTCAGCTCATAAGAAAAGAAAAATATTGGACATAAATGAGTTTTAAGTATGTTTATTGTTGTCTAAGTAACTAAGAATAGACAAACAGAATGGACAGCACTTATCTTCTACTGCGGCTACACTAAACATTGTGAGCAGATTTTGCCTGAGCTTCTTAAACCAGCTGGGTTCTGTTGGTCTTTGGTTCATGCGTGACTCATTGGGTAACACGTAGCTCTGTGTCCAAAGGTTAAAATTTCCATCTCAAACGTGGATGATAGCTGAAGCTTGAAAAGAGAGGCACAGAGTCGGACTCACTCAAGTCAATGAATCAACATATTTTTACACAGAGCTGAGCAGCTGCTGTTTACATGGTGACGGTGAACAAAAACAAATAAATATGAATAAAAAGTTCAAAAGTGTGGCAGAACAGGAGCACACTGCCCATATTGTCTTTCCCATATATCTCTCTCTATATAATATGATATAATATATATTACTACAGTTTACATTTAATACATTTTTAGGATCTATAAAGTTTTTATTTGCTTTGCCAAAGTGGTGATGATAGATTTTTTTTTTTAAAGGTATAAACAGTTTTTGCCTTTTCAGTTTGATTTTGCATTTGCCTAAAATGACCAAAAAGGTAGTTTGGAAAAAAACTATCCTGACTACATAGAATGAAATGAACAGGAAGACAACATTGCCTCTAAAGACTAACAATCAGACATAACCATTTAGTGAGACATCCCTTTGAGAATGAATAAGAAGATTGTTGTTTCTTCTTTTTTTAACTGATTCTATGTTACAGAAACCAGAGACTACGCAGCTAGAATCCCAATTACTTAATATAATGGTTAAACGTCTAATCATGGGCCCACGCCCCTACGTTTATCTTCGGCTCATGGTTGTTACTAAGATGGTCAGATAGTGTAACTCTGGTATATACCCAAGGTGTAATCAACCTCGGGTGAGTACTCCATGCCCTGCACTGGCTCACAGTGGAATTATGTGTTGTCTGCTTTGCCCTTGATAAGCACTTTGTGCGAGTGAGGCTACATTTCACCTTGCCCTCCGCTTCTTTTCGCTGAAGTGGATGTGGCCACAGTATAGCAGGTAACCTAAAACGACTGAGAGACTGCAGCAGTTAGCAGACCAACAGGCCAGCTCAGGAATATTGTCAGTGGATCCTCTTGAGGATGAAGTTAACATTCACAGCCACATGTATTTTATTACAGCTTTATTACTGCTGGACTGGTGCCATGCCTCTGCTGTCATAATGGGCTAATGAAGCAGCGACGGTCTGATGTTTATTGCACATTTCTCGGGCCTTGTGCATTGACATGAACTGTTTTTTCTGGGGTTTTTTTACAAAGTGATGAACCCTGTGTGAGATTAAAAAAAGAAACATCTACTACACGGTCTGCCTCTCAGGCTAATAATAAATAAATCAGGTCTTTCCCAGGACGGGATGGTTTTCACTTAGATTTGCAGATCATGTCGATATACACAGGCTTTAGGTAACAAGAGGAAGGAACAGTGGATTTTTTTTTTGCACATGGTATAAAAATATCAACAACTGCCTTTGCTCTTGAGAGACAGCTGTTAGATGACAGAGAGGGGAAGAGAGACCAGAGGACGTGTGCTTCACGACTCAGGGTTGATGATGACTGGGAGGAAGAGAATGTACTGCTTTTTTTCTGCAGCTCAGAGAGTGACATACCACAGATGGTTTTAGCTGAAGGCGTTTGGAGGGTGTTGACACACTGTGGACACGTCAGTGTTCACCCTTCAACAAGTCCACATGAATGGGTGTTTTTTCAAGCATTTCAGTGTGTGCATTAAAGATGGGTTGTACCTGGGAAGAAACACACCTGTGTCTTCTAGCCCTGATAACATGTTGGCTCAGGCAGTGCAACAACAGCAACACGCTACAGCCTCTGATACACCGTTATCAGCCACATTATGGCCACAGTGCCAAGGTCATATGTACACACACACACACACATGCACACACAGCCTCCACCAGAATCAGCTGATGTCATCACATAATCCGATGTGACAGTGACTCTTGCACCAGAGTATTTTTGGTTGTTTGTGTCAAGATATGAAATCAGACGCTGAGTTGGAAGTATGATAAGACTGAAGTCTAGGTTGGAGCAGATGGCCTTAGTTCAGCTGCATTAAAATGTTATTTCAAGTCGTGTTTAATTTCGAAACTTTCATTAAAATTAATCAAAATAAAAACTGATATCAATTTTTACAAACAGTGTAATGTAATGAACGTTGTTTTTTTTAATAGATATGTGATGTATCATTTGAACGTTATACTGTTGTTTGTCCTTAATGTTTTTATTTTCTCGTTTCCCCTTTTCCTGTTTGTGTCTCCAGATCACAGACGTGTCCTTGCCAAACTACCTGGTGGCCTCCTCTGTGGGTCTGTTGCCCACTCAGCTCCTCAACTCCTACCTGGGCACCACACTTCGCACCATGGAGGACGTCATCGCCGAGCAGAGCATCAGTGGTTACTTTGTGTTCAGCCTGCAGGTACATGGTGATGTTCAGCCGGGGCAGCTGGTGACACACCTGTTAATGTGTTTCTTTCTTTTGTAGAACAATGTTTGAGTAGGGTTGTCAGGTGTTCCACCCTTAAAACAAGGTGGTACAACCTGCTGGATGATGACTGTTGTTAACTTAACATTTAAGGTCACGTCTGTCAAAGGCTTCAAACTTCTGTGTAGGTGTCTAAAAACCTGAAGCAGCTGAGGACACACCATGACATTTAGTTACATGACTGTATGGTACACACGTTGTAGGTTGTTTATTTCATTAATTACTTATAAATATTTGATTTTTAGGTATTAAATTATTCTTATTAATGATATTCAAATAGTGTTTAAATTTGTTTTTTGTAATTTTTCTTTTAATGCATTCGTAAAAGTTACACATTTTGACAGTTTTTCTGGTTCCTCACCAATCCTGTTATGACACAGACACTGTTTTTAAACTTTGAATTGATCTTTTAAGAAATTGCGTCAATTTGTTTGTAAAAGGCATTTGAACCAAACAATCTGAACTCTTGTGTCTTGTCATGCAGATTTTCATCAGCATCGGCCTCATGTTTTATGTGGTACACCGGGCTCAGGTGGAGCTGAACGCCGCCATCGCTGCGTGTCAGATGGAGCTGAAGTCGTCGCACATGAACGGGTCGTCCAGCAACCACAGCAACTTCAGCTACTGCAGCAAGAGGACGACGGCTGGCAGCGGTAACTGTATTAATGTGGTGTGACCTCCAATCGCTGCCTGCAGTGGTTGCTCCTATTACTGAGCTGCTTACAGCGGTGAGACGGGGTTTGACCAGTGGGAACCTGCTGGATCTGGAAGCATCGAGCATCGGTGGTGGGTTTCTCCCCATCGCTCTGGCAGAAAAACCATGGTCTGTCTCTTTAGTGGGTACTGTTTTTATTTAGTGCGGGACCATGCATCTTTACGGTAAGGTGTGGATGAATATAGTTTTGAGTTAGAAAAGTGAGGCATTTTTATTATTAATTCCATCAAGGTACTTAATAGTAACACTGTTACGAGAGATGTCAATGAAATAATGTTTATGGATTAAAGCAGCAGCAGTAGTGAGTGAGAGACAGATTGACAGAGTGCATGAGTGAAAAATGGCCAATAGCTGCCTGCTAACATTATGAATGTGCAATGGGAAGCTCTCTAGTCAACCAAGGAATCATTTTGTGTCAACAAAAACGCCAACCTATGCACTTTTGTCTCATCTCCACATCTGTTTTTTTTTTTTGTCGACATTGAGCTCTAATTAACGACAAGGAAAAACAAAGGCGTCAGTGTTATTTTCGTCTTTTCACACGGTTAATTCCTAACGTCTCTTTATTTTTGAGCTGTTTAGAAATGCTGAGGCCCCAAAAACCAGAGCTGAGCAGATCACACAGCCAGGAACTCGCTGTCAGTAAAAACAGCGTGAAGTATCTAAAGAATCACCGGCTGGAATTCAAATTGATTTCTAACTGTCCTGTTTATATTTGTCATTTGTTTAGGTTTACATCTTCTTTTTGTTTCGGTTTAAATGTGTTACAGGTATGGGTTAAAGTTCCGGCAGTAGTGTGCAATATATGGGTGATAGGGCAAGATAAATGCCTGAATGTCACTTTTTATTGTGCTGAAAAACTAATATGAAGTAGACTGTATACAGGAAATGGACAAAGCCACTAAGTTACAAGCAATTGATTTTTAGCCTTGGTAAATGTTTTTTTTTGGTTTTAGGTTTTAATTACTAATCTTATCAATATAACTCAAATCATAAATGCGGTTTAGAGGAAAAAAAGACAAAATACAACAATGTCTCTCTTTCACTTTTTCTTTCTCTTTCTAATGTAACTGATGTTCCTTTTACCATTTGGTTCCAAAGATGGAGTTGTTTACAGCTGTGGCTTCACTGGTGGCTTCGTCCAAATCTGATATGTAGTCTATAAAATGTGTTTAATTCTATAAATTATAGGTAATGTACCGTTAAGCTAGGTGAAATGAAGAAGTTATATTTTCATGTGCCATAACATGATAAAGTTTCAGGCGCCCTGGCACTGGCTTCGTCATTGACTGTATATAGGATAAAGCGTCTGGGGTTTGGTTGTTCAGATGTTTAACAGATGTGTCTCAGAAGCTGACAATCAAACACAAACTAAACAAGGACTTGAGGTGATGAATGTGGTACTTTGTTTTATTCTACACATGAAATATTGCGATGCTGCTCCTCAGTCAAAGAACTCTGATTGAGGAACAATAAGGGCTCCAGAGGATTTAATCTCATTCTTGTTTGCCCACATTCCATTTGAACAGTTCTTTGATTTTTTTTTATTTTGTTTTGTTTATTTTACGTTTTGGGATGAATTTTGTTAAAATGGCCACATTTTGGCCCTATTTAGCAATAATGTACAAACGTAAGAAGCAAAAATAAATAAATAAAAAATAGAAGTCCTACCAACAAGATCATCAGCTGATGTTTGTGAACTCACCCACAGTTTCTGAGAACTATTTGAAAAGATGTATTTAAAAAAGCTGAATTAGAGACCTAATAGTCCCTTGTTTATTCCCCAGTGTTTAACCTGCCTTTTAGCTCCTTCTGTCACTGAGCCATTTTGTTTTTGTGTCACATGAGATGCAGAAGAGCGATGAGGTCATTTCTGAACACAACAGCTTGCATTCTCGTTTTACTTGGCAAAGCTTTGAACCAGTTGTTCATTGATGTTTAACATTCCTACAATGACGTGTCAATAACACTTGACAACAGCACAAGTATTATGGCAAAGGCACACTGGGTAGGATTTGGCAGCCTCTAGTGGTGAGGTTACATATTTTAATCTTTCTCCTCGCTAATGTCATCTGAGCATGTAAATGTAGAACATATAATGGCTGTTTTTCCTGAAAGATTTATTTTTTCTGGTGTGAACTAATGCAAAAAAGCTCAAAAGGTCATGTGCTAAAAACAAAATCTTAGTGTAAATGATGCATTATTTATTTAATCCACTTTTCTTTAAAAGAAACAAAACTTAAATTATGTGCCCTAATGTTGTGCCGCGCCCCCTAATTTGGCTACCATTCCATTTTTAAAACTGGATGTCTATTTTTATTGAGTTATTGCGTAAATGTGGGCTTTCAACCCACAACTTTCCAAATGAAGTGTGAACAGTGCGGCTGTTGTGCTCAGACGGTTGGACCTGAATGTGGACTTTGTGCCGTGTATTAAAGCCACAAAAAAAAAGTTTTACTTAACCAGTGTTGACACGTCTCATCATTATTGAAAACTCCACAGACAAAGGCTCTGGTTCTGTTCTGGTAGGCTCTCTTTAACTTAGATTTAGTTATGCAACAACAGACTCCTGAGGGAAGTACGTTTCATAGAAGTCCACACCACCTGAACTTGGACATAACTGCACACTTGTCCTGCAGGACGAGAGCTGTGTGACATCCACCGGTGGAATGGGTGAATGTAGGGTCTGGTCTGGTGCTGTGAAATGCAATACTTCCCCACCTGTATTAAGTGCATTATACATATACTGTATTTTGTAATAGACAGTTTTACAGTGTATAATATAAATATTTATCACTGTACGATGCTTGTTCAGTGTTATTTATGAGAGAGAAAAATAAAACTGTCAGGCTTTTCTAAGAAAAAAAAAATTGTCAGATTTGTGTGATTCATTCTTGACTTGCCAACATTTTCACATGTGATGTAGCCTTGACCAGAGATGGGACAAGTCACTGTGATTTTGAAGTGGAGTAGTGATGGCTGTGACAGAGATAATGTCCATTGAAGCTGTTACTTACGCCTGTCGAGGTCTGACCCGTCACCAGTAAGATACAGTACTCCTAAATCCCCAGACACAAACAAAGCACTCCTTGGAGAATCTACGTGCACAACCTGTGAAAATGTCCTAAACATAAGACATTTTTAAGGTACGTCAACCTTTGATTATAAGCAACATAGTAAACTAAAGTTCCTGAAAAAGTCTACAAATATAAAAGTTTCTCAAAAATGACTAAAAATGAGCTCATTTGTCTTGACCAAAACTTGTTCAAGATGGAAGGTTATTGCCAAACATGTTTGTTAGAAATATATCCAATGAGCACAAGCAAGAGAAAACTCTTCTTGTGAAAGACATGGTGTAGCCTTTGACTTTTATCACCACATTATTTGGCAAAATGTTGCCAAACCTCTGCAGGACATTTACCACTAATGCACTCATTTAAGGCTACTTTCTAAATTAAATGAATAAATATATTAAAACACCTTTGCCATTGTTTTTGCTCCTTTTTTTTCTCCAATATATTTTGGACCGTTTCTTTGGCAAAACTCAATTCACTTTTTATAGGCTTGCCTTAATTTGTTTTGTAGCTAACTGAGAATATTAACTCATTTTAGGCTGAATTTATAAATAAAACAAAATTTCATGATTTATTTTCATCAAGCTTTTGTCACATTTTAAATAAATAATAAACAAAACCAACCTTTTTTAGTTGTGAAAATATTTATTTTTATCAAAAGAAACTATTAATAAAAATTAACAATTATTTGACATATTTCAAATGAATGTATTAAAATAGGGAGCATTACTTATTGATATAAAATAAAGAGGACTTGATATTTTCACATGTTCAGATATCATGTTTTTGGAGTTTTTAACACAAATTATTCACTTGTTAGCATGTTCTGTGGCATGAACTTGCATTTTAAGGCATTTCTGGGACTTTTTATTTTTTTGCATTTTTCGTGATAGTAAGTCTTGTAGACTTTAGTTTTGCTTGCAACCAGCTAGAGTGCCCCTTTTCCTTCAGCAGCAAAAGCATTTTCTTGCAGCAATCTTATTTCTCGATAGTAAAAGCAATGAAGCTGCAGACAAAAGATGTCAGTTCCCAAAACTAAAATGTATCCTTGGTATTCTCACAGATAGATGCAAACAATGTGTTGCTGCTTCATTTGATGTGATTAGTATTTGCAGCATAATTCAATATAGAAGTTGCTGGAATTTTCCTTTCATTGTACTGACAATAGTGTGCACTGATTGTGTGTATCTACCAATTAACAAACTAATGAGCCCGCATTGTCACCTGGTAGACGCCGTGCCGGACGCTTGTGATTGGATAACGAGGTGCAGTGGCGCGCTTTGAAAGCGGAAGGAAGCAGTAGTAGTCCTCGACCACATAACGGTTGTAAGATGGCGCTGGGTGAAGGCACAGAGTGCGAAGGTACGTATTTCCGTCTTTGGTTCTCTTTACTTTGGCGGTTAGCGCGTCATGTGAAGCACCAGTATTCCATAGAGCGTACGGACGGTTTGTTTTAAATCTGCTGTACGCTGCTGACCCTCCGAGTGGGCTAGCTGGTTAGCGTGCTAAACAGTAGCCTGTTTGAGCCGCACGGTTCGCACATTCAAACTAATTCTGACTGCACTTATCGCTTCAGTCAGCGTGTTATTGAATTGTCTCTTCAGGATCCCTTCAGGTGTAGCTGCAGACCCGTGTCGCCATCAATTGGGCCGGTGGACTCCACCACGCCCACGCCCACGCCCGGGAAGTCCGTTTCTTTTACGTGAACGCCATCGTCCCGGCCATTATTTAGTTGCTGAAGTAAGAAAAGAAACGTGTCACTTTTTTTTTTTTTTTTTTTTTTTTTCCCCGGATAATAGTTTTTTTTTTCCCTAACTTCTCTTGAGGCCCCCTTTTTTTTTTTTTGGTTTTTTTTTTTTTAAGTGTGCGTCTTGTGTTTAGATCATGGCCGAAGTAATGGCGCTGTAACAGCCGAGCGCAGTGTGGAGCCGATTCAACGTCACTATTCAAGGTATGAAAAGAAATGGATTTAAGCCTTAAGCCAGGTATTGACTAAAGAGTGTGTAACACATCAACTACAGACAAGATTGACTATAGCCAGAACAAGAAGTGTTGCATTTACTTAATTTGTCTTTGCAGAAGTGATAGTGGAGAAGGAAGAAGTATTTGTTACTAGTACTAAGTAGTGTCATAAAGCAAATTAGTGGTTTGTTTCAGTTGATAGTAGTGGTTAATTGAAGTGTTTTGTAACATGCTAGTGCTAAACACTTTGAACATGGTGTAGGCATCTGAGAGCACTTGAATGAATGTTGTCTTCATTTTATCTTGTTTCAGGCCAAAAGAGGTTTAACCAAGTTCCACTCCTGATGATGGGGCCTTTGTTGAATCATGTGAGCACATGTGGATGACAGTGTTGTGAGTATGTGATCCTACTATCTTTACCTGAAGTGTTAAAGCTAAGAATTACTGTTGTAGTTTGACATTGTTTTTAAATGTGTATCTATGGAATTTGTGATTGAATGCATGTTTTGTAAATGTTGAAGAAAAAAAAAATTGAAAACAATTTTACCATGAAGACATTTAACCATAAACAGAAAAAACTACCACAGTGAAAAAGTGAAAGTTTTTTAAAATCTTTTATTTTTATTTTTTTTGTCTTGACCAAACAAACAATAGAAATATCTGAATCTCATTAATTAACAAAATCATTCACAAACATTTTGTGGAGACATGTATATAAATACATTAATTAGATCATTTTAATCAGCAGTAATAATAATAAAAGATTCCTGAAGCCACTGCAAAAATCATTAAGTTCTATCAGGTCTACATACAAAGTTATCAGCATAGACAACAGACACCTGTTAATGTCTGTCTGGCAAAACTCAGTTCCCAAAGAAAGCTGCAGTACGTCTCCTTTAAAAAGCTATGACAGTATACACACAGACTGGTGGGCTACTACAGCACCAAATACTAAACAGTTAAAGCAAAAAATTGTCATGATTTCATTTACACAAGAACTATTATCAAAGTCATGCAAAAAACAACCAAAACAAAAAAACCCAAATTACTTCTGACATCAAAATTTGCTGTTAGACTGAAACTTTAAAAAGATGCCAATGCTATACATCTTCAGATTAAGGCAATGGAATTAAATTCCTTCTCTAAACATAAACTTCTGTCTTTGTGTATGTGATGATGTTTAAATCCAGGTCTGAGGTGAAATTATAGCTGTTCCTTCTCTCACGGCATTTGTTTTCGTTCTTCAGTTTCAGTGGATGAACCTGCGTTCACAGATCACACCACAAAATGTTGCACACTTCACATTCCACAAAAAGGAATTAAAAACAACAATTCATTGACATCAAAAGGAACTGAATGCAGCCTTTTGCACAGTGCAATCACAGAACTGTGGGAAGCCCTTACGGTCTGTACATATGGCAATGCTTTTTCTAGCACTACGTTTGAAAGAAAAAACATTTAAACGTGGAGGAGACACGAGAGCATCAAGTTTGAAAAATATAAACATATCGATTTTGTGGCTAAAGAGAGACATCAGAATGACAAAAGTAAAAACTACACACAGTAGTGCTTCTATTCAACAGGATAACACTACCCGCTCTCTCGCGTTACACTGCCTCTTGGTGGTTAACATGAATTACTGCACACTTTAAAAGGCCGATCCAGTCAGCATTTACAAAGAAGCCAGAGTGGAAACAAAGTTGGGTCGGTCTGCATAATCCACACATGGGCCACACAAACTGACCATGTGGGCAACTGTAAACATCTGTTGCCAACAACTTTGGCCCTGTTTATAACCCGTGTGCTTTTTTTCATGTCTTAAGTCAAATCAGATATTCAGGACCAACCATTTCAGATAAATTTAAGACTATTAAGAGCATTACAGTACTGTTCGCTCTCCCCACATTTCAGTTATTTGTTGTACAGACAGCAGCACGACAGTGCAACGTTTTGTGAGTTCAATGGTCTTCACACCAAATGCAGAGCCAATTTTGTGCAACGAAGTCTGATAGAAACCGAAAAGAGTGGTCTGCTCAATGGGTGGTTTGAAGGAAGGAAATAACTTCCCACTTTATTCACATTAAAATATGTTCCTTTAGTCTTTGCTTTTGGTGTGAAACCACATTGACGATGTATAAAATTCTTCAAAAATATCTAAAATAAAAAAGTGTTTGTGTTCATCTGTTGCTTAAATGTTTAAAAATCACTTCAGATGCCATTAAGAAAAAGAATGACCACATGAACATGTACCACCACTGCCAGTCTCTCTAACACTCCCAAACTGCAGTGTAGCGAAATAGTGCAAATTAGATAAGATTGAGTCCACAGGACCTGATTTCATTACTATATTTAGCCAAGCACGTGTTATTCACTGCTTGTTTTATTTTATTTGTGTTTTGTAACTGATAATGGAACTGTTAATGTAGCTCAGAAGGACTGCATCTGGAAATTATTGCATTGGATGTATTTGACGTTTGTTTGCATATGTTTCGTTTGAACCTGAAGTAATTTCATGTCTCTCGTCTGGATTTCTTCTTCTGGGAGGGTTTTGGAGGCTCCACGGTCTGCTCAGTTATTTCTGAATGTAGAGAAGTGTAAAACAGTAAAGTTTAAAACCCTGTGAACCACTCAATATTCAGAAGAACAATATAGAAAGGTTTAAATAGATACTCCATGAGAAGAAAACCTACTTGTAGAAGACGAAACACAGAGGTTCTGCTTTTTGGAGGCCATCGCAGGAAGCTCTTGAGATTGGTTCACTGAACTAACCCCCATCTGCTAAAAAAAAAGACACTTTTTGAATATGTTTAACAGTAAAAATATCTCTAGTTCTACAGTTATATTGCAGTTTCATTTTCTCCTGCCTGAGCCTCAGATGTCGCCTCCTCTTCCTCTGTTTTCTTCTTCTTTCTCCTCCTCTTGGTTTTTGCTGCACCTCCAGAGGGGTCTATGGCATTCTTCTCATCTTCAGACAACTGCCATGAAGATAACAGAATATTTTCTGTTGAACACTTTAGATAGAAAATTATTATGGAAGAACAAGAGCAAACCACAGCTGCTTCAGAGAATAACAAATTATAAAATAAATCCTCTTTTACATGCCATTAAATATTCAGGACACCACATTTGAAAGGTTGTTTAAAAAACTGACTTATAAACCAAATATGAACATGTCAGTCTGGTATAGAAGATACACCGTGACCGGGACTGTTATTGAAATAGAGCAGAACCTTGTTGAGGATCTGCTGTTCCTTCAGTGGAGGAGCTGATGTCACCAATACAGGAGGTTCTTCATAGTTTCCCCAGTGTTCTGCTGGAGCATTCCAGTCAGATGTTGGGTCAGCAGCTGTCAAACCATCTGCAGAAGAGCACAATTAGTCAGCTTAAAGTAAAATCCATCCAACTGTTTAGAAGGACAGTGGATCAGTATTTGGAACACTTACTAAAAGCAGACCACTCATCATTGACGTCCATGTTGCTCGTCCACTGTAGCTCAGTGGGAATGGAGAGTGGGTCTATGAAAAACAGATGGAATGTAAATATGCCAAGTTACCAGTAGAAACAGATATAAAAAAACACGCAGCCACAAAGATTAAAAAAAGGTTGGCAGTTACTTTTACGACCTGTGTTGTTTCGTCTCTGCATGGAGAAGGACACAGAGCCCACGTCAGCTTTGACTCCTCCATCAATGCCACTCCAAGCTGTGGGAACAGAAACGCACAATGAAAAAAAAAACAAACAAAAAAACAACATCAGTCTGGCTCTCAACAACCAAAAAATGCCCTCTTTTGGTATTATACATCAAATAAAACGGTTAAATGTCCCCAAAATAATTTAATCATATTTAGTTTTTCTATTATAAATCTCAATGGTCAGTTTAAATAAACCAGTCAACGTTTTTAATGAGTGTTATTTTATTTTTATGTAATTACCCCACGACTGACTACATGTGATGTTCGAAAGTAAGACTTGTGGTTTGAAAATCTTTAACTCCAGACAAATTGAAAATGACCCATAAAGTAAAAACTGCACATTTCGTAGAATATACAGCTCAAATCAGGGGGAGGTCGTCTTATATGCGCATAAATACCTGGGACAACATTTTCCATCGATCGCATCCTCACTGATAATAAACACCAAGTTGAACGTATGGTCAAACATATCATTACACTTATATTTAAATTTAATAATGCTTTAATTTAATTATAATCAATTCAATCTACAACTGATATTTAATACTTATTTTAACTGTACACTGATATACTGCCCGTTCTTCTCTCTTAGAAAGAACTGGCGCCCGGGATCGAGTCGATGCTGACGATGGATGTCAGGTGCATTCCTGATACCGGCAGCGGGAGGAGGACGACATGAGGCGGTGGGATCGATCTTTCAGCATCCTCAACAACACCTACTGCTGGCGATCTTTCAGCATCCTCAACAACACCACTACTACAACTACTGCTGCTACTACTACTTCCTTTGCAACGGAATGAGGAGGTAAGTGCTATGGCGCTCACTTATAGACATGTTAGAAAACCAGCTGTACTCTTCTGTTATGTTGTCAGTTGTTTACCCTCACTCATTTTCAACTTGTCATGGTCGGAATCAAACCTTTTAATTAAATAGCATTGTGCCCTGTCCACTAATCCATTACCAAGTTGCAAACAAACGGTTAGAAGTCACAGCTTTTTACAGTAACATAAATAATAGTAATAATATTTCATTCCCAACCGCTCTGCTTTCTGTATTAAAAATACAAATTCAACAACTACATAAAAACACAACCTGCCATTATTTGATTGACATTGCATGAACATGACCTTTCATAGGCTGTGGCTAAGATCTTGGTGCTATGTCATAGTTTTCTGTTTTTATCAGAGCCATTGTTTCAAAATACAAGTACAGAGAAGTCACTGACCATAACAAATTTTTCAATCATGTAGAAAAATAATTGCTTTCACGAGGACTGACTTTAAGATGAACCTGCATAGCAACTTCTGTAGCTTTTGTGATTTGCCTTAATTTTGCTATCCAAACCAAAGGGTGCAATTGGCTCCAAGATGTGACCCCTTGTGAGCCAGTTTTGACCTTTGACCAGCAATTGCAGACTAGTGTTGAGGAATCATTATTTAATCATCTCTAATGAGATATCTAGATAATCAAAACCTCGCTGTGCTGTTGATGTTTTTGTTTGTGTTCTATTATGGTCTGCTTGTGTGGTACCTTGTGTCTCCTGGGTCCAGCACTGGGTCTCAGTTGGGCCATTGTACTGTGCAGCTGTGGGTGTGTTCCTCCACTTAGGTCGGTCGTTAGCTACCATCTGTTCTGGATGCTTCAGGGAAATGTCGGTCCATCCAACACCATTAACTGAAGATTCCTCTCTCCAGTTTGATGACACTGAGAGTGAGACAGGGGAACAGCAGAAGCAGAGAGTTTACTGGTTGTGTATCTAGATAAAAACGGATGCTAAAAAGCATTTTAAAAAATTTCACTGACCTTTGCTGCGGGAAAAAAAAGAATGCAGTGAGAGAACGTTACCATACCTTTACCAGATCCACTAGTTTTTTCCACTTTTGCAGTTATTTTCGAAGGCAGTGACTCTGAAACAAAGAGTATGAATAAAATAAGAACTATATGATCATTTTAGGGGGAGGATAAAACAAAACCCTCATACAAAGCTATATAAATCTCTTAAGCATTAAAAAAGGTGTTTGAGATCAACACTGGCAAAAACATCTTGATGCAAATAATTATTTATACTCCTTCCACAAAACGTTTTAAAAAGTAAAGTTACAAAAATCCTATAAAAAATTGCCAAAAGTACATAAATATACTTTCAAATTAAAAGGAAGGGGCTAAAAACGTTACCATCAGATAACTGCACAGCAAATTTGAAAGTACAGCTTGTGAATTAAACCATGTTTAGAGCTATACTCTAGACAAGAAGCTGCTAGTGTGAGGTCATTGCTGCCTGCAGCCCTAATTTTATTAGCCTGGTCTTTAGAGTACTAGCTTCCAGCCCCCTCTGCTGCCACTAAAGTGGTATTAAACCCATGTGTGGGGCTGCGATTTTAAGCAGCAATCCTACAATCAGAAGCTAAATCCTCTAACCATTAGGCTCTCCTTGTTGAGGGAGGTGTAATGAAATCCTATCAAATCTAAAGGATGATGCCAAGACTTTACTGTTGTCACTAATACATAATCAGCGTCAGTGTCCAAATTCATACCCTGATTTCCTTTGTTCTTCTTGGTGTTGACGGGTGTTTTGGTGACCTTAGGGGCCTCCACCCCTCCTGAGCTCCCAGAATCCTCAGGGCCCTTGTCTTTCCTGCGCTGCTGCCTCTTCTCACGGTTACTAACTTTGGTTTCCCATGCACCTGTTGGACAAACAAACAACACAGTTAGAACCTGCATTTTCATTGCTTGCTGTTAACAAAGACCTCAAAACAGGAAGCGCTAGTGAACAATACCTGTAAACCAGGGTGAGGTACAGGAGTAAGTGAAGAAAAGCAGGTTGTGGCATGATTTGGTCCTAAAAATGAGAAGTGACATTTCCCCTACAAGAGCTCTGAGTCTTACCTTCATCAGTTTCCTTTGCATCAGTTGTAGAAACAGTCTGGACTGGTTTCACATCAGTCTTGCTTTTCTTTTTGTTCTTTTTCACCTGCATAGGAACCTGTACTTCCTGAACCTGTGTGCAAACAAGGAGACAAAGTTAACTCTCATAATTTCCCACCTCATACAAAGCATGTAGCTTTGCATAGTTATAACTTCATTCTACTTGCAAAGTGTCACAGTAACGTCTTAAATCCACAAAAACCGTCAAACACGGGTCAACTACCTTCTCAGCTTTGATTTTTGGGGACGTCTTGGAAACACCTTGAATGACTTTATTCTGCGCCTGAGCCACACTCACTGGTTGTCCATTAGACTGACTCTTCTAGGGGAAGAAGAAAATATGTAATTTGAACATGAAAGTGGTGGTATATTGTAAAAAAAAAAAAAAAAAGAAAATACCCAGCACTGTGTGTAAAGTATCCATTGACAGTTATTGATATATAATCGATCGCTAAAGAATGTACTCCTGGTAAATTGTCCAACACAAAACTGAGAGGTTTCCTGTTTTATACTTACTGCCAGTTTTCTTTGGAGGATTTTTGTTTGTTTGCCTATTATTCGTAACCATTAGTACTTTTTCCTCTAGAGCTTTGTGGTTTGTTTTGCTGTTTGGTTTGGTTGCTGTTTGACTAGTCAGTTGTATTATTCTCTGTATGTGTTCTCTGGAGGATCTATTTCTGTGTTGGTGAATATATTTAAGCCAGAGTGGTTAAGTTAAGAGTGGTAATTTACGAGTATCTTCTATGGAAACATGCTGTTTGCTTTAGATTTATTGTCTTTGGAGAATTGACTGGATGAACTGGAAGTCTCTGGTCATTAGACTGTAGACTCTATTCTGTACATTCTAGACTACTATATGTACCATATGCCAAGGAGTTAATTCTAACTTCAAAATTTCCTTAACTACTATGAAACTGTGTGCAATATTATAGTACACTTTACTATAGGAGACCACAGGTCTAGTATACTGTACTGTACTTCAGGCCTGTACATACCTCACTGTAGAGCTGCAACACTGTAATGCACAATATTGTAAGTCAGCTATTCTGATGGTCTATTTTGTTATTGTTCATACATACTGTACTACATACTGTAGTCAATGTGTAATATACTCAATAGTACTAAAGGCCTATTTTATTGCTTTATATTATCGATCCTGTATATTACACTTTACTACACTGTTAAGTATTGTATGTCAAGTCTATAATTACATGTTAAAAATATGCAGTAAATATAAAATGTAATGTATGCCATTCTACAAGATATCATCACAATACTATAAATGAGTACTTCACGTTAGGTCTGCTGTACTATATCTGTGGTCGGGAGAGGGAGTTGTTTTCAGTAACAAATCATAAATATATGTTTTAGGAACCTCAAAAATTCGATCCTTTCGCCAATATTTCCTGTGCCACGAGTGCCAGTCTCGCCGTGTAAACAAAGCACATTATTGTGTAAATTCACGAGTCTTAAAGCTCTAACATTAATTCAAATGGTTGTTAAAGAAAAGCGAAACAAAAGCACTTGTCCTGATTTTCACCGACCGTAGTTCCACAGTTGGTCGCTGCTGCCAGCGGAGCCTTTTCAGCAGCTGTTTTCTTTTTGTTCCGCTTCTTTTGTTCCTCCGCTTTGGCAGTCTTCGTAGTAGGACCGGCCTTGGCGGACTCACTGCTGACCTGGGTCACCGGGGAACCTCGCTTTTTCCCAACCGTCACGGCGCCACAGAGCGCGGCCCAGGACAGAGCCAGCAGCAGCAGCAGACCCGCTGCGGCCGAGCTCACCATCACCCAGGTCGGGTATTGGTCCGGCTTCAAACCCAGATCCAACCCGAACCGGGTGTGGACGTAGTCCTGTCCCAAAAACAGGAGCTCCTTCAAACGGCCGGAGAGCATTTCTGCTTTTTCTAACGCAAAACCTTTCAAGTCTCCAGCCATCTTTTCTCTAATTGTGTAAACGACAGCTCAGTGTTAGCTTTGCATCCTACATCCGTGTGCTAACAGAGGGGCGGGGCTAATCTAATCTGGAATAACAACAAAACCATAATCCATACTCAGTATAAATACAGTTAGAACAGATTTGAAACATGAAAGCCAATACTTTGATTTCTTAGAAAACATTTTAATATACAATAAAACTGTCAGAAACACACATTTCATAATTTACATATTCCATTTTTTTAAAGAAATAAAACTGCAAAGTATAAAACTGACACTTTCTTATGCCTGAATCAAAACATTTATTTAAGTAGAACCTAGCATGTATTTAAGATGGGAATATATGAACTGTATAAATAAATCCATTTATGGTTTTAAGTACCAAACTAATTTAATAAGGTAACTCCACATTTTACCTCCTTTATTAACATGTTTTCTTAATCTACAATGTTAAAAATATCTTTCAGTTTTGTGTGACAGTTTCCAATATCTTTTAGATCAAATCAAACATTTATATTTGTGACAATATAAGGGTAGTTAACCAGTATACATAATTCTGCTATTTTAAGTGTTTTGTTCTATTAAGAAGAACTTTTGCTGGATTTACAATTGGAATTATATTTAAACGAAACATCGTATGACCAATCTTAACTCATTGAACAGGGCAATTCAAACTGTGTTGAAAGGCCACCTGTAGGCAAAAAAAGGGAGAGTTAATTGGACTTCACTAACGTTCTGTGTTAAATTCTTTACACTTTTATCTAATTTTGACCTAATGGTTATCAACAAAAATGGCCATCGGGCGCAACCCCAGTGTCAGAAGAAGACAGTAAAAGGACTTCTCTGTATCATTTATTGTAATCTACAGATACCAGCAGTAAATTGACTAATATTATCATTATTCACAGTACTACTATCAAATGATGGGGTGCAGTTCAACCAAGATTTGATGCAGCTACTGCATTAAACTAAATAAATACGTCATAAGTAACAGGTACCTAACAGAGGGTAATCTCATCTTTAGAAATCCGCATCCAGAGTAAATTCTCCGTCCATGGCGCTCGACATAACTCCCAACCTCTGATACTCAGCCACTCGCTTCTCAAAGAAGTTTGTTTTCCCTTCTAGAGAAATTGACTCCATGAAGTCGAATGGATTCTCTACATGATAAACCTTGAAAAAAAAAAGCCAAGTCCAAACGTGGAATGTAGTATTACAATAACAGTTGTCAGGGTATGGATTTTACAGTAACAGAAATAGTGATTGTGTTACCTTGGCTTGTCCCAGGTCAGTGAGGAGCCGGTCGGCCACAAACTCGATATACTGTTTCATTAAAATACAGTTGATTCCAATGAGATCCACCGGTAAGGACTCAGTCAAAAACTCCTGCAACAAAATCAGGATAAGTCTCATTTTTTCCACTTACACACAGTACAGAACGGAATCTTCTTTTTTTTAAAAGATGACATGGACTTACACCATGTTATGTTTGATATAAAAAGCTAACCTGCTCAATGCTAACAGCTTTGGTGATGATGTCCTTCACTCTGTCCTCTGATGGCTTTTTTACCAAGTAGCTGAACAGCAGACAGGCAAAGTTACAGTGGAGACCCTGAAAGACAAAAAACAGTTGATTAGCTGAACTCAGATAGTAACTTTACCTTCCACTGTAAAACCTTCCACTCACACATTTTGTGACATAATTTAATATGTGTAACATAAATTGAAAGGAATGTAAACATTAAATTTAATTTCATGTTTATTGTGAAAACCTGTAAATCAACACCATCTCCTACCTTGGTATCTATTTTTTTTTAAAATTGTATTTAATTAATGGTTTGGTTTTTTTCAAGTTTACAAATTCCATCTGCAGAGAACTGAGTGATATGAGTCACTTCAGGCTGCTGAGCCTGTTCCTCTCACCTCATCTCTGCTGATCAGCTCATTAGAGTAGGTAAGCCCAGGCATTAGGCCTCTCTTCTTGAGCCAGTAGATGGCAGCGAATGAACCAGAGAAAAAGATTCCCTCCACAGCAGCAAAGGCCACAATTCGCTCACCTAATAAATGGGGGGAAAAATTGTGGTGAAACTACATGAACACAGCACAAACAAGAATATAATTTTAAATATTATTTTGTCATGTCTTACTTACCAAATGTTGCTTGTCTGTCGTTGATCCACTGCAGGGCCCAGTCAGCTTTTCGTTTCACACAGGGTATGGTCTGAATGGCGTTGAACAAAAGGTCCCTGACACACAACCCAATATATATATTAACTTACATTGTTAGTTTTTGTCAGAATTCGTGCATATACATATAGCTGATTAGCCAAGATAGCAGTTCAAATGAATGCTAAGAATGCAGTTAAAAATGAAATAAAACAACTCCATGGTTTGTGTTAGGTCATGGAAATAGCTTGTTGATGCAAACTGATCAAATAATTGAGTCAATCAAAGATGCTGCAGCTGGAAATCTAACGGCAAAACCACAGGGTTGAACAGGTGCAGGTCTTACAGTTGGTCTATAATTGGGTTGGCTTTGTTTGGTGATATGTTTACCAAATGCTGGGAAACATGCACTTTGTGACTTTACTGTTAAAGATAGGATTAATAGGATAAATACAGTTTTCAAAAATAGGATTATTATATATTACAGCTATAAAATGCTAGCTGTGCAGTAATCTTGTTTAATCGTTTTTTTCCGTATAAAGACTTGTCTCATTTGCTCAGATTTTCATAAACCACAAACATTTTCATTGTAAAGAATGAAAGAAATATCTGACCTCTCCTTTGGGTCTCTAATGTAAGTGTTGATAAGAATGCTGTACATCTCTGAATGAACCGTTTCTATTAGGATCTGGAAGCTGTAGAAAGAACGTGCCTCTGGGACCTGCACCTCCTGGCTGAACCTCTGCACCTGTTAGATGATACCAAAACACACAGCTGTAACTGTAAACCCAGAATGTTTTGGCAGTGGTGAGGGCTTTACCATCAGTCTCTTAAGGCCGTGTAAAATAGGTTACAGTGGAGTTGAATCCATCTGGTGTCTTACCAGGTTCTCATTGACAATACCATCACTTGCAGCAAAGAAGGCAAGAATGTGCGAGATAAAGTGTTTTTCTTCGGGCTTCAAGCCATCCCAGTGAACCAGGTCACGGGTTAAATCAACCTTTAAGACAAGGATTCCAATAATGGCAAGATGTAGTGGATTAGTCACTAAATATATAGATATACATTTTCTGAAGTATTTTTTACTTGAGACACTCAAAAAATGTTCACCTCCTCTACTGTCCAGAAGGATGCCTGTGCCTGCTTGTACATCTTCCAGATGTCGAGGTACTGGATGGGGAAGATGACAAACCGTCTGGGGTTCTCCTGGAGCAGAGGTTCATCCTCGTTCCCTGAACCATTCTGGCTGTCTGCATTTGTATCTTTAACGCCATTCTGTTACAACCACAACCCAGTTGAACATAAAGACACTGTTTTCATGCCAACCAGGTGTTGGTCCACATTCAATATACATTGTTATTTTTTCTTTAAATACTTATTTGAAGGTCAGTCCGTGGATCCATAAACAGATTGCTGTTTATGAGGGACTCTACTTTAAAATACCAAAGTAGCTACTGCGCTTGCGCGTAAATAAACACCACAAAAGGACGTTTAACACGAATTTATTCAATAAAATGGCTTTTACATAGCATCAACTAAGCGAATAGCTACAATTACCACCCCCTTAAATCAACAACTGACAACAGTTTTTAATATCGCTCGTTGCCGTTTAACTTCTCTGGGTGAACTGACGAATGGAGGCAGATTTAGGATATGTTTTGACAATACGTAGAAATATATCCGACGAAAACGACATGTAACTACATTATTCTGGATTGACAATATTCCAGGATAATACGCGTCAACAACAAAACAAGCTGTACACAGGAAAACACGCTCGTATTTCCTATATTATTTGATCCCATCCCGTGTGTTAAGAATTGAACAAGAATTTAATAAATGCTGTTTACCGTCTGTTGAAGCTCCTCAGACGGACTTCTGTTCATCACATCTATTTCTTCAGCTCTCTTATCTGTCGGCGACATTGGCAGCACTGAGTTCAGGTCCTTCTGTAAGTCCTCATAAAATATGAGGCGTTTGTGTCAGCCGGACTATTTAAACGGGCGCACAAGCAACGGAACCAAACCTCTAGCGCTCCCAAGCGTCAGTGCTTAATAATAACAACCAAATACGGAAGACTGCTGCGTAGTTTTAGTTGCATAGTTCAACGCAACCTTGTTCATATACTATTCGCAGGTCTTAAAGTTTCAATATACTTTATTGCAAATAAAATACTTTATTGAGCTTTCTTTCTTTTTAAAGTAGTACTTATGGTTAGTCACACCTAACTTTTTTTAAAAATTCCACAATCCTGACAAAAGCCTTAGTTCCAGCTAAAGATATTTCGTGAAATGGGACAAAGACTGACCTCTAAAACAACGATTCCAAACCCTCAATTTATCTTAGCTGTTTTTGGCACTTAAACCAAATCTAATTGGATTTTAATAGGATGTGTACAAACAGATAGTTCAGTTGTTGGCTCCGGTGAAGTTTTTGTAGATGTATACCAGAATGTAGTCATTTTAATGTAGTTACTGTAATTCTTCTTTTTCACAACAGTTAGAATGACATTGCCATTGGGCTTTTGTGTAGCCCTCATGGCTGTCAGTTTTCACATCAGTTGTAGAATAATTGACAGTTCATTGAATTTGGCCGTGTTGCCTCCTTTTGGGAGCAATTTGAGAAGCAAATCATGTTTGTTTCTCAACATGTGACCAACCTCTTTTGGTGCAGACAACAGTGAGACTAAGCTCCCAGGAGGATGTTGCCTCATCCACCTCAGTATCAGCTGCCTGTAAAACTGAGCTTGATACTTAGAAACAGTCTGATCAAAGAGAATGACCAGAATGAACAATGAGAGAAAGTGCAAAATTTCTTTATTGAATTACCTAAAAACCTAAACAAAATGAAATTAATTAAAAAAATCATAACAAAGTATTTGGCAAAGTATGAATTAAATAAGAAATCAAATCAGAAGCAAAAAATGAACTAGTTATTGGCTTATCTACAGAAATATGCCATTTACAACAGGTGATAAGGATCAAATACCTTTTTGTCAGTCATTTCTGACAATAATCGGATTGAGAAAAGTCCGGATTCTGACATTAAATCAAAAGAAGTACAAATTCTAAACTCTAACAGTAAATATTACAAAGTTAAAGCCATAGATTTGAGATTGCAGTGACACATTTGCATGTTGAGTATAGAAGTCTGTGATAATAACTTAAAGATTACATTTGAAATTAAATTAGTTCTGAATAGTTCTGACTTGCTAAGAAATTTTAAAATGTAAGTTGGATTTATTTTTATTTTCGCTTCTTTCTTACCTTCGTACTAACTTTAACTGTAGACATAACAATTTAACTGTAGACATAATTTTTCTTTTTTTTTCTTTTTAAACTCAGTTGCTCGAGTTTCATATTTTCTTGCAGTTTTGGTTGTAAGACCCACTCCTTCACAGCTGAACATCGGCCTAAAGTTCACTCATCACGCACTCTAGTTGTAAACTAATAAACCCCTATCTGTCATGTGCTTTGTTTTCATCCTTTTTTTAACATTAAAGATGCAACTCTACATCAATGTGGCAGTTGTCATCAAAGAATTACATTTTAACTGTTTGAAATGGAAGACATTAATAGGATCAACACAGCTCAAAATGAGCTTGAGATGCTACAAAGACAGACAAATATATGACAGCGTAGAATTGTTCTTTTTACAAATACTGACAGCAAAAATGAAGTTCATAAAAAATTTGGATTATACTCTTGATCCTTTATCCTCAAATCTTTACAGCATCTGTACAGTGGGATGACTTCTTGCATCTTCTTGCCTGGTTACACTGAGCTTCTGACTTGGTTTTCATCAGGAATAACTGAAAACAGGACTGAGAAAAATGTTAGACCTGTTCAGGCACTTTTTTAAAAAACACATTTTTGCTACAGTTCAGTGCTAGTTGCTGCCGGAGAATTGACACAGAAAAACTGCAGTGTCTCCACACACGTGCACACACTCACACTCTCAGGTCCAGTGACATGTTCACAAAGGCTACTATTGCTTTTCGAGGCTGCTCCACCAACACATCCACTCTTCTTGCAATGGTTGGCAGTAAAAGTCTCCTTGTCTCCACGGAGTCACGCACAGGCAAACACACAGGCCTCTAAGGTCACAACCAAACTTTTTGTTTGTGTTGGACGTTCCGTCTTGTCACTGATCCGGCTGTGGTGTGAAATAATCATCTGTCCGGAACACACTGGGGATCTCTGGGCGCTGATGTGGTGCCGGCCTCTTTGGACTGGCCGGTTTCTGGCAATGAAAACACACGTTAAATACAAATGTGTCACCGGTCCAACAGCACACCCTGGTGTAAAATTGAAATAAGCGTTATTCACAGTCCTGTGGCCAACAATTCTGCTATATATTTATCTTAACGCGTGTGTACATACACACAGTAAATGTATATATGTGCGTATTCACATATGTATATGTATACATGCATATGTGCATATACATGTTTGTAAATATATGTTTATACACATATATGTAAATAGTTGCATACATATGTGTATAAAGTTGTATATTATGTTTCTATATATTGTGTGTGTGTGCATGTATACATCTAATCCTGGTGACACTTTGTCAGATACTCTATTTTCTTGTAAAAGACGTGGAGTAGTTTCACCAACCAGTAAAGGTTGGTTCCTTGCAGCTCATTCTCATGGCTATATAGCCCAGGGGAATACATGGCTAACTGTGATGCAGGAGACCTGGGTTTGAATCTGGATAGGGCAGTTGTTGTTGTTGTTGTTCATGTGTTTGTGTAACTACTTGCCTTCAGCATAGATCATAGAACATGTGTGAACGTATGAATCCCAGGCCCTTGAGCCTTCAATTGAAACAACATAATTTCACAGAGAAAAACGTATATGTACAAAGTAAATGAAACAAACGCAGGCACTCACGTTCAAGAATCCTGGAACAGTCATGGTGCGCAGGATCTTCTTGAAGGCACCAGGCAGTGTTCCTAGTTCTCCCTCTGCCAGTGTGACCTGCTCCTCCATGGTGTTGACGTTCGCTGCCACCATTTTCACGAAGGCCTGTGGGAAGACACAAAAATGGTTATTTAATAATTCAGTTAAAAATTCAGAGCCCTGACCAGTTTATGCCCTTGTTGTCCTTCAATGATGTCAGAACATTATATTTCTTTATCAATTTAAATGTTTATTTTATAAACAAACCAAAAGAAGAAATTAGAGTCAGGAGGAAGTTAAAACCAGAAGATGTTAAATCTCTGGTTTATGTCTTCTGAAGTGGAAAATAGGAAGTGCGCCGCTCATAAAAACAGAACAACTTTCACTCTCACCTCGTTTTGTCCACAAATCTACTGGGTAATCTCCATTATCAATAATACGAGCAATTCAAGCAGGCGACTCACCTCCAACTTGTCAATTCTCCTGTAGATATGCCTCATTTCCTCAGACTTCTGCTGGATTTGAGGTAGATTTTCACTCACTATCTGTGACGTATCGTTACGAATCTGGAAAGGAAAAATTCCACAGGATGCACAAGATCATATTATTCTCTAATAAATTACTTTTTGTTTTGTTTAAATGCCACATTTATCGCTGCCTCACTCCTCTCACCATATCAAGCATTCCAACAAACTCATCCACTCTGGTCAGCATTTCATCCAGACTCTTCTCCAGGCTCAGGATCTGTGAGAGAAATCACAAGTTAAAGGGAAATTGATTACATGTTGAATACAACACCTTAGTCTTGTGGGATGATTTTTACATACATAATTCACCATCACCAGTGAAAAATAGAACAAACGTAAAAAAGGAACCGTTTTAGAAAGAAGCACAAGGCTAAAACATAGGAGCCTTTGTTTCCCTTCAGAGTGGCTCAGCTCAGCATCCACTGCTGCTGTCACACATTTCCACTTAAAGTCAGCCCATGAGTGACAGCTAGCTGCTACATTGCCTGATCAAAAATATATATCAAAACATCGTGGCGACCTATTTTGTGCATAAATCAAAAGATTTTAATCGAATCATTAATTGCTGAATCTAGTCACTGTGACTTGGAATCTTGTTGTCAATTATTCCTCTTCCAACAACTTGTGACTTGACACAAAACAAGACTTGAAGTGTCAGACTAAATTCTCGTTACTCATCGTCTCCACCCACTCCGCCCAACCCAATAATAATAATAGTCAATAATAAATAACAAACTTTCCCTTGAGCCTTCAGCCTCTCCATTAAAGCTGGCTTTCGGAGCGTATCACCACAAAGAGCTAACACTAGCTGCTTCAGTGTATCGTTAGCAGACATCCTGCGGTCTCCTCAGCACCAACCTCTTCTCCAGCTGTCGCTCTGATGTAGGACGAGTATCTGAGCGCCGTGTCCCTCAGCACCTCGTCCCCGTGCCCCTCTTCCTCGTCCTCCAGCTCTAGTTGGTTCCTTGTCCCGTACTCGACTGCTTCATTGAAACTTGGACTCTGAGCGATGATAACGTTATTAGCTGCCGGAGCACCGAAGCTGGGGCTGTGGGACACCGTGCCGCTGCTGAGGATTTCACTGACCATGGACAGACTGCTGGCGCTCTGGGACACGATGCCACTGTCGGTGCTGATCTCAGCGCTGGACTCCTCCAGAGGAGACAGGAGGCCCACTCTGTCAACATGAAGATGCTCCATGTCTCCTGTGTCTGTCTCTGTGGCTCTACGGTTGCCGTGTTTTTGTCCTGTCAAATGACTGCGCTGGTCACATGATAAAATGAAGCCTACGGTGGCTCATCAGGGTCGAAATACCGTTTTCAAATATCGAGGAAATCGTTCAATATTTGTCCTTCTTTCTTGCGAGTTACGTTTTTGAAAATGTGTGTGTATATATATATATATATATACATATATATATATATATATATATATATATAACTTAACTTCTTTTATTCTGGAATTATTTCCAGGACGTTGATTTATACCTTATTTCTCTTTACTTTATTTCTCTGAACTCCTTAGGTCTACTTAGTTTTAAAGATATGTTTTAGCAATAGCGGATATGACTTAATGTGTATGTAAAAATATAAAAGATATATTTTATTACAAAGACTATTATATTTTATTACAAAGATATCTGTAGGTACGTTTCAATGCTGCGGGTAAAGAATTATGCAGACAGGAGATTAACCGTTCTTTTTTATTCATTGATTAGAATAATTTTCTGTTTATAGTTTTACTCGATAGTTTATAGAGATGATGATTATTTAGACGGAAACTGATTAACGTGTGCCAGTTCGAATATTGTATGACCATGGGGTCTGTTTTGGGGGCTCTAAATTATGACCTTGCATATTTTGGCCAGTAGATGGCAGCCGAAATCACTGTATTGGTGTTGTGCGTAGTGTTTGTGTGAGTACAAGTTTATAATTTAACATTTTTCAACACACAAGCCCTTGTGTTTCTTTAGTATTGCTACTATATGAAACACGGCTATAAGCAGTGTAGTGGATGTGCAACAATTCCCGTCTTCATCTCATACCATACTGTCACGGAATCACTTAAAGTCTAATACTTAACAAAATATCTTTGTAATGTGTTTTAGGCTCTGGCCTGGCTCTGGCTTTTTCTCAGACCATGTGATCCATACGCTGTGGTCATGTGATTGACCAAAAAGTGTTAGCTCACTGAATACAGACGAATTAAGTGACTGTGAGTTTTGGGCCTCTCTCTCTCTCTCTCTCTCTGTGTGTGTGTGTGTGTGTGTGCCGACTAATAACCAGAGCAGAGACAGGTTGGCTGCATGTCACTGACCTGCTGCCTGTTGGAGCAGAGACACATGTGGAGTAAACACTGGACACAAACTCATTATCAGAGCAGTGAAAGGACTCTGCTGCTGCTGCTGTTGTTGTTGTTGTTGTTGTTGCTGCTGCTGCTGCTGCTGGGCCTCTGGTGTCGTTGCCGAATTCCTGCTTCATGTTTAAGTAGACATATTGGCTGCACTTGTTAGTCATTTTTTCTTCTCATCCAAGAATAATAATAATGTTGCTGAGTGACAGAGTTTGGGTAAGGGTTGAAATGATAATAGTCAATACAAGATGATCAAACCTTAACGTGATTAAGACACGGCCCATGACACACCTTATGAGCGAGCACGCCCAGTTTCCAGATGTTGCCAGTGGTGAAGAGTGAGTCGTCAGTGTTTGCCTTAATGATTCATTCTGCTGACTGTCTGCTCCGAGGAGCTTCTGACTTGTGGTTATGAGGGAATTTAAACCTAAAGTATGTGTTGTTTTTTTTCTTCCCTCCAAACCAGTCAAGCCAAACTGTGCAAATGATTTTTTAACTGGAGCTGCAGCCACTGCACATTTCACTGTGGCGAAAGTTACATCTAATTATGTAGCAGCAAACGTGCACAAACAACAGTGAGTTATGAAAGTTAATTAAACATTTTTTTGATTTAATTATTCTTTGAGTTACAGCAGCCTGGAAGCCAATATAAAGTCATTCCTCAGATTGTTTATTCACAGAGAGATAACATCACATTACTAAAATTTAATAATTTAGGAAGTTGCAATTCTACCCTAAAATTAGAAAGTTAAAATGATGAGACCAGCTGAAGAGCCCACATTAATTGTCCAGTACAAATGTACATCACTGAAGTCTGTTAATCAGTGAAAATGGCCATCAATTAGTAGAATTAGGATTAAATTATAACCCAAGAAAGTTAGATTTGATAGCATAATTCTTTGTGTGTGCATAGATACATTAAGAAATCTCTGAGTAAGGTTTATCTGTTCTGAAACATTGTTAATTATTAAGGAAATACTTAAAAACTGAATTATTTTAGAGGAGCCTCAAAATGCTCCTTAATTACTTGTGTTTTTTAACAGGGGGATTTGAGAACTGAGCTACTCTGTCAGACTCAACTTTATGAATAAAAGATCACATGATTTTAAGACTCCACCAAACCACAGTGATACTTTGCAAAAATGTGAAACAGAATAATTTATTGGTACAGATACAACGATTTGATCAAACGTCATCATCATTGCATAAAAAGAGCTATTTAAAAAAAACACCAAAAATCATGATCTACACAGCATTTATCAGAATATAAGAAATATAGATTTACTCTTTAAAAACATCCATGATCAACCCCACAGTTGGTCCCAGTAATAAAAACAACAATCTTTATAACGGTGGTCACTAAGAGGAGATGATGTGCTGCAGACGCTGCAGTCATGAGTCTAAGATACAGTGGAATTTTTCCTAAAATGACAGTAATTTGTCCTGATGCTCAGAACAAACAAACATAATTACACATTTTATAAAGATCGGAACAGTTTAAAAAAAAAAAGACAAATATAAACATGATCCTTATTTCCAACTTCCTTTTATATCATTAAAAAAATTAGGCTCTGGTGAAATCCTCAGACTCTTCCAGCCTGGTGTTAAAGTTAAAGTTCAGTTCAGTCTCTGAACCACTGGGTGTTTTTTTGTGTCTGTGTGTGAATGTGTGTGGTTGTAGGTATTATAGTGTGATGACGGTGCCGTCCTCTTCCACGCCACCTCTGGGCAGCGCCAGACTGTGTCGTGGGTCCGTTTTCAGTGAGCTGAGGATTTTGTGGAGGCTGCCGTTGCTGTGGCGCAGGGCGGGGTTGCTGCTGTGATGTGGAGGCTGTCCGTGGTGGAGGCTGTGCTGGTTTGCGTTGTGGTGTAGGTTGAGATCTCGGTGGAGCTGGTAGCTGAGGCTATTGTGCTGTTGGTGTTGCTGTTGGTGTTGCTGTTGGTGTTGCTGATGCTGTTGCTGTTGGTGTGGTGTTGCCTGATGCTGTTGGTGTTGTTGTTGGTGTTGGTGGTGGTGGTTGGAACCTCCATTGAGGCTCAGCTGGGAGCGGAAGGAGGCGGTGGAGACCACAGATGAAGGACGTGAAGGAGGACTGGGAGGTGCAGTGAAGCCTGAGCGCGTGGTTGGTGTTTGAGGTTGGGTACGAGACGTGTTGGATGCCAGGGAAGCGTTAGACCTCTGAGATGGCCTCTTGATGCTACTCTCGATGACGATGTCGGCATCTTCGTCACTCTCTAAGTCGTCTTGGTAACCGTGAGCCCCTGAGGACGACATTCCCACTGAGGCCACAGACAAAGTCGGGTATCCGGTAGATCCGCCGCTGTCTGAGGACTGGCCGGAGCTTCCTGATATCCTGCTGCTGCGGACCACGTTGTTGCGCTGGTTCACTGGCTTCACAGTCACAATCAGGTTGTGACTGTTGGCGATCATCATGTCCGTCACCTGATCCAAGGACTTTCCAGTCACTTCAATACCATTCACCTCCAGGACCTCGTCATTGACCGCCAGGAGCCCCGTGCTTTCCGCCAAACCTCCAGGAACCAGCCGGGATATAAAGATCCCTGGGACTTTCTCCAGCCCGTGTGGCGTCACCCTTACACTGGTTCCATCTCGGATGTAGAAACCCAAAGGTTTGTCGGAGCCGTGGCGATACAGTCGAACGCGGCGATGAGACTCTGGCAGGATGTCCACATCGATGATGGAGGAGACGGGACGGAAGTCCTGCGGCATTCCGATGCGGATGTGTGGTCTCTTGCGGTTAATGTCATTGTTACGCAGCGCCACCACCGCCTTCTTTTTGCGTGTGATGGTGTTGGTGCCAAAGTTGGTGTAGTCGACCTCCTCTGTGGACAGAAGAACAAAAAACATTTCAGTTTCATCAGAAAATGGTGGAAAATATTAGTTTTAATGATCTGCACACACCGAGGGACAGAAGGTACAACAGCATCTCAGTGAGGTAACAACCTGAGAGTTTCCATACCACCCACTACAAAAGCTTCAGACAGAAACAGCCTTAAATCAAACCACCTGCTGCACAAACTCTCAGACATTTGCTTTAACTCAGCACAGATGGACTTCTTTCTGTTAAACCTTCATCAAATACATGTGATATCATTATAGTGTAGAGTCACTCAGCTCAGCCATCTTCTACCTCCACCTTTGAGTATGTCTTAACTGAGCTTTAGCTTGTTATTAACTGAATGAAGTCCCTTTTAAAATGAGCGGTTTAACCTCTTGTTAAACATGTGAGAATATTATCTGTCTATGGAATATAGATACAACCAAGGCTCTCTCTCTCTCTCTCTCTCTCTGTGTGTGTGTGTGGGGGGGGGAACAAATATGCTGAATGTGCAGAACATTCCCTGTCTGTGCTGACAGAAGTGTCCCACCCTTCTGCCACAGACGGCAGCTGCAGAGAATCCCAGCATGCATTAGTGCTGTGAGATACACACAGGTATATACATGTTCTACCATGAGTACAAACTGTCTTTCACACGTTAAAAATACTGGCTGTACCTCCACACTGTAACACAAGTACAGCGCTCCTCTGGTGGATTAACCAGAGAGTGAACTGGAGAAGACAAAACACTGTGGAAAGAATGAGTGTGATGTTTCCTTGCAGATACTCAGAGCAATCAGAGAAACAATGAAAGCCTTCATATGCTGGACTAGATAATCCTCATCAGGGAGTGAAGTCCAAAAACAACATTTCAGCTGCTAAACACTGTAGAACACTTGCTTTGACAAAAACCTATAAAGGTAGGTGGCGAACAAAAGGAAAGGACTGGAAGGAATTCTCTGAGGTGAGGTGAGGTACTTCAGATGAACTCTGTGAATTCATTAGCTTCACGTTGGGGATTCTGTTCAGGCTGTGTTCGTCAGGCTGTGAGCAGCAGAACACAAAAGGAACTGATTTGGCTGAACGTGTCTCAGGATTATGATACAGTCCTCGAAGAAACTGATCAGTGACAAAATAGAAGCTGAAGATGAAAATGTTAAATGACATGTTGCATAGTAGAAACTGGGCTGTGTGGCCCGTGGTCTGGATTGTCAGGAAGAATTGTTCTGAATTGCATTTTTCTGGGAAAATGTCCTACCGACCAAGTGTGGTTTGATTATGCCTTAGTGCTCTAATCTCTCCTTATCTGACAGAAAGGAAATCTGCACAGAGCAAAAGCCCGATGGGACAGGAAGTGAAGGTCCCCAGGCCGGAGCATCAGCTCCTGCACTTCTATCACAGCACAGATGAGTCATCCCTGCCTACAGTGGAGGACAATTGCTTTAGAAAAGGATTGTGTTTGTTCAGGAACCAGTACAATGTAGGAGTCGGGGCAATCTGCAACAAATATGTGGTCTCTGAGAAGATACAAGTCTCTGGTTTTGTTAGTATCTGATTTATTGGTACAAGAGTAAAGGTCAGAGGGCAGTGATCATTATCATGTTTTTTGGTCTGGTTTTTGAATTTCCTGGACTAGATTTTAGTCCTTGGACGAGGCACAGAAGCAGGTTGTGACCGGCCTGAAAGACGTCCTGTAGGTGTCACCGATGGAAGACATGTTAAGAGATAGCTTTGTTTTTTTTTTTTTTCATAAATTTTTGTTAGATTTTGTTTTTTGGACATTTGGACTTCCCCTTATAGGTCCTCTGCCCTCAGCACCTCCTTTCACTGGGTCAGAGTGAAAATGTTGACCAGACAGGAGCCTCTTAAATTACAGCTTTGGAGACATGAAGGAATTTATCTTGTGGTTTTGGGGGACATGGTGTTTTTTTATGGTATGTCCTTAAAGTCCTGATGTGCATGGTGAAAAGACACAGATATTTTGGGTGGGGTCAGCAGTGACACCAACTGCAGTGTGGTACATTGGCACATTAAGAAGCAGCTATGATAGAGTGGTGGCAAATAAACAGCCAAACAAATATGATGAATGGGTCTGGGTGGGAAAAGTAAAGACTCACTGATGAGGAACTGGCCTGAAACTGCGTTTTATCAACTACAGTTGCTTTAAAAACCGAGCTTTAATTTGATTATTCCAAAGGAAGATCATCAATCTTCACCGTTTTCTCTCGGTTTTCTCTGCACTCTGTGGCGACAGAAGCCAATTTGATTGAATCCATTTGCTGCAGCAGTGGAATTTCAACCACAAGTGCAAGTCACACTGATGGGAACCATATTGGAGAGAGGATCGCAGCAGGTCTATGGTGTACGCCCTCCACCTCCACCTCCTGTGTCTCCTCCTCCAACCACACCCCCATTTGGGTCTGAAACTGAGGGGAACACCACACCACACCACCCACCACAGCAGTGGGGCTTTTTACTGGGGCAGATGATCTTTCAGCCCACTCTGACGTCTGCAGCTGTAATTTTGATTTCTCTCTGTGTGTAATTTCACACAGCTGTTTGACAAAATCCCATAAGAAGGACATTTAACTGCAATCTGTTTAAATAACTCCACGAATACCATAATAAGGGTCGAGTGACTCTAGACCAACGGGAGGAGTCTTCTGACTCTTCATTGAAAAAGACTTTATTATGGCCTATCATCAGAGTAGAACGTACCTTAATTTAAGAGGATTAGTTTTCCTGGGAATTGAATTTCAATTCATTTATTGATCTAATCCTCTAACTTTGCCACCACCTGTCAGTTGTACTTTGCTTGGTTTTTTCTAACAATTTGTTGTAATATTTTGTCAATTTATCAAATATTCGTGTCAGTGAGGACATGTTTAGCGCCACCTAGATTGTGGGCCATAAACCAGCAAATATGCAAATAATCAACTTCCTCTTGCATGAAAATGGTGAAATGACTGAATGCGTTCTCTTGGTGAGTAAATCACTGGAGCTTCATGGGAATGAAGTGTTTGGTAAAATTGAATAAATTAACTTGTGGGTCAGGAACCAGAAACCCCAGTCTGTCTGTCTGTCTTTCTGTTGGGCTAAGGTTTAATTTCCTGGACTAAAACATTATTCAATCTGAAAATGTTTTTTTTTTTTATCAACTCTGCTACTGAATGTTCCGCTACAATGAACTCTACTTTTGATATTTTTGGAACATATGTCAACATATGCCAAAAACTGACACTGCATCTCTAAAACTGTAATTTTAGGGCAGAGGTTGGGGTCAGTGGACAGAGTACTATTTTATTGTAATTTTATTGTAATTTGTATCAAATAAAAGGTAGAACACGGAAAAATATCAGACATTCTAGAAGTTCTACTTGTAGTCAGAATGAACCCCAGATTTGACCTTGATTCCTGTTCACGTGCCACATGAGGCAGGATTTTCTGGGCTGCCTGGTCCCAAAAATCTCACATCTGTCAAATGAGACTATAATCGTGCTAATAACCTGTTGTCTGACCTTGTGTAAGTCTGCGTGCACACACACACACACACACACACACACACACACACAGATTGTGTGAGGATGTTCCAGCCAGTCACACACAGGTTATCATAACAACTCCTGACAGCCCTAATCCTGGTTACACTGAGGCATGATGGGTAAGCCAATGTGAACCCACTGATCAAAGCCTACGGGTCAGTGCCAGGCAACTGCAGGATCAACGGCAAAACTAAAAGCCTGTTTGAAAAAAAAAAAAGAACACACACATTTGAGTGAGGTGTTAGTCAGTGTTTCCACTGTTACACACCATCGAATGTGATTTACTGATCAGTTTATACAATTTAAAATCTATGCATTATACACAGTCTGTATCCACACACCAGCTGTTAGCATTTATCCTAAACTCCAGTTTGTTCTGGGGATAAAAACGCAGTCAGTAATGAGGCTGAATGCTGACAGAGACGGAAAACCATTCATTGACTTAAATAACGTTTAACGTCGGCAGCAACGAGTATCACTGAAGGGAAACATGAGAGCTCTGACGCAACTTTGTGGATAAGGAAAGAAATCCAGAAACTGACGGTGGGATTTTAAAATTGCCATGTTTTTCCAGTCTAGTGAATTTGAATTATGTCTCATATTAGTAACATCAAGTGAATATAGAGCGGGTTTTATTTAGGAAAATTCAAACTGCACTGAAGCAGAAGCTCAGAGAAACCAGAAAATCATCAGCTGACGTGACCCAGGAGGTCAGGGAGCAGAGGTCGGAGTTGAAAAGATGGATTTTAGATTTTAATTAGATTGTGTCATACGATTAGAACGTGTCTGTGCATGTGTGTCTGTGAGCCACAAAATATCTAACACTGTCCTTAAAGGTCACATGACAGCTACTATTACTGCCCCTGTGAAAGAAGAGGTCACTGTGGCATGGTGCAAATGGGACATTGTACAAACAGGATGATGTACATAGAAGACACAAATAGAAAATACAAATATATTGTTGACGTTTGTAACAAAACTCCTGCAGCTTCAGGCTGTGTCCAGGCTTGTAAAGTACAGAGAACCCAGCCCACCTCCAGCTCTGAGGTGCTGTTAAAAGACGCCTCTTTAAAGTCAGCTTTCCATCTCCAATAAAGAGACAGGAATCTGAAGAAGAAGTTTTATGATCAACCTTTAAAGCCTTCACACGCTTGTTCCAGGCCTGTCTTGTGATTGGACGCTGCTGCAAGTAGTGGTGCAATGAAATGAATAGAAACAAAAACGCTTTTGTATTTAATTAGGTTATTTCCAAAGTTGTAAACTACATAACTAAACTCATCTTTACTCAAGAGAAGTAAAATAACTGAACACACCCTCGGGCTAATGATGTTTAGAGACGTGTTATGGAGCTGAACTAACATGTGACATTTCACACCAACATCTGTAAAAATGTGGACACTGTGCAGCTTTTTTAGTAGTGGCATTCAAAAAATGTTTCAGACACCTATATATATATATTTTT